ATAATTAAATTATTTTTTTAATTGATTGTAATATTTTATTAAAAGTGTCAGTAACCTAAAGCTGATTCAATATTGTTTCTTCTTTAATCTTCACATTTGTTTAACATGATCAAATCATGATTTTATCTCATGAAAAATGAAACAGATTTGAGCTTAACTTTGATAAGATTATTTTTTGATTGAACATTTAGTAAAGCTTTGAATGCATTAATACTCATAGATAAAGACTTCTAACAAATTTTATCAAGCTAAAAACAATGTACAAATATTTCTTCGGTCAAAAAATAACCACAAGATGGTCGCATTTGAGAGAAATTCCAAATTGAATAATGCCGCTATTTGTTGGAAAGGCTAAATGCCATTAAGTACTTGGTTTATGTTTGTTGTGTTTCAAATGTTACGTATTTCAAATAATAATTATGATACCTCACATATAAATACTTCAAATGTTTATTGTCATTATTTTATTATAAAATTTATTTGAACATAACATTCTAGGGATTAATTTACTTCTTGTATAACATACTTTGGACTTCTAGGAGTTAGTCAAAACACAGTAATAACCAATCACGTACTATTCTACGAGAATGTTTACAATGTTTATATAAGGTGAGGATATTTGCTAGTCACTCAAACACACTAATCCGATACTTTAGATCACATTGTCATTTACAACATATCACTTACGCATTTTTGTCTCATACAAGATTTACAACTAACAATTTTTTCCTTAATACATGTCGGGTTTAACAAACTCTTAGCAAATTTAGATTGTTGTGCTTATGAAATCTAAATATAATCTTATCACATAATTTAACATCAAACATCTTTTGATTAGAATTCTATTTGAGTATCCTAACTTGATTCAATGTATGTTGGTTTCTATCATGCATTCAAATCTTAAAAAATTAAATATGCTCAATCTACAAAGTTGATCATTCTCTATAAAAAGTAAATTGTTTAATATTGAAAAAAATAATTAAAAATCTCTTTAACGTAATAATTGTGATAAAAATAAACACTATCTAAAATCCACACATCACTTACAACCTTTGATGAATTGAATAGTACTAACTCTTACATCATAATTTATCTTCTAGCAAGTCATTATACTTAATACTAACAAAGTATCAATAACTTTAATGTTCATACGACAATGCTTCTCGACGTGGACATTCTTGTCACATTTCCAATATATCATTGTTTATCACTTTAGAAATTCATCACTATATTTAAATCTACACTTATATCTAAAATGCTTACCATACTTGTGATTTTGTGAATTTGAGCAATCTCAAATCACATTAAATGTCGTAACGTGAAGAGAAGATGAAAACATCATCTTTTGTTATAAATCATCAATCATCAGAGCATTTACAATCTTGTTGTAAATGATGGTTTGTCTAACAAGATAAAGAAAAACACATAATAATGACTAATAATATGCAAAAAATGAACTCAAAAGATGGAGATATTTTCTCTCATCAACAATCTCATCTTCAAGATTATAAATATTAATCATAAAATCACAAAATGCATATATACACATAGATCTTTGTGCAAGAATGTTTCATTTTGAAGCTCATCAACTTCAAAAAATCATATTACCTATTTTGACAACTGTTTCCGATGAAAACATTATTCAAGAGCCTCAAACAAAAAATACATTTGTCATACTCATTGACTTGCTTCAAGACCAAAGGTTGCAAATAAAGTATGAAAATAATCATAATTCATTGATGGAGTTTTTGTCATTGTAGTTAGACGATTTTGATCTCAATGTCTTGCCAAATTTCATGGACTTTAGTTTGCACTTCATTTGTTTTTTCCAGAGCAAATATTCGATATGTATGTCATATTTGACTATATTATATACTCCTAACATAGGAATCTTCATTTAGTTACGTTGAAAACATGAAGCTATGTCTTGTGTCCTTGAAGTTTTAAAATTTTCTTTTTCATTCGGCTACAACTCTTCAGATTATCTTTCATCACTCTTTGCTCGACTCTGATTTCCGAGATCTCTAAGAGTTTTCAAAATCCGGTAGGAGCCAACGCTCTTGCTTTCAAGTTGTTTAAAACTAGAGGTGACAACGGTACCTCAGGAGTACAAATGACACGTCTTGTGTCTTGTGTAATCTTTGACAATGGTTTCGTTTTGTTCAAACCCTCCTCAACTCATATTGTAGGTTCTACTTCTCTTTTACCTTGTTGAAGAGATTTTGCAAATTCAAGAATAACGCTTTTTGGTAAGATCTATACTCTACTAGCTTAACAGCAAAAGTGTATACATAAACATTAATGTGTTAAACATCAACATGGAGCATCTCAGAAATGGGTAAGAGTTTGGAATTTGATAATCGGCACAAGCAAACAGAAAGACATATAGATTAGTTTGCATTACGAGGCTTCGTCTCGTACCATCTCTTCAAGAATTGTGCGTGTCCTAGTCATACTTTGTAAAAAACTTAAAAAGTTATAATATAAAATTTTGTATAGTTTTAATATTTTATTCCTCATGAATGTAAATTATGATATTCTAAGGTTTTAATATGGATTAAAATATCCAAATAAAAGCTCTTTTAGATTAATAAATATATATTTTGTAATGTTTAGAGGGAGCCGTTAGTCACCACTCACTTTTCACTATTCACCACTCATCCCCAATTTTCAATAACCCTTGCGCATTTTTCCAATTGGCTGGATGGAGAGCACTATTAAAAGAGAGCCGCTAGTCACCATCGCTAAGTTAGGAATTTAAAGCTGCGCGAGTAGCCTTTAGACTAGAATAGGTTGCTCTGGTAAAGGTTTAGAGAAGGATTTAGGGAATTAAGTAAGGGTTCAGGGAGGTTTAAGGGATTTGAAAATTGAGTGTGAGTGGTGACTAGCGGCTCACTTTCCATAAATGTTAACTTTGCATTTATAAGATTGATAATCATTTGTAGATTTTCAAAATTATCATACATAATGCTATATATTGAGCTTATAACTCTGCCATTTCATATGCTTTGATACAGATAATGTTGTGATATCCATTTTTCATGAATGATAATTTTGCAATTAGATGAGATAGGATTAATTCTTTAAACTCCATACAATCTTATAATGAAAAAAAAAAAATACTATAACATAATAATCTTGTGTAAATTTATTTTTTTATAATACTCATTATACCTTCATTTGGCTAATTTGAAATACTGAATCATTAAGAATATATAACATCTACTTATTGAAACACATGTAATTAGTTCTTGCTCAAATTTCACAAAATATGAGATATATTTTTTGATTATGCTATAAAAAATCCGTATAATCTTCAGCTTTGATCATTGAAACACAGTTGAATAATATAACCTGTAATAGACTATACAGGTTATAGCTTAAATATTTGTGTATATTATGTAGAATCCTTTTACATTTATTGTTTCTATTAGTTGTATGTCTCACACAAATATGTTTGAGTAATCTTTTATGATAAAATAATTTGAGCAAAAATTGTAATGGCTATTTCAAACATCTAACATTCAATGCAATCATGCATTGTGTTTATATATAATTATTTTGACCTTTCATATTACAATCTAGACAACAAAATTACATTCATACATCTACCAAAATATAATAAAATATCTACGATAGAATACATTTATTCAATTATGTAGCGAAAAGAAAAAAATTCATATATATATATTCAATACCAAAATTTTCCAAAAATTACCCTTTTTATTTAAATTGTTGAGCTCGATGTAGATTTTAATCATAATTTTTTTTTGTTAATATCTTCGTACAGATGTTCAAAATTTTATACATCTTGAAAAATCTTGATATCTTTATGACATCTAAAGCTTTCATCAAGATCATTATCTTCTACTTGTAGTGAAGAAAAATCAGCATTGATTTGATTTCCAGTATTATATTTAGTTCATAGTTTTTTTTTAAATGATATGAGTAGTTTAATAAAGTATCAAAACCATATCTTAGAAAAATAATAATAAATAATATTACAGATATAAGTGAACATTTAGAATTGCAATTACCATAATCTAATTTTTGAAAAATGACATATTTAGATAAGGAATTTGTAATTTACATCAAAATATACATTTTCAGATTACAAAATGCATCACTAAAAGCTATTTCAAGAATAATCACCTCTAATGCTTCAATGAAACCCTTTCACTATGTTCAACTAAATTCACGAGGATAGATATCTCACAGGACACAGTCATCAATCACACTTCGGCATCTACAACCTTCTTGGACGAAGAGGTGTGTTTACTAGAAAAAACGTATTTACAATTGAATCAAGCGTACCGTACATGGTTAAGAACATATGGTGTCTAACCTTTCCAAAAAGGCAGTGTTGAGAAGCTCTCAATCTTCATAAAACCTGCGAAGTTCTCATCATCTATCCAAAGAGCAGCCCAACGGCCACGACGGGCAGTCCCGTCATGGAATGTTTCCCAAACTTCTTCACTATTTCTTTAATTAGCTTGTTACTTTCGGGAGCAAATATCCAAAATACAATAATGATGAGTATAAGTCTCAATAGTTACAACAGGATTAACATGTCACGCTGCGAACAGGCTAGAATAGACAAGTTTTTTGCGAATACAAGGGTCTAACATGCCATCTAGTGGACAGATTTGATTATCATCAAGCTCTCTCGTTCCTTTGGGCTCTGCAAGCACACATAGGTTTACGTGTCCTCAGGACTCCCGTTCATCACAAAAGAGTTGTTTCAGTACATCAGAATTTAAAAGACAAACATGATGCCCATGAGTAAATTAGTAGAGTGTGAGGCTGCTTCACGAGAGCGAGAAACATATATTGTGCATGACAAACTGTGAATACTGGCAACTTATCGAAAAGAAGGTGAAGAAGCGAATGCAATGAGAGGATCCACGACAAAAACGGAGAGTAATACATGAGTCACCATCTGGACGTGTGCTCGGTCTTCCAAGAAATCAAGCAGATGTAAACAAGTGCACTTCAGGTGTCAGGTGAAGAGCTCCCAACTTAGGTTTGCCTTTTGATGTAAATGACGGATCCGGCATCCCTCTCCAGAAAAAGACGAACAAAGTACACTTAGCAGTGCATGATGTGTTAATCACTAAACTGTTCATACTCTACCTGCAATGTTAGCTCTCTGGGAATGTAAGCTATCAGGAGAAAAGGTCAGAAGTAACCATGCTGCTAATCAAACATCAACTCTGGGCGAAAAACGACACAAAGTGAACCTACGTAGCAAGTTATTCTCAGGAACCCCGAATCCAGGAGGAGGTAGATGAGTCCAGGAGTCATCTGACAGGTGGTGTTTAGTCCGCTCTGGGCTGTAGAAGCAAGGAGACTTCCAGCTTCCTCGCATGTGGGCACAGTAAATGAAACCAGCTCGAGCTTCTGAGCAACTATTGATGATGAGATTCTCTGAGCAGTCAGCCAAATATACTTCTGATTCCAATTCCTTTTTGATTTTCCATGTAGTGCTTTCCTGCTCATACTCAGCAATGCAAATTTTACCGGCAAGCTGTTGTCCTGCACACTCCTGACAATGCTCATGACATGGTTCGAAGGAACATGGCTCATATGTTCCTGCCACAAGTTGCAGACAGGAGGAGGAAGAGCTGCTGAGATGTTCGGTGCCTGGCTTGATAATCAGTTGGGGACAATAGTCCCAAGTAGCATGTTGGCAATAGTCTCCGATGAACTCAAAAGAAGACTCGGGTGTGACGCTAAGCCATTGCTCGTCCTGAATGTCAAATCCAACAATCCGGAAGACTCGATAATAGGTGAAGCATTGCGTTTGTCCGGCCGCAAGAGGCACACACACTTGGTTGTAGTTCATGAAGAGCATGAGGTAAACTACAGTTGCAGAAGCAGTACCCACTCTTATGGAGGAAAACTTAGGGATGCTGAGCAGCTGACGAGCAGATCGCCATTTCTTCCCTGTGGAATCGTATATCTGGACGCAGCAATTCCACTCATGCACCCCGCTTTCTTGGATTGCGAAGTTGAAGATCTTGAAGCTCTTGCTGAGAGGACAAACCACCAATTGATGTGCGATTTCCCTATACGAGCTCTGCTTTCTCGGTCCAGGAATGTTCTCCCATTTGCCTGTGATGGGATTTCCAATCCAGTAATGGAAAACTGTGCTTGGGGCGTGGCTGGGAATGACAAAACACACTAATCCAGAATAACCCCCGGTGGATGGTACGAGAAATAGATCCCAATCAATACGACGACGTTGAGGTTGAAATGGATAGGCCCCGATCGGAGGGAAGGGATGCTTGACTTTAAGCCACGATCGAGCGAAAGGATCAAACATGGCTAGTCTTATCTGCCCAGTGGGCCAGTAATTGGTCTCTCGGGTACCCGGCGTCATGCCAACAGGAAAAGCAACGAGACAATATGACGCAGACTGTCTACATTCGACTATCGAGCTTGAAATGCGCTGCCACTGCTTGCACACGATTCCTACCTGGGTTAGTGCGGGCAAAGTAAGTCGACCTAGAATGTTTTCAACCACATCTTCAGGAAGCTCGAGCATACTCGTGGTTGCTGCTGATCCTCCCACCTCTTCCATGCTGCAGATTTTGTTCTGCTGGTTCAATATAAGAGCGGTTTCAAACTGATCTGCAATTCACGACGGTCGATCAAAATTCCTGGAATCAAGAAGACGAAGGAAGATAATGAAGAAGAAGTGCTCACGTGACGCGACAGGAATGATCTCCAAATAGAAATTGTCTAATTCTGCTGCTTAAAAATCCGACGGAGTAATGCTTCCTCCGATGTCTTATGTCACTCAATACACACTACAAATTCGTGAAAACGAGAAGAGGTTTCTGGCAGCAGGGGAAGTCAGCCTGCGATGAGCGAGAAGGAACGTTTTGCCTCCACAACCCACAGCTTATAGCAGACCCTGGAAGCAGCAGCTCTCAGAAATGCATGACTTCAGGGCTTGTTCGGCCCAGGGGCGGAATCTCCTCCGACGATTCAACTCTATGCACAGGTGTTTCTCTGTGTACTAGAGACGCTAAAGGTGTAAAATAAGTTCATACAAAGGAAAAGATGGACTACTGGTAGCCAACAAGTATAGTGGTCCCTGGCTAGCACAGTGTTAGGTGTATGGATGCTTTGCATTTAAGTGCTTGATGCAGTTCCAGCCTGCTTGCCACACATTCCTGTACAAATTGATATGCGATCTGAGCTGCATGGGAACACTTACATGGTGGAGGTCAAGTTGAACGGATCATGTTTCACCTTAGACCTATAGCTGCGGTGCTGGAGAACGGGAGTCGTCCACCAGCTCACCTCGCTAGGGCTTGCAGACGCCATCGCCATCAACAACTCCACACAATGTACGGATGGAGCTCTTTCGAGGAAAATTTCTCACTTGATCCTCGTCAAGGATTCCAGCTCAACGGTAGCGCTCTATCTTTGCATCGTAGGGGACGACACCAGAAGAATTGTTAAAGGATTGACGGTCGGTACGCTGAATGAAGCTAATTGGTACCTGAAGACGTGGTGGCCACGTCGATCAACAGAAAACTCTGTATCTAGAGTTCAAAAAGTTGAACATGGTTGCCAAGCAAAATCTACCGACGTACCTGGATGACGATCTACAGAGACAACTATAATTCACATCACCTTCAACTGAATATTGGCGGAACCATGTCATGATTTGGTTTCTCCATAGAAAGCATTTGCAGGACTTTCTCTGCTTATGTATATAATGATGTAGACTAATAAGATAGTAGCCACCCAAACATTTGTAGTTTATGTGAAATTCCTATTGCACTTTGAAGTATAATGGTGCTACTTCTAGCTATCAATGTACGTCGTTGTCACTCTTGAAATACTTTAACCAAATTACAGTAGGAAACGTTCTGTTGCTAACCTGAAACAAATGGCTACTCAGGAAGGTAGCAACCTGCACTTCGATACTTGCGTTTACGACAATAAGATTACCTCATGAACTTTCCATTCTTTAAAAGATATGGCCTGCATGCAAATGAAAAGGTGAACCTTTTGTTAGTGTTAAACTGACCATCTCTATGCGGACTCGATGCACTAGGAACTCGCTCTTTGAAGGCTTCGTTTTCACATATTTAAGCTTAAAAAACTTTCATAGGCATTGAGTTTCAAATTACCGCTTCGTAGACTTGAAACTGCTGGCTTTAACGTATTAAGCAGAAACTATAGTCTGTAATTAAACCTCAAAAGAATTTCAGTCCAGCGGTATAGATTGCCAAATTCGAGAGTATCAGATACTTACACGGCAGGTTGATTTCGCAGAGGCCATTGACTCAAGTTTAACACATTGTTCCTAGGCGACAGCTTGAGCTTTCAACGACATTTGATGGGATCTTCCCACACTTGTTGCTACATTATTCGGTGCCCACTTTGGACGCTTGTGCTACCTTTAGGGCCTTCCCAAGCCATGTGCATCCTTCTCATCTAAGTCATGCTTGAAACTGTAGTCTTCAACAGCTCAAGGTCAGAACCAGTTGAACTCATTCTAAAGGCGAGCAGCTGAGGAGAATCTGCACTCATTACTTTTGCCCTCATCCAGCACAGTTCTTGTGGATACCTTCACAATCACCCCAATATATCATGTTGGTTTTGTACAGTTCTTACGGACTACGAAGCTGCGATATCTTTATAACTTATGGATCACATCAGAATCATGCAACATGGAAGCTCAAGCAGCTAGCACTGCACACGAGAATCATGCGGAGAATTATTATTCAGCAGGTGTAACATGTTACTGCTTAAGCCGTGGATTACCGAAGATAATTGTCAATAACCGAAGAACAACATAAAATTCCAATATTTCCGCCTCAAAATTCTCTTGCCGAATCGGTCCATGATCGTAGCGAAGATTCTCCACTTCAAGATAACCTTGGAGCTGAAATGTGCAAACCTGTACACTTGCGAATATCTCTACGGCGAGAGTGGATATCACCAGAATTTGCGGGTGTAATGCTGCAAACGTGAAAGCATATTTTCACCAAGAATGCATGGTGTCTTTCAACGGGACGATGACGTACTTCGAGACTTTTCTGTACTTTTCTCGTCAATGGTCAAAATGCGAACGTTAAAAAATCTATAAGCTTCTTCTAGACAATTAGTTCGCCACACTTTGACAGTTCGCGATATCTAACGTCAAGCATAGTGTTTGGTAAGCTGCTGGTACAGTTGGGTCATGTGGAACACGCACTACAAGTATTCTCTCTGGAATTCAGTGTTCAACGATACACGTAATCCGACAAACTAAGAATTCCAAGCTAATAAGGTCGTGATGAGGGCACTTCTTTCTGAAATCCAGAAGAGATTGGCTGATTAAACGGAATGACATTGAATTTCTACAGACAGCAGACATAACTTACTCCATTAATGTTCCTATTGAAGGGTTTTGTCTTGTATTTAGACATCAAAAGAAGGAGAAGCAGTGCGCAGGTCAAACCGGCCCTGTACATACAACCTAATGGAAATGACGTATTCTTCCGACTCGCGCTTTCCTTGACTCGCGAAGGAATCTATCCACTTTGAATCTATCCTCGTGTTTAGGTCTCAAGCGACTTACTAACATATAAGTCTCGAATCCATGTGACGGCGTAGACGATCAAGGATAAGAATTTCTGTCAAGTGGAGTTACATATAGGAACGCAATTGAAAGTTCCGTGGTAGGAGGGTTTCCTTCATCAAACCATGATCTGCTCTTGAAATCACAACCGATCACCGTCGTAGTAAGCATTGGTCACAGGTCGCTTAAACTTGTCTCGCTGCTCTACCGATGCATCCTAGTCCTTGTTGGCATGTGCGAAGGAGCCCCCATGATTTTCCCCACGATTAAATTGGAGAGTATGAAGAATTGCAAGGAACAAAAGGCTGAAGATCTACGTAACTCTGGTTCGAAGTCCAGAGATGACGGGTATCGCCGTTGTCAAGGTACAGTACTGACAGTATCTAAATTTCTCTCGACAAACAAACACGGACGATCATCACTCTCCACAAATCAAACAACGAACACGATAGAAATACGTCGCAGGAAGATGGTCACCATTATCAAGAAAACGAAGCAGGGAAGCATCGAAGGCCCACACTAAGGAGAAGAAGGCATGAACGCATTGGGCTCATGACTCCGTCCCGGTTGGACCGTGCGGGCCCCACCGGAAACAAAGAGTCGGCCGTCGTGCTCACTTCGAGTTCTTTCGGTGTTTGATTCTGCATGGGGTCTCACCCGTTACGCTACGCGCCGGATGACTGCGCGGCTCGTCGCCTCACTTCGCCTCCGCTGCCTTGATTCATCAAGACGTCGGCTTTAGGGCTTTCTTCCCCGACGAACTGCTGGATGGGGACGCAGATCCGTCTCTCGTCGTCAGCCTTACGCCACGTCATGCACAACGTGACCAAGATAGCACTAGAACCCTCGTTTCCCAGACAGACAAGTCGAGAGAGTGAGTGTTTTGTTCATATTGCCTCTCATTAGTGCTCCTCGTTCATTTCCCCTTGTAAGCTTCAATAATACATTTCTCTCTCCATACTACTATTACGAGAGCTTTGTCCCAGAAGTGAAGTGCTCCAATTCTTTTCATAAATACGATCACTAACTCGGGTTAGACTATCCAATAGATATGCGTATTCTCTCATTCAACTTACCACCCAAGGTAGGAGATAATTTCAAGAATGATAACTAAGGATGTTCTTTGGCGTAAAATTCCTTGTCAAAAGTTCATTCAGGTGGAAGGTTCCACGTCACTCTCGGTAATGTATGGTCAGAGTCAAAATGGACAAGATGATGCATGCCATTTGAGAAGAATTACTTGCTTCCTTTTCCCCATTCGTACAACAGAGCTTTAGATGAACTGCTGAAACATGGATATGTGGTTTACTAGGAAATGTTGAAAGCTCTACTTACCAACTTCAAAGCCATTGAAGGTATTAGGTAGAGTTTCTCCATATCAAAACATGTTGACCTATAAGTATTCCAAAATTGTCTTGTCAAATGGCATCATTGCAAAAGAACATAGTTTGTAGTTGGTACATGATGTAGCCACATTTCTACATGTTTGAAGAAGCTTGCACAAGTGAAATTGTTTTTTCACACATGTATAGCGTTTCAAATTTGAAATTAAACTATATTTCACCCTATTACTAGCAGGAAAAATATGCATGTCTTGAGTAATTGGAGGCAATTTCCTAATTGGAAAACCAGAAATGTGTTTATGACTTGTTAATATGTGAGAATGAACTAAACGTAAATGTGTACAGAAAATATATCATGAGTAGAAGAGTTTGGCTTGATAAGCTTGATACTGGTATGAATAGAAGTGTCATATGTGAGACTTAACTAGGTGTAAGTGGTTAAAGAATTTACATCATGAGAAAGAGTTTGGCTCGATAAGCTTGATGATGGCAAGAATAAAATACTGTCACAATCAAAGATATTTTTATAATGACTATCGGAGAACATACAGCATTTAAGAAGCAACAGATACTTATCAATCATGCAAGGATGCATGATTGATATAGACTTTTTAAAAATCAAATGGCGAATGGCGAATTGAATATTTTATTGTGCTAATTGGACATGTGTCAATGTCAGTGTTCAAGTAGAGACATATGAAGAAGGCCTGAGAATAAGTTCAAGTAAACAAAGTAAAAACAGCATACGTTATTTCAATAAATACTTAATGCCGGTGAGTGTACAGCATATTCTATGATGAGTTCTTCAAATTAACTTTATGAAGATGAGGAATTGAAGGTTGGAAAAGGCTCATCGAGACACGATATCTCTTCCGATAGTCGAATGTTTTTTTGGTATATTGGAACATACGGAACATGTAAAGATTATGAATTCTCAAACATTCTCTCTAATATGCAAATACCAATTATTTACATACCTGATATACGTCACAAACGTTGCGCATGTTGGAAGAGATCGGAGAAACATTCTTGACGCCAAGACGAGATTAGTTGACTATAGCTTGCAAAAAAAAGTCTAGGAGACAAAACAGAAGTCAATTGGATGAAGTTAGCAGTCTTATTTGCAAGATGAGATGATGTGGGCGGAAACGATCAAACAAATATATAAGAATGAAGAAGATAACGTGATTGAGACGTTGATGAAATGTTATTTCGATTTACTTTAAAATCCTACAAGTGGTTTAGGTATTATAACTCAAGCAAATAAAACGCTCTGAATGGAATCAAAATTGAAATGATTGAGAATAATATTTACGAATATTTTTTTATAATATAAAATTTTTATTTTTTTTTCAAAGCGGATCGCTTATTATATTTTGCTCAGAGTTTGTGTAAACAAGGAGATCAAGATCATTTGCAATGGTTGAATTTTTCGTAGATGGAAAGGATGTTCACAATCTCACTATTCTTAGATAAACCGATTCAAATCTATACTTGCATTGAATTCCTTTTTTCCCAACTAAAAAAGGGAATAACAAGTGGTAGAGTGGTGTAGAGGCAGTAAACCATGATTCATTTACAATGAGTCTTTGAGGACTAAGAGCCAAAACAAGGGTTTAGTTTCACCTCCAAGACAAATGTAAGAATGTACTTATCTTTTGAAATACGCTTTGAAGTGTGAAGCAAGAAAAAGAGTAGATACATAGACAATTTACATTGTAATAAAGTTGAGCAAACCCATTGCAAAGTATATTCAGAATTAAATTTCTCAAGAGGACGAGTCTATACAATCAAATTAGGTGATGAATTCTCCTGCTCAAGCTCATACAATGAAGCAGTTGAGTGATTGATTCAATTATAATACCTGTTCCTAAGTAAAGAGTGAGAATGAGAAACTTGAAATTTTCAAAAATGTATGTCTCAAAGATACAAGAATTGAAAGAGATTCTCAACTATATCAAAGAAAGAAAGAGAAGGATAAAGCTCAGGAATTAATAGATAGGTGTGCACATTTGATTTCTTCAAGAAGAAGAAACGCTTCGCACATTTGGGAGAGTTTATAAAGTCTTGGGATGATATGAGAACGCTGTAAAGAGATGCATATGATCGTAGAACAAAAAGTTTAGGAAACTTTGAAGCTTCGCAAACAAAACACTGTGCGCTAACACATAGTGTAGTGTTACCGCCTGCCAGTGTAACATTCAGAGATGAGTGTTACACTGGCAGCGGTAACACTACACATACACACGTTATGCATGATTAGTTGCGAGACCTCGTTGAATAATCGTTATTTGTACTGTTTCGCTATTATGCGCATTCTAGATGGCACCAAGGGCATTTGGTCTAGTGGTATGATTCTTGCTTAGGGTGCAAGAGGTCCCGAGTTCAATTCTCGGAATGCCCCCCATATTTCTGATCTGTACTAAAAATAGTTGTATGGTGTTTTATAACTCAATGACTCCTTACAGGAGGGGTGAAACGTTTTAAAGAGTTCGATCTTGAATGGCGAGTGAATAAATATAGAACGAGGGCTTGAGAAGCTTATGATTCAAAACATTATCTACGTTTAATGGATTTACAGCTTGTAGATATGAGCAATAGAGGGGTTTACTTTATCTTTCACATGTAGTCTATCCTGTAATCAAGAAGATCGACACATTTCTTAAACTATTAGCTTTTAAAATTCATGTCAATTATTAACTCATTTTTGCAATGTGAATGTGGTTTGGGTATGTGATAATTCTCTCTAAGGTTAGAGATCGGAGCATTTGCTAATGTCCACGAAAAATTATTTTTTTTATATTGTTTGTTTTAGAATGATATAAAAAGTGTAAGTCACATTTCTATATATGTTTAGTATCATTCTCAGAATTTGTGTGGAGCTTTAATTTGCTCCAATTTGTTAGACTTTATCTAAAACGATAAACTTTTTTATACCTTGTTAGGTGAAAAGAGAAGGTGTACAGATCAAATTGACTACTTCTTATGAGTATAGCCTTCGTAATTTTAGCTAGATTAATACACTCCCAATCGCCATTCTCCCTTGCTTCTGATCTTTTAGATTAAAATGTATTGTATTCTACATTGAACAGATAAGCTTGGGTTGTTTAGAAGAATGGACCTTTTGTTTAAATATTGATGTAGTTGGTTGATGATTTGTTTCTGTAGCTCACCATCTTCAGTTTACATGATTTGAATCAAACATAACAAAGGTCATTATTGAAAATTGGGAAGAAATACAGGAGGACCGAATGAAAGTTCCTGATTCATCTCAGACACTGAATTTTCTACTTATAGTGGAACTTGCAGCTGTTAAAGTGGAATAAAATCCACTATCTTTTTTGCTGGCAGAAAATCAACCTTACATGAGAAGTGTGTTGTTTTTCTAAGGTTAAACAAATATAACACTTCATAAAAAACTTAAAGATTAGAAGTGTGAATGGAACGAGCCTTGTTGATTGGATACTACAGAACGACAGTTTTAGAGACATAAATACGATAGAAAGTGTTAACATGGACGCGAATCTTACTACTAGAGAGATGAGCAAACGAACATACCACTGGTGTCAATGGCAAGGCCTACTGTAAAGGCCAATAGTATGCTACAATTCCAATCTCCCCGCAAACCTTAAAAGTTGAGATGAAGTATATGAAGTGAAGGTTTCGGAATTCTTTGAAGTTGATATGTGTATACTTCGTAACCTTTTTGGTGTTATAAAGCGTACTTCGACAGCATCCATATCTTCGGAATTCATAACTTTGAGCAAGACAGGTGTTTTGAGCTTTCACTAATCAGTGTTCTAAGGACAATGCTTTACACATTGAACTGATGTTTGTGTATAGAGTAAATCAAGACTGAACTAAAACAACTTGTAACCACTCGAGAAAGGTAGCATATCGACTACGTTGTGAAACACAACATAACGACTGTCTAGAGAATCAATATAAATCATCAAACCGGTAATTGAAAGTTTTCGAAGTGCGTTCCGTCGTCAATCGTAAACTTCTGGCGATATGTTTGGCATGGTAGAGATCTTAGTTAAATGTTTAAAACCTGGTTCCCCTCTCAAAGGCTTCCCAAGACCTCATGGACAGCATGTCTACTGCAAAAGCTGTCAACTCATCTGCTTTTAAACATACAAACCACGCAAATGTGTATAACTTAAGGAACTAGAATTCAAGTTTTTAAGGGGAAGCCCTGATTCTCCATAAATTGTGTGAACAAATCTATGACATTTCCTGTATTATTTAAGAAATACCCCATAGTCTGGTCATGGCTATGTCCCTCAAAGACGGATAACCTGTGTAGCAAGCTCGACAACTCAAACACAGTTCTTTCGAATCTGAAAATTGTGCCCAGATACGAATAACTCGAAATCCTGCCGACTCCACCTTCACTTTTACATCAATTACGTTTCCTAAACAATCTAAAATTACTGTTGCTACCATAAACACTACAGTAATTGACAAAATTGTTGTCGTTCTTCACATACTGTTGAACTAACTCTGTGCAAAATCGTTGCGGAGAGGCATTTGTTTCTACGTTTGATCACGTCAACTATTCTCAAAGGAGAAAAATTGTCATGTGAGGACACGAATCTACTCAGCAAATATCTTGATTCCTGCTCCAAATTAATGGTTCACTCAGTTATTTGAGGATGTTTCCTGGTATTTGGTTCCACTGGTCGCAGTCCATCCGGTTCTCCAGCAAAGAACAGTGCATTATTTTAATGCCAACGCCTGCAGGCTAAATAATTCAGATCATTAATTTTAACTTCCACCCAATAATCCCGCAGAAAACTTACCTGGACTTTCACGATGCTTCGGTATTAATTGCTGATCTCATCCTCTATTTCCATGACACTAATGAAGTCCTGACTTCTCAGTTTCCTCATTCAGCGTCTTGTGGAAGGCCACCTGCACAGAAAGAAATTGCTCAGCTCGTCTTTAACTTTTAGCTCAGGTTCGTCTTGGAAATATGAAGGTTCGACATCGTTAACTCAAATGATTCATATATGACAACGCTTTTCAAACAATACTTACGGAGGTGGATGTTTTCAAAAGCTCTCGAATTGCCATTGTCGCATAGGAGGACGTTTGTAGTGAAAACCGCAACTGGAGAGCCTTAAAAGCTCCTCCTTCCACACTCCCAGGAACCTTTTCTTTATCATCACCAGAAACCTTGGTGATTACGTCCAAGTCACTCTCTATCAAAGATTCTGTTACATCATTGTACATTATGACTTTCCTGCAAGACATTTGTGAATTAGCAATGGTAACGCGCAGATGGATATATGTGTACCAAGAAAATTCTAGGAAACCGTTAACCATGGTGCAATATAGTACATCGGTCCCGGTCTAGAAGATAGTCAGAATGTGGGTTCGTTCATTCGGTTTGCGACTACGAGGTATTGCGGGATATTTCGTGTTTCAACCTGTCATCCCCTCTCATTTCTTGCTGGCTTCGTAATTACAGAAGTACGACAGCCAGATTAAATCTAAATATAACGATCAGCCCTTTCTATGAAGCGTCGTCAGATGATCACATAAAGGATGAACTATACCGTCTAATGCTTTGCCTGTTATAGCCTGAAGATCACGTACTCACAAAGTACCATCGATGTAGAAGAAGTCTAGGGTGTGACCATAATCAACTCTTGCGGCAGAAAACCCTCTAGTTGTCATGATTAGGCCCTTCGGTGAACCTTCCTCACCAAGACATGATTACGAGTATGCAATTAGACACATGAAGGATAAACGGAAGAAGGTATGTATGATACCAATCAAAGTTTTTGGGTTTCTGCACAATGCGCCGATAACCGCCAGTCATATGTGAAATGGAAAAATCCCTGCACCAATTCGAAGAGACTTTAGCCATTTCTTACTATTTCTGAAATGGATGAGTTTAAGCAAAAATAGCGCTTAACTTCGAAGTGGAGACGTAAGTGTCTAAATGATTTGAGCAAAAAAAAAACAGCTGTCTGATACTTACTTCACCTTGTGAGAACATTTACTTAGATCGATAGAATCCTGTTCAAAGAAACACACGCGATATTATATACGATAACAGTACTTCAGAGGAAAACTTGTGTCAGTCAAAGCATGTAGAGAAACTAGCAAAACGTAAGATTTTGAAGAAAATTGCCCCTCTTCATATTTGAGTTACAGAAATTGCTGACCAGTAAAATGTGGATGGATAATAGGGAAAGATTCAACACCTTGCTTGCTAGCTCTTGATATACATCAGCTGTGCTGTTTTTCGGGTACATTACAGAAGAACTACAGAGCACAAGGCCGAAAATTAGTTCGTCAAAAGGCAAACGTGCGCTTCTCATTACGTCGATCTCCACGAGAGTTGACATCCATCTCGCCACACCATCCCTTCCTACGAGGCCTAATTTTGTTGAATATTGACAAATTTGACCTTCTCCTACGAGATTAGCGAAGAGGCTACAAGTTGACTTACCCAGGTAGCGGTAGTACAACATCAGTGATACTGTACATCTTAGAAGTGACGTCTTCAGCTGTAACATACTACATTCATATTGAATTAGATAGCAGAAGTATCTCAAAAGTTGTAACTACTTCTATACTTCTGAATACGCCGTGTTTGCACTGCATAGAAACAAAGTTGAAGTTTCTAGAGGCTATATTGTCCGTACCTTGACTTTCGATAAGGCTTCACGAGCAACATCAACAGTTTCATCAGGTATTTCTGCTTCCTCTTCAGCCACCTCTTCTGAGATGTCCTCCACTTTTTCCGATCTTGGCGGGCTTTCTACGACTTCACTGTTTGCACCTCCTTCGAGATCTTCCCGATAAACAAGGTCACCTTCGACAACCTGGTCAACTCCTGTTCAAAGATTTCATAGAGGGGCAGAAACTTCAAGACTGTTTGTCAACTAGAAAACATGTAACTTACACGGCCAATGACAGCGCTGGATAATATGTACGAGATTGCAGTATATCCTGTTGAAAGCAATACTTCAACTGCAATTCTTTGTTGGCTGAATCCTTGTGATGTGGCTGATGAAAAAACAGACACAAATCGATTTGAAATTCCACAAGTTTTCAGAAGATTGGCCAAGGAAGAAATTACCATATGTTTTTAAACGATGACTGACAGCATGGTTCCACATATAACTCTGATAACTGTGCACAAACCTGATGAAAAAACAGAACCAGCAGAAGTAAGAAGAAATAGATGAGGACATTAAGCTTCACCTTCACATGATAAAATCACACCGCATCAAAGAAGAGCAAAGAGTATATATTGACTTCCCAACATGCATGATGAGGTGGAGAAACTAAAATTTCGAAAGCACCTACATCAGTCGCATAGTTCTCGGTATACAACCGAATGCCGACAACCAATTTCCAGGATGTTTCTTCAAGCCGCTTAGCTGCCAATAAAAATTGGGGAGAAATAAGAATATAATAGATTTGATCTTTGGATATGTGCAATTTCCTCTTGTGCTGAAGGGTTTTCAGAGTTCAACATTTTTAATAGAACAGAGGTGATGAGCAATCCCAAGTTCAACAAATCCGGTAAGAATCCTTGTGATGTAATCAACATATAACTATTATACTAGAGTTTTCCAGCACTCACCAAAGCTCTTTCTGAACCCATTTGCCGCGGGAATCTTTGGAGTGCCCCATCAATGTCATGAGTTCGTGCATAATACTTTCTTGCTTCATCAATTTCTGGCATCTGTAAGCCTAGTTAAGACAAGTTCAACTTGGGCCATGGTTCTAAACTCCTGACCTCACAATCAATATGGAAATGTTGCAGAGGCTAACTTCGACAATCCAAGACGAAGTGGCAGGATATCATCCTCTCGTGGCTGCAAGATCAAGTCCACAGCTGTTTTCCACTCTCCTCTCAGCAAAGCAGCCCCCACAGTGTGTGTCGGTACGGAACCGCTTCCAAACCTCTGCAGATGACCCACTTGATTGAAAAGGTCAGAACTGATATCATTATTTATCTCTCTGGCTGTAAACATTTCTTATGTTGCAATTTGGCTCAATGTCCTGAACATTAAAAATATAATTCTTTGAAATATTTGGCAGCTCTAGCTTGAAAAGTCCTGACAATCAGTAATATTCAACTAGCATATTATGCACATCCATCCATACGTCACCAGTCCATCAACTAAAATAACAAGAATAAGAGAATGAGTCTCCTTTGAAATCTGGGAAAACTAAAAGGACTCGTGGGATTGAGCGACAAAGGAAATCATCAAAAGAGATATGAAAGAGTAAAAGTGAACTTGATCTATACCTGTAGCCCATAATAATTGACAAAGCCCCTCTCTTTCAAGCTCTCTGATGCCTCTGAGATAACGCCATCATCCTCCGCAATGACGTTGCTGAAATGTGTTGGTCAAACAGAGTAATGTTATCAAGGGCCGTGGCGGCTTTGGGGTTCACGTCAATCGTACTGGGAAAAGCAGCAAGGTTTTTGGAATCGTGTACACATACAGTGTGATGATTAAGATTTACTAGGAAGTTAATATCCAGTCAAGACGTCGAAACTGAGCTCGATAGAGCTACATTGGCCATTAACACTTTTTTCTCTATAGAACTATGTCTTGCGATGTACAAAATAGGGATTCAATTTTACTGCTTACCGTAAAGTGATCGTAAACTGATTGCCCGAAAGCTCACCAAGGCCGAGAGAGTTATCTACATAGCTGCACAACAACGTGAATGTTAATAATTACCCTGCGGAGACGTAGAGAATGATAACGCGTGCGGCAACTGCATGATAGAAAACCTCATCTTTGACATCAAGTCTCACAGAATGATATTCTTTGACAACAACATGTAAAGACTTTTCTACATCTTCCTCTGATTTCTTACACAACTCATTTTCTTCACTGTCAGAGTGACCTTCAACAGACTTGTTAAGAAAATGAAAAGGGTTCACATGCAGAGTCCAAAGTCCAACTGCTATACTGAGAGTAAGATTGAAGCGGGTAGGGAAATCACCTGAAGTTACCAACTTTTACTCCCATAAGCTTCTTGTTAAGTAGAGCCAATTTCGCTGCTGGTTGCTTGTAAACAGTTACCTGAAAACAAAAGAGTTTCAGTATAAAAGAAACGTGCAATCTAATTCTGTACTTGGAATTCTGAATAAAACGCCTTGACCCTCCAATGTACATAACGAGTACGAAGAGAGCAGTAGTTTGAAGACTGGGAAGTTTTCATTCATAGGAGGCAAAGAAAGCCCCAGTTCCATTCCTGTTTGTGTATGCATAATGAACCCGTTCACCTTACACGAACGCATGAACCTCAAAAATGAAAACAATTAATTCTACTGAATAGTTCAGAAAAAGGGCTGCAGATACCTGTTGCGTAGTGACGGCTCGTTTGTCTTTGGTACCTGCGAAGGAAAACGATTTGGGCTGCAACACATTGCGAAAACAACATTCATTGTCATCTTCAAAGCCTGAAGCTGTCCAACAGAACTGAAGAGCAATCACATTTCTCAGGAAATGTGGCTCCTTAAGCTTGTATCTCAGATAGTACAGAGCCGAAATGTATATTTATGGAATTAATTGACTCACTTGCACTCCAAGCATGCGGCCAATAATCATCAAGGCATCCTGAGTATTCTTATTCTCCTTGAAAAGGTGAAATCTGCATAAGTTGCCCAATTGTCTCATTGAGCGTTAGTCATAAAAGATACAGCGACAAAATGTAATTTAGTGTGAATATTAACAAACAATTGAAATGAGAAAGGTGAATCTTAAAAAGATGACGCTAGTGAGAATTTTGTGTTTAGACCACCTTCATGGAGTAAATGAAGGTAATGAGATTTCTACTTCATCGAGGATTCACTGTTTGACAGCTGCAAGAACCTCCTCTCCTTCCGAGTTTTTTCTGTGTCTGGTGGTCTCTTCTCTACGATTACTATCAGACAGTTATAAAGCTGTGTATGCGCAGGTCTATGCTAAAAACTATGGTCAGCTGAAATGAGGTAATTCACCCTGCTTGCAGCTGAGCTGACATGGGCTCTCAAAGAGAACAAATCTTCCTTCGTTCCAACTTATGTGTGACCAATCTGTTAGACACGTAGCTGGAAACCGAGAAAATCTACTGAACAAGTCGCGTGTGATCGCTCATCCAAGTGGCACAAAAACCACTATCTATAAAAGTTCCTAGCCAGTACTGAACAAAGAATTTGAAGTTAAAGGCTCAACACAAACTCCTATACCGTGCCAGACCACAAAAAGAGTATCCTATGAGATCTAGATATTGGTCAGAAATGCCTAGAAATGCCTCGCTTGGGATGGTGAGCAGTCAACAGTCCAGGAAACATCAAATTATAAAGAACAAGTACTTACTTCAAAAATTTCGGCTTTAACCAATCATCTCTTCCCCTACTATCAAATGGTGCTGCTTCTGCCGGCCCTCTCTTTTGGCGTTTTGACTGCTTCTCTTTCCAGTCTCCACCTCTTTTATTGCCCCGATCCCGTCGAGAGCCAGCACCACCGCCAGAAGAAAAATACCGGATGCGAACGCACTTCTCAGTCGCTAGGCCTGGTCCATCCACAGTGTCTGTAACCAAGTGGGGCAATCGACTTTTGAAAAAATTGTGAATAGCCTGCGCAGGAAACAACTAATGACTCGATATCAAGGACTGCTCTAAACCCTCTCCAAGTGGATATCCTGAGTTTATGGAGTGGTTCAGTACAAAACAAAGACGGTTGGAAGAAGTCATGCGCATGTTGAGTTTCAGAATCATTTAAACCATAGACGACAAGGCATTTTGTAAGGAAGATCAGCATGGACACTACAGAACAATAAGCAAAATCTATGAATGAACGTAGACCAGATATTAGTCGACTTGCCGCTCTGTGTGCCTTGTCAGAATCTGGGGCAAGCAAGATTGGGGCCAGGTCCTTCAGCTCTTTGTTCTCGGCTATCTTAGCCAGCAATCCTTCCAGCTGCATTGCATCTTCTTCGCCAACGAGCGCCTTGAAGGCTTCAAGGTGATTGGCATCTTCAACCACAGGCACTTCCGGGGCAACTTCGCACTCCTGCGGCACCTGCAGTGCAAGTCACATAATTCATACCGGTTTGTAGACGTTTCATTAAAAAAATTAAATTACCTCAAGTGCAACCAGCAACTCGACTTCAAAAAATTTGTAGTCCTATTTGTAACGCCCAGAGTCTCAGCAATGCAGTGCAATAATCTGCACTGCATTGCCTTTCCTTTCTGGTAAGGCAGGGAGCCGAGCGAGCCGTGACAGTGGAATCTCCTAATTTGAACAACCATTACCTCCTTAACGTGAACTTTAGTATCTTCCGAGTAATTCTTTTCAGGTGGAGGAGTCAAGCTTGTCAGTCGGACTACTTGTCCAGTAAGATCAATTTCATTCACAACAAAGTCAGAATACCTGCAGATATTACAGAAACATGGAAGCTCTTATCAGGTACTGCAAACATAAAGGAGCAGAAACGATAAACAGTCAAAACATTGCTGAATAAATTGCAACCTCTTATCGAGTAAAATGCAGCAGAATCATACCGCTGCTTCAACGTCCCGCGGAAACCAGGAATATTATTCATGTAGCACAAGATACCAACTTCTTCTTCGTTCATGACGTCGTCCGTCCAAGCTGTTGACTGTAAGAATTTGGCATTCACCTTCAAGTAAAAAAACAGAACAGCAAAGGATGGAAAAAAACCGTCTGCAGCTGCAGAGTGTGAAAGGAAAACGAGAATTTGAAATGTTAAAGACCTCGTACTTGAATTGATACGACAGACACGTCGTTACACCAATCTGCACTGCGCGACGTTGTCAAAGCACTAGTCGCGACGGTGGAAGACTTTGAGCCGAAAATTCTCCAATTTGTGAGAGAATCCACTGCCTCAATGCATTGTTGGCCCTGAGTCAGACCTTTAAAAATCTGAGTACGACCCAATTTGCAAATTGCGTCTCTGCAAATTCTGTGCATGAAAACGCATAAACCTCCCGAAAACCCTCACTGATAACAATTAAGATATTTCGGACTCGCGCATGACCACAATCCCTAAATTACCATATTCTGTAATTCCATTCTTATTTCTTAAATTCCTTGTAGCTGAGCCATCTGAATGGCCTCCTTTTCCTTTTACTAGGGTACGTTAGAGAATACTCGGAGACCTACTGTAGCAACAGGAGAGATATCAAAATAAGTAATACATTTTATAAATAAAACATATTATATGTTAAACACAAGGGAAAAACGTTCCTTAGTTGTTTTTATACCGTTTGCCATAATAGGTCAATACTTTCGATGCTATCTAATACTGATGGTACCTAATGCCATGTTACTCATTTGATTTCATCCATGCACCAACTAAAGGTGATATTTTCATAATTTTTCTTGCTCTTTTAAAAAAAACAAGTGGGATGTTCCTTGCCTTTTCAATCTTTGATTTCTCTCTTCCTTCTGTCCTTGTGAATATTCATGCTTGTGAATATTCAATTACTGTTTTATATATATATTACTGAATCAACAACACATGAACAAGCCATGAGGGCTTAAATTCATATATTTAAAATAGCAATCTGAAATACGAAATCGGTTGTTCATACGTAAAAGAATACAAACTGAAGCTACTTTAAATATTTCATAAAATTTGATATTTTAGACTTAATTTTGCAACAATTAGAATGTATTATTCACATGTGTAATTCATGTAAAGCATTACAACCTTTAAATAATTTGTAATTTAAAACGAATGTGATTTGCCAGCTTGGTCATGAGCATTTCCCTCTAATATAGTCATTTGAGTAGAAAAGTCTGTTTTAATCTATTGAATTCTATCTATATTGTTGAGCAAAATAGATGAAATCTAGAAATAATTTATGACACAAATTCTAAATAACCTTACTTGATTTATAGAATGCCGAATCCATGACAAGGAAAATATAGTAAAAAAAAATTTGACCAAAAGTTACTTGATGTTAAATGATATATCATATGCATATGATGAAAAAATAGATTTATCATAGATTCATTCTCAAATATAATCAGTACAGGGATATTAATTTGTTACACTGTGTCTACTTTGAAAGAAGAATCTGATAGCAAAAATTGATAATTTGTTAATATAATCTCAAGTTAGGAAAATTAAAATCGAGCAATTAAACTTTAAACTATTATTTTCTAAATAAATTATCAATATTATCTAGATAATCTTATGATGCATTTTCTAACATTTTTTTTCTAATGTTAACATCATTCATTATTTTTGTGTCGATCATTGGTTGTAGATCAAATGATTTATTTAAAAAATTATCATTAAAAATCATCAATTCACAAAAATCTGAATTTCTTCATACCATGAATAAATTCATCTCCAATTAAGAAAATTCTAGACTGTTGTGGTCAACATGTTGATAAATGATAACATGTGATTAATTTAGTGATGGTGAAAAATGTGCAAAGTAGAAATAATTTTGAAATTTTGCATATATATATATATATATATATATATCATAAGTATTGTACATAAAGACTTTAAACAATTGATTTATAAAACTGAAAATATCAAGGTAAAATATATAATGAAATATCATATAAATCATGATCTAAATAACCAGGAAATGAGGAAAAAATGTTCACAATATTTTTAAAGATTTGTAGGAAAATTTATTGAAATTTATATTATATTTATTTAATTAGAAAATAAAATTAAGTCAAATTCATTACTCACATTATCTATACAATTAAGACTATAATGTTTAATCTATGATCACTTTGCTTTCTATCTATTGCAATAAAACTTTTGATTAAAAAAATCTATATTAAGTCTCCTGGAAGTCGACAATGTATAATTAGAAAAGCATGAATTATTTTTCAAAAAGTATTATCATCTCACCCGTAAAACTTTGGATTATTGCTGTATACTGGCTCACTGGCTAAAAGTGGTCGCTGATCATCCATCAAAGAAGCTCTATTGTCTGCATGGAGGATATTATAATGTTGGATGCATGATATTCTATAATGAAAAAAGTGCAACGTATTGATACTTACGTAACTCGGTATGCATTGCACGGTAGGAATGGTGAAGTATTCGTATGTTATAATGTGTAAAAGAGTTGAGCAAGTACAATGTGCAATGAGTTTGCACGCACAGGAAGGTTTGATGTGCACCGATGACGGGCATGTGCTGCGAGCCACTGCGAAGAAGTTGATCCAAGCTTCAGGGGTATAGTAATCAGACAACCTGCAATCTATGAACACCATGAGCCCATTCACAACTGTGCTGGCCCCGAACTGCATACTCGCAGTTACGGCAGTGCTGGACTGTGTCTTCGAAATGTCGAGTCTGAAAGGCATGCAACTATGATCTATGGACAAACAGATCGAAGAAACTCTTGGGAAGCGACGCTGATTTTGACTCCACGTTGACATTATCTACGCGGTTCCAGACGGTTTACGTTAAGACAGAGGCAAGGCGACTGTTCGAACCGTAGGATTGTTAATCTCTACAGCTTAAGCTTGATAGCCACGTGATCTGGAACGCACTGCTCTGGAGCGACCAATGCTTTGTTAGACACGATTTCAGGGGATGGCAGAGGACATCGATCCCACTGTTCGAGTGTGGAACATTTGAAAGGAAATCGAGCATGTAAGTGCTTGGGGGAAGATTGAGCTAAGAACTTACGGATCCAGTTTGACAGATGTAGGAATTTGGACAGTTGTAGGGCAGAAATCTCCTAATGGTGTCCTCAGGAGGGGTGTGGAAGAGAGAGAGAGAGAGAAAAGGATAGAATAATAGTAATCATTAGATGATATACAGTAATATACACAACATCGTTCTTATATCTGGTCCGTACCTTGAAATATGGAATGACGAGGGCGAGATCGTGATTTTCGAAGGAACCAATACAATGGTTCTGCCAAATACCCGAACAAATAGGTGCCGGCTCAAACAGCCACGCGAAGACTGGAGCTCCGTCCTGGACTTTTGTAGGTATGCTATGGATGTTGCCAACAAAAAGTGAGAATGAAGAGAGCTAGCACATCAACAGAAACTGAAGGCGTTCAATCTTGCACGTCACAGAGCTCTCTTCTTGCCATAAGAGGACAATAATTGAAGATAGGCTCCTGGACATGTCAATCGCCCGTAAGTCAGATCACATCAAGGTTCGCCGACTTCGAATTGTCATCATGATTGGGCGTAGCGTGCAGCTCTTATTCCCTTCAACAAGACACTTGTATCAGATTTTGGTTCTTGATCTATCAGTGAAGACCCTTTGCCATAACCACGAAACTGTAAATAGTGTAATCAAAATGTTTCATAAGTTGTTCATCCAAGTAACGGGACGAAAAGTGTACATAGCAGCAGAGTTTTCTTGTCTAAGAATGCATGATGAACGTCAGAACACAAAAGCCCCTGCAACCTACGGTCCGTCCCCTCTGCACAAATCACCGCGATTGCGTTCACGACAGGCGCATGGCTGTTCGCCTTTCTTTAAGAGAAGTAGATGCTTTACGACGAAACAAGTTGTCACCTAAAAAAAACCCGGTTTGATCTCCTTATAATACAAGGATCAATGAAGTACAAGTATCACTCATAAGGATCGCTCATAAATCTCAAGTATCCTGAAATTTCAAGTTTCACACTCATGAGGATCCTGAAATTTTCATGAAACGAAAGATTTCAGTTGTACTTCCAACTGAAACTAATCTAAGTTCTCTCTCTGATCTATTGTGGTCCAGCCAAAACGCGAGATGGTTGCTTCTTTCTCTACAAGTCCACGTACTCCTTATTATTACTAGTACTACCGTGGCAATACAGTACACGACTCTCCAGTTATGGAGCTGCTGCCTGCGCCTGAAGTGTGACGATGGACTTCATCCTTCTGCACTTCTTCCCCAACTCAGTCGCCACGACTTTGCGTCCGTCGATGAGAGCTGTCGAAACGGGCGACGAGATGATAAACGTGCTGTCGCTGAAACCACTAATTGGATGATGAACTCTATTTGTCTTGTTCATCATCGCGAAGTGAACATTTTGACGTGTCCAGAAACAATGCTAGCTGCTCTTGCTTCCGCTTTGATTTTAAGTAGATGTCGTTCGATCGTCGAGTTGCTTGCTGCAATCCGCAAGCTCTAAAGAATTCCTTCCTTCGGGTCACCTGGATGGATCTCTGTGAGATCGAAGGGCTTGTCCAAAGCCGGCAACCGATGGATGTAAGTAACTAGAGACGATCCCAGCAATGCGCCACGACACCTGTTGCTGAGAGAGCTCACCGCTGATCCCAACTGACTGAACACCGCTGTCTTGGAGGTAAACGATTCGGAGCGGAACCATCTCTTGGGTTCGGGCGCAGCGCTGGCCGTCACTGGACCTGTCTCGATGTCAAGCAAAACTGAGTCGCAATGCGCATTAGGGACATTTCCTTGGCTGTTTTGATTCGTGTTCATCATGGCCGGTGCTCCGGATGTCGCAGCCGAGCTGCTGCTCACCGTCGGCACTGCATTGTTGTATTGAGGCAAGACCGCTCGGTCCTTCATGAGTGCAGGCGTCTCCGATCACCGGCGCTAAAGCGAGGGAAAGCAATCGTCCTCGCCCCTTGGAGTTCTCCTGGAAAACACGTCCAGTCCAATCCTCCCTTCGTCCCGATTAACACCCGCGCATCCCACGAACAATGAAACAGCAGAGAAGAAGAGAGAGGCGGAGACTTATGTTGGCATTCCACGTCGCTCAATGCTCAGGCTCCTGCACCTCATCTCCTCCTCTCCGCTCGAAGCTTAAGCTCTCTACCTCTGAGTCGACTCTTTTCTTCGAATTTAGCTTCGCCCACGGGCTCTTGTATGGCGATCTCCGGGGGAGCAGTGGGAACAGGCGTCCGAAACTGGATCTTCGCGTCTCGGCAATGCGCAGATGCACACGCCAATCTCGGCTGCAGGAGAAGCGGGCTCGCGGGCTCTCGGGCTCGATGTAGCCTGCAGAAGCTAGCTCGCAAAAAGTCGTTAATCAGGTGACTCCAGGCCAGCATCCCGGGAATCAAGAGTCTGAGCAGATTTGCGCACACACAGCACTACTGGACGACAACTGCAGCTCGTGTGTGTGATCAGAGCGAAAGCTATGGCTGCCGCTCTGGCTGGCGCACAGCTGTCTCGCGTCGCTCGGACTCGCCGCGCCTTTTTCTTTACTGCTCCTTCACGTTGCTGCCGCTTTGCGCTGATTTGCTTTCCGCTCGCATGCCACTGCACTTCTCCTCCCACGTACCACGTTCTTTTACTTCTTACCGCATCCCGCTCCTCTGAGAACAACCTGGTGAACCATGCTACATCGCAGTAAGGGTGGGACCCACCTCTAATTGTTTCTCCACATTCCCCACAGTTTGTTCTCGACTGGATGTTGCGGTGATTATACCGCATGAGAAAATGAGCATATTCGTTTTGATTTTAATTTTTCTTCGGATTTATTTTAACATAGTCTGGGTTCTCGAATAAAGTCAATGTGTGCTCATCCATGTAGCTTATACTCTCTATGTATTGGCCATGTCACATTTACGTGTAAAATAGTGGATTCTTACTGGGCCACAGTCGTTTTAATTGGTTCCATTTTTAGTGTTTCCGCAATTTATCGGACCCTCACGCATGGCGAGCACTTCGATTCTTACGAAAAAAGTTCAACAGGATGGGAGGAAGGAGAATTATAATATGGTTTCGTGTATGACGACGATGAACAATGTATTGTGGTGAAAATAGCCCTCCCCCCATACAGCCACATACTGTCTTTTCGTTTCCTAGTTATGCGCGCAACTTATATGTAACAGCCTTGTCAAGGAATCTTAGGATGTGAAGCTCATTCACTGCATTCGTTGCGGGAACCGAGACTGTCCGAAATTTCAAGAATGATTTCAGGGCTTGGACGCGGGATCTTCATACACTCTGTCCAGGTGCTCCCCACGCCCCGCGGATATTTGATCCACACGTCAAACTCAATTACACAAAAAACTGGTGAAAGTAGAATCGAAGTTACTGCTCTCACTTGTCATGGGTTCTATTTTAATCGGCTGAAAGCATGTTCCGCGGAGTGAAGAGCCTTCCCCACATCCCACCTTCTGGGACAAACCTGTGGTGGGGGACGAACTTTAGTGAATGTCATGAATAGCAAACGCATTATAGATACTCCTCTGGGTAAGTTGGAAAGTTGACCTGTGGAGGACGCAGGAACATAACGAAAAGGAGTTGGAAAGTTGGAAAGGCCTCATGCATCCTTTCAAAAAATTGCCTCGTGCTTATGATATCATATTCAATTCGTCATGAGCATCCCAATGTGCTTCGCTTCCTCACTAAATGAAGATACCCATCGCTAAAATTAGCGAGGAAGCATCTTCAGGCAAATATTGGTCGTGTTTTCTCACTCATATTTCCATGACAAGAAGTCCTTTGTAACGCATTCCAAGTGTGTCCCGATAACTTGGAAGAAGTCATACTATAGAAAATTTTCTTATCATCTCTCAAAAATAAAATGTGGCCAAGTGGATAACAAGAATGACGGGAAGAGAGAAGGAAGAAGTGGCATTAGGGGTTAAAGCCAAGAGTTTCACAATGATAATATGCACTACAAAAGCTACATTACCTGATTATCTGCATCAAAAGGTTTTTAAGAGTACAGTAGATTTTTTTTCGACATCATTCTTACATTTGTATGTGGAATATAGTAGTCCTGTTTATTGATTCGATTGAATAACTAACCACAAAATTTTGATTTTAGAATCTATTTGCTGAAATGTTACGGCCCTCGAAATGAATGTTTGTACCAATAAGAAAGCCGCGTGAAGCCCGATATCATTCGGCTTTCTTTGTACTTTAAAAGACACCATATAACATTCCACTTTTGACTGCTGATCAAATGCCAAATTTAAAACTATCTTGTTACTTAGGCTGAACACGTTTAACATTGACCCATTTGGACAATGGAATGAATGGCTTGGCCTGAACAGGAACTTTCCTACCAACCCACTGAATCAAGTGAACGTCCACTTACAAATTTTAGTTATTTGTTTTCCTTGAATTGAATGTCATGTTCTGGCGTTCTCCAGCTTAGATCTCCTTAGTGTATGGAAGATCTCTGAGTTCGGAGCGCTGCAACAGCAATAATATTAGCAACTTCTGTATGTCGCGGGCCAGCCCCATGTGGTTGAGGGAATCTGTTTGGCAGTATTCCATGGTATTAATTATTAATTTTAGACTGAAAATTTTGATACTGACAGTGTGAAGAGGAGCCTCGGTGATCTCAAAATTTGCCATCGTTGTGATTGATCTTAGTGAAGATCTCTCTTCGATGTCAACCTAGCTGGCTGAGGAAATACACGAAAGATCTCAGAAATTCTCACCAGTTCAGGGGCAGTATTCGCGGTGCGAAATATGCTGACTTCAAGACTGAATAACTTCGAGAGTTGTTGTATTGTTGCGAGTCACATCTTAGTGGCATGATGACAAGATTCCAGTAAACGAGCACAGAAGGACCAGAGCTACAAAAGCCCCCACAACGATCAGCGGAGGATGCCGAGAGCTTGGCAGAGATCGATGGAGGACAGCGCTCGTTTGGACACTATATAATGCAATGAAGCTGTAAAGGGAGTTTAGCGGAACATAAGTTAGCGGGACAGCAGTGGAATTCGCAGTCCAACGTGAGCAACCAGCTAGCGATTTTGTGAGGCCTATGCTGTTCCCATGTAGATTTGGGGCGGCCACTCGTTGGTCACCCTCTTATTTTAGTGCTCTCGCTGGTTGCCAGCGCTGTGACCAGAGGATTCCTTCGACATTCGAAATGCTCGAGACTGCTTTTCCATGGACCGACCAAGATTATACTGGCTGGTGGGACCATTGACAGAGCTGTGAGCAATTTTGTTGGGACCACGCTCATGGGGTCGGAGGTACTCGTGTTGGTAACCAATAATTGACTTCGCTGACACTGTGCGCACCCGAAAGACAAGCAGCCGGACAGGAAACAGCCCACACTCAAGCTGGGCCTCAAGTCACGCTTCAGAATTTAAGGATTCAGGAATCACGGTGTACAGACCACGGGAGAAGTTTGAATCTCGGTCAAACTCAAAACTTAACTCCTGATGGTGTGATTTGAATGATGGGCATATGTCTCGCAGATTCTGAAGATGGATCTGACGATCGATCTAGCCAATTTGTTTGTGGGTGTTCTCAATTATCAGATTGTACGCATTACGCGGGTTCAGGACCCAGTAACAGAGTGCAGTATAAACTCGTGTTGGTTAAAGCCTGCCTCAAACTCCTAACCATTACGTTTCTCCAAGACTTGCAGAGCAAATGTTAGGTGGTGTACACTCTGTACAGTGTGAAGAAGGATGTCCAGGGATGCTAAACTGAGAGTGGCGGCCAATGACCCGACCCGAGTCGAACGGATTTTGTCAATTCTCCACGTTGGGTTTTCAAGTGCTCATGCAAATTTGGCAGATGCGGATCTGCTCCTTACATGATTCATCCTCCATAAACCAAAAGCTTAGGATCTGGGTCTGCAACCTACGCAGTTCATCTGACCCAGATCCAAATGTTTGCCTAGACGGATATGCTACACCGCAATTCCGAAAGTGTTCATTTTCAAGGGATATGATGGAGGACCTAGTAAACAGTCTGCTGCAACCATAATATTTTAGTCACACGATTCTTCCCTCCCATGACAAACTCAGGAAGTTGGAAAATGTGCTTGTCAGTAAACAAAAAGCTCCTTTTCCCATATCAGTTGCATGCAACTGCTCGAATGCAGAAATTGGATTCAAAAGGACCAAGATAAGGGGAGACTCGACTGCCCTACTCCGTTTCAAAAAAAATAATGCCACTTCCTCGTTGTGGGCTTGATGGGATCTTCCCATCTTTTTTGCTATCCACTTGGCCCCTTTTCCTCGTCGTTGTTGAATAGATTGCCGCGTATGAGAAAACTCCACATCGCACAGAGTGCACTTCCACGTGTGTACAGAGACAACCCTTAGGGCTGCCCGGCTCAATGCTAGATAGAATGATGGCGTGTATATGATGCAAAAAGTAGAAAAGCAGCGAGGCGCAAAAACATTTATTCCACATTTTAGGTTGGGCTCTTTGCTGGGAGGAGCTAGTGCTTAGGTAGGAGCATTTCTGTGGTCGAGGCTTCACGAGTGCCTCGGGAAGCATACCCGAGAACCATTCATCAATTCCAGGGTAGCTTCCGAAGGTGCCCAGTCAATCACTGATCTAAGCACCCCGGCACCGTAGACCGAAATTTTACCGCGCGATTCAAGTTTATATCGAAGTTTATATTCAAGTTTACAGTGGAAGTGAAGCTGAGTTCGTGCATGGTGCTCATTCTATATTACTTTATATCATCGGACGACTCAGTATTGCGTACCGTGGGTCAGTGTAAAACCATTGTTCAGTTCTAGATCGACAAGAGCTGTGACAGAGAGTTTTGACCACGATAAGAAAAGTGAGGCACAGTGTAGGCCCCACAAGCAGCTGGGTTAGATGCTGATATGACGAGAAGTAAATCATGAAAACCAAATGAGGAAAGCACACCATGCACCACGAGATCCTCACCTATCGTTACAAGGACTGCTCTGAAACTCCACATGACCGGACCCAGAAACTCGGAGTGAGAACTGGGATCGGCTGTCTGGTAAACGTGTGGGCCAAGTTTGAAGTTGCGTCTTTGAGCTGTTTCAACAAGACAAGAATTTTCTCCTCCGTAGTGCTGTCAGATGTTTGGTTCATCATTAGCATTCTGCTTCAGATTCACAGAGACACCCCGTGAGACTAAGATTCATCTGAGACACGCGAGGTGCATACATGCATGTCTGACCCGCTGCATGTAAAGATTTATTCCATCTTCAGTTCAATGGTGACAAGGTAAGCTCTGATGTACGAATGTTTCCAACTTATTACAGTACCACAGAGTCATCCAGATTCTCCTTTACAAATGCGCCGAGTCTTCAATTGACCGTACTCATAAGATATTTCAAAACTCGTAAAATGGAGGAGTAACTATGGGTGGAGCTTTCAACTCTTGATGTTCCAGATTCACTCTCCAGGCTCACTCAAATGATAGAATCTCGGGTATCGGGAACAGCGAACGTTCTGCATGGAGTCAACGATACACTGTCCTCTGAGTGTAAATTGCTAGTAGAAGTCGCGTCAGAGTTAGTGACCATGGCACCACGGATGACAGGAAAGGCTATCCTGGACAGTAGACTTTCTCTTGAGTCACTCTCAGCAGCGAAGAGTTGAACCAAGCCAGGAGTTACATTTTCCTATTCTGTATTTTGGACAAATCAGTTTTCCTCAAATGCATCGGTCATGTGACATACTGACATAAAATGTTACAGATAAGATCCGTTTGTCACAATTTTGTCTGCACACCTGGTGGCAGGTAATTTGTAATTTTGTAGCCATTGCAAGTCGCCCACTCCATATCATACGAAGAGACTTCATACCAAAGAAGAGTAACTTTCCTGGTCTCGGTTGAACAAAGCAAGCAGATGTGGTGCTCCGTCAAACCTCAAACGATCATCTGTCTGTGAGAAGCATCTACAGTGAGTCTAGCTCCCGATGAGCAACGATGACTAGATAACCACTGAAACCTGGAATCATATTCACTGAGAGTAAGATTGCACACTGTCAGAGGACCGTTGCAGATCGGCGTTGTGAGGAGTCGTAGAGTTTGAACGTTCGTAATGTATATCTCTCTTACCTTGCGGTCTCTTGTCGTATTTTGTGCGATCCTAACAGATCTTGTTCATTGGTGGCTCACAGTCGTGAGTTCTCATTGAAACCACAACATTCGAATCATCACTTTGGGATAGATCACAATATATTCCCGGGACGTGCTGGCCTTGAAAGGGTGTGACTAGACGAAAACTGGTGTGCACTTCATCCTCACTCTTTTCAGCTCACGAGGACCTGAATCTATGGACTCGGTCTGGCCTGCGCAAAGCCACCTCTGCAAGCTCAATCATGAAGGAAAAACAAACCGGATCCAGATTCGAATCTCATTTCGAGGAATCTGCATGAGGTGCATGTGCCATCGGAATGGGCTTCGGTGGAATGGAATTTAAGTTGTATCGACCAGTTATGTGTCGACCTGGAGTGAATGTTTGGCAATTTCCAGGTGGGATAAGGGCTTGGGGCCATTGTTCAGGAAGAATGTGCAAGAACTGTCACCGTAGTTTGCCTCCAATCTGCGGATCCCTTGACCTGCCGTTATATAGCGGAGGGAGTGGGTGCAACCATTATTTTTTCATGTACATATTATTTTCGTTGTATCTGGATTTTCAATTCTTGTGAACCAATGTATAGATCTACCAGTAAAAAAAAGTTTTACATATATCTGTATGTATTTTTAAAGCACAATATTTAGATGATAATATCTCAACACAAATTGATCCCAATGATCTATTCCACATTCAAGATCCAAAAATCATATTTCATTCATACTAATAGCCTCATCAAATTTTACTATGATCAATACATCAACAAACTCATATTTTGATCACAATCAAAAGTTGGAATTGATAGAACAAATACTTCTGAGGAATTAAATTTTTTAAAGTTCATCCTTGTTCATCCTTGTTATTTCTCTTCATATTTTGAATGAAAATTGCAAAATTAATGGCATGATAGATATAATCAAATATATCACTAACATGCCAAAGAATTTATATAGAAATTAATTATAAAGATATTATTACGCTATCTATATATATGATCAGATGAAGTTATATATTACAAATCAACATGATATGTTCAAACATTATACATACATACATCATCATGGCAAACTTTTTGGATTAAACATCTAACTCACTTGTTATTTTAATCTGAAGAAATATATATGTTTGTACATTAGATTTTCTAATAATTTTGATAGGAATTTATAATTTATAATCATTTACTTTTGTAAGTTTGGACATCTTGACAGTTTGGACACACTAAATTATATTAGAATTTATTTTTATCAATTTTACATTATTTACAATATAAACACATAAAAAATTGAATTATTACTAAAAATAATAATGTCTTTAACATTATTATTATTTGGGATATTTTTGTAGGATAAACTTCATGTTCCATTGATGTAGATTCCATGAAGTGGATTCAAGTAGTTTGTATTGACTCTCTTCCATTGTGATGTCTTACTCAGTGACGTTAGAGTTTTTTTTCAACAAATTGATTATATGTTTAGATTTTGAAATTGTAGACAAACACAATGAAGGAAGAATTGATGTTATACTTTTTTAGAAAATTTCAAAAAAATCTGATTTTTAATTTTTATTCAACATCTATAATCACAAAAGAATTATATTTTTGTTAAATAATGATAAAACAGCTTATTGCTATAACTTTGAACATTACCAACAAAAATTTAATGCATTTCTAGTTTCTTATTTACAAACTCATGAAGCTAAAATTTTTTTATAATGATATAATTAATTGCATGATGTTTTAAAAAAATATGATGTAATTTTATCTCATTTTGCATATAAATATCAATTTATTTATATGTAATGGTAAAAAAATCAAAATATATAGAAATCATAAAAAAATTATTAAGCTTATATTTTATCATTTTAAAAATAATCTAAAAAATGAATATTGTATCCAAGGATGAAAAAAAATGAATAAACTGTAAATTAAAAAATTACACTAAATTGTATAAAACTCTTGCTTCTAAGATATGGTTGCATACGGAATGATTGGAATGCAACCATTCAATAATTTCTTCTTTGTCTCAAAAGAATGACAAAATGATTAAAATAAATTCCAATTTGATTTATTTATTTTTATTTTGTGTATTAAAAATTTCAAATATTCAGTATATATGATGATATTACATAAAAAATTATCCTATATACTACATTACACATCATTAAAATATATAATTTAGAAATGCATCATAAATTATAGGTAAATGAATTATAGAAAATGAACTGCTTATTAAAAATATTAAGAAATGTTTAATGTGAAGAATGAAATTTAGATTTTGTTTTGATAAATATGTATCACCGGCTAACTCCATTTATCTTGTATCACAAAAGGTGGTTAATGTAAATGCAATGTATTTGATATTAGTACGGATAAAATTTCTAAAGATGGAAGAGTTTAATATGTATCTTATTCATGACAAATCATGAAGAAAATGTTCTCTTTTATAAACAACGAACAATATTCAATATAAGCTGTTAACAATATTGTTATCTGAAATCTATAATCATCTTATAATCTATGTATTCCAAAGAAAAAAAATCTAATATCATTATTGACGTCACATTTTCTTAAGCAATATATGAGCAGTTTTTAAAAATAAATAGACTAAATATTGATGGCTAGATATTTCATTCTTATGAAGATGTTTGATACACGCTTGATGTGTATGAGTCATATCATTGACTTTGCTTGAGATTATTGCGCATTTATTTTTTAAGTGCAACAAACATTGCATGAGCATTGTGTTATTTACCATTTATCATTATACTCGTCACTTTACAACATTGCATTAGTTGTAAAATGATGAATGTAGTTATTTGTTTTAGACAATTTGGTTATTCTAGTGATCTATATTGTATCGATCTAGATTATTCTTAGTTGTTTTGGATTGTTATACTTTTGAAACATAAGGCCTAGTTGGCCCTTTCGTTTCTCTATCATAAAATTAATAAGATTTTTCTATTAATATAAATAATTTACTTGTCCCCTTTTTGATCTTTCGCTAGAAAGATAATTCATATAAAGATATACATAGATTAACACATTGCACAATATTTTATATATTGAATGAAATTTGTAATCACATATGTAAGTTAAGGATGTTTGATCATTAGAGAACTTCCGAGCCTTATTTATCAAACTTTTACCTTTTTCATTCCCTACTAAGTTTGTCTATGGGAGCATCCATGAATATCTACCCCTTTGATGGTAGTTAAATTTTGATGCTTTCCCTTTTAAACAAATTGTGAATGGCCTGGATATTTTAAATAAACACTGGTCAGACAAGGTAAGCTAACCATCATGATATTATACATGATGTAATATAAGTTGTAGAAACTACATTCAAATGCACAATAGGTTGACTGAGGAGGAAGTGTTAGGTCAACAACTGTTCGGTACCTATAGTCCAGGTAGACGCAACGCTTCATTACAAACGCGACTTTCACAAAACATCGAAAAAGAATATTTATTTAGATGACGACTTCTTATATATTTTCTCTGCTCGTTGTAAGCTGGTCTCGGAATATAAAGGAATAAACTGGAAAACTATCTGGACTCTAGACATGGACCGCCAAGTCCTCATGCCCCGCTAGTGAAGTTGAACCGCTGGTCCGATCCGAGTGTCCGAGATCTCGGGCCTCGGAATCTGAGACTGAACCGACTGACGTTAGATTGTCTCACTCTCTGTGCCAGGTTTAGTGCCGGTCGAGCCAAAAGAGACAGACAAGCTTTGGCGCGTCCTACAGTACTTCGAAACCGGGCTGTTTGAATAGTTGTCCGGTAGAGCCGGTTTTATCTCGGAGGTGAAGACTCTGTGCCAGTACGCCGGCCCGGTGAAATTGGTCTTGTGATCCGATTGCTCCTGGCGACGGGCAACGACTAAAATCGTTGGAATCGCGATGGAGGGCAAGGGTCGCGTGCGTTCATCGTCGTTCCCGGTATCGTTGCTCTGAGGAATCTTTCGTCGTCAGAAGTGTCTTGTGCGATGCAGGGCCACGTCGCGCAAATTCCCACTAGCTTCGGCAAGGAGCTTCGAGCCTGTTTGCGATGCAGCCTTGTCAAGACTTACAATCAGGTGCAGTGTTTTCACGCCCCTCGTTGTTGAGTTCTTCGCTGATTTTGAAGGAGAGCCAATCAGAAGCTTAATGTCTGATTGCAGCTGGCAGACATAATCAATGTCCTCTGTTCATTATCCATCTTTGAATTATCGAGTAAAGTACGGCCTTGTGTGAGCGACAAGGGGTTCAATAGCCATCTCGCTTTGTTAGGGTTTTGGGTTTACCTCTTCACCTGGAATGTAGAGTGCAGGGCAAGCTTGGGAATTTTTTGGGCAGTTGCTTCAAGAAATTACTCCCATTTGACGCTGTCTGACTTTCGTCCTAGGACAATCCATTCCGTGTTCACTATGTGCCCGCTTGGTGATGCACAAATTTGTAATTAGCATGGACACTTTGTCACGTTTGATTCTCTCTGTTGGAACTTACTTCTCTGTAGTTTCAGTTACTTGTGATTTACACTGTCCCCTGTATTGAATGTTTCAGTTTACAGACACTGGATGTGAGAATTGTCCATTTTTTAACATGGATCAAGACAATGATCGAGTGCTTGAATGCACAACACCCAATTTTGCAGGGTAATTGTCACACTTTAAGTACATGTATGACCTATCACGTTTCTTACATGGTTACTGCTATATGACACACACAACTGACTTTTCTTATTTATGGAGGAAAGTAATGAGGTTGTCGCTCAATTCATTATCATTTATCCTTTCTGGTTTGTGGTCGTGTATCTTAGTCGAAGGCGTTCAGCCAGATATTATTTCTCATACATATCGTCCGAATTTATTTTTTCTTCAGAGTTATTGCATCCATGGAGCCATCTGGTAGCTGGGCAGCACGTTGGCAAAGAATAAGTAAGAGAGTTACCCTCGCTCTCATTATCTCCTTTGTACTTTTTGTTGGGGACAGGAGTCTGCCTTGAATTCGATAGATTGGGATAATCGGAGTCACCAGTTTAACGGGTAAATGATTTTGTATTATCCTGTGTGCATATCCTTATGTGGCAACAAACTTATCGTTCAGGCAAATTTGCTCCTGGTTGTTACGCACTTTCCGTCACTGGCATGCTTCCAGAAGAGATGCAGGTATGTCCAGTAGCACTGTCCTTGTTCACTTAGCAAATGTAGCAAGAACTATCTCAATTTTACTGTTCCCTGCCCACAGAACATGAGACCAAATCGCTTGTAACTTTCATACGGTGAAGAGACCAGAAGTTTATGTTGGAAGAAACTCGTGAATTAGAGATCAGGGTTAATAGATTATGATGTGGTCATGTCAAGCCGTGTCAAACCTCAACTTCACGTGCATCGAGGAAGTCAGCTAGGTGCACTGTTTGTTCCTGATATGCCAGGTTTACTGCTGTATGGTCATATCTGTGTGCGATTTGTACTGGCTTTCGTCGGAATATAAAATTCTACTGAAGTTTTTTTGGTGGTGGAATGTGCAGGCTATTTGCGAACATAATAATGTGCGCTATGTTCCTCGCAACTGAGCTGTTAAAAAATTTCGTGCAATTGCTCTGAAGTTTAAAAAGGAACAATCTTCGATAACATTGAACTCATTCATAAAGGATGGACATGACCCATGGCTTTAGCAGCTTGATTAGTTTCTGAAAGAACTGTATCGGAAGCCAGTTGACTTCAGCAGTTAGGTGATAAATCTCATTAATGCATTTAGATCCAAGACAAGGTACGTAGTATTTTAAGTTGTTCTTCTTCTAGAGAAGGTTGATTTACACACCATGATTCTTATTGGCTTCTGAGCTCCGGATTATCTGAAGGGAGGCTGATCAGCAATTCTCGCAGACGCTTTCGTCAGCAGAGTAGTAAATAGCAAATAGAAAGCACATATAATTAAAATGGAATGCCGAATTTTGGACGAGCCGTTTTAAAGTTAGGAGAAACCATCTGCTTTATGGTGGGCTTAAGTGGTGCACTAAAGCGCCGAAAATCCCTAGTGCACCACTTAAGCCCACCAGCAAAGCAAAGCAAGGAGAAGTGTGGTGTGGAGTGGCGGCATTTACTGCCAATCACTCTATTGCTGGATACAGCAAGAGAGTGGTGATTGGTTTGGGATAATCTGCTATAAATGAGTGAGTGATGAACAAGAAAATACTTGAGTTTAATGTAATGATTAATTTCATGGGAACGTTCATGGTCTACTTGAAGAATAATCGAGCACACTTCAGAAGTATGAACAACTGCTGATCGACCGTGCACCTGTCCTTTATTCAGTGATGTGCACATCCGAGTCCAACATCAAACGGTGCATCCACCTGTAATCTGAGATTATACTGCCAATCATATTGCCTATGAAGAGCTGCAACTGTAAGGAGAACAGGCTGCAACTGCAACCTGTTCTCCTTACATAACCTTGAAACCTATATAAGCACTCTTGTCTTGCCAACCACAGCGAATCGACTTTCAGAACACGGGGATATCAACGATCACATGTAAACTGTAAACGATTGGGTTTAGCTATGTGAAGTATGGGTGAATATAGCTTGAGAGGGAGGTTTGGAGCCGTCCGAAGTTTTTAACACTTCAGAAGAAAGGTTACATATTGAGGGATCTGCTGCTAAACTAGTGCTCTTGTTTAGGTGTTAGATTACACACACAGACGATTGCATCGAGGAGGTAAGAGAGAATTTGTGCTGGAAGATTGCCATTATACATACAACGGATCAATCGCACGAAAGTTGGAGAGCTCACGGTGTAAGTCACCTTCTATATGGAACCGAATTCTGAGCCGTAAGTTGAATCTAAGAATCAGGTTCCTCTGTGGCTTCATAGACATTATACAACACCTGCTCTGTCCGCTCCTCAGCAGCGTGGCAGTATAGGTACCCGTAAAGACATAACGAAATGATGGTCACGGATTCTACACACTCGGTATCTACACACTAGGTATCGTGTGAACTGTATCGTGTGATCTGTACCTTATATCAACTTCATCCTTCGAAGACATCAAAGCTCATTAGTACTGATTTGAGAGCTCGATCTGACTTGTAGGTTCAACTGCTCCAGTGAAAGACCTGCAACGACAGCTTCCTGAAGAGAACACCCACGAAAAGTGTCTTGAAGCTAGAGTTCCAATTGGAATCATTCTGATACCGATTTATGAATGGACTGAGCTGAGAATTGCTATTTGCCTGCATGGATGATGAAGCTGGCTGTCTGATAAGATCCTTAATGTTCCTAAGCTACTCACCGATCGACCACCTAAATGCAATGTAAAATCTGCAGACGCGACCTACTCAGGCTCCGTGTGCGCGAGGAAGGCTGGCTATTATGATGGCCCAAATGCGTCTCAAATAATCCTCCACAATCATGAGCTGGGTAGCTAGTTGGGTGGAATCACCGTAATGCTGTAACTTCGCCATCCACTCCTCGAATGGGAAAGGAGCATCCCTCTGCTCTTCTGCTTGACATTCTTCAGGTTTAGAAGTGACCGATCCCGTGTGCTGAGACGAGTCTATCGCAGCATTGACTAGAATGAAATCACTACCCAAGAAAGTGAAATTCAAGACATTCGTTTCCATCGTGGACCTGAAGGGATCGGCAGATTTCACGAGCTGAGCTGAGGCTCGAAAAAGATCTGCAACCCAAGTTAACAAATCTCTGTGCTCACAGGAGCCCTCATCAACTTCGGGTGTCATGTCATTCGATCACAAGAGTCAGAAATATCTATCTATATCTCAGACCGACCACCATTCCATTCAAAATAACAAGCCCCCTTGTTTACGAGATGCATGGATGAATTTCAGCCCAACCAGTACAATAACGTTCCGATTCCCCAAACTATGAGAATGTTAAGCTGGAGCAAGAGCACCTTGCAGTTCCCGGAGACGAGCTCGAGGTGGGAAAGCTTCCGTGGCCGCAACATCATCTACTTAAGTGGTTAAAGCTGTTATCCATGGTGGTCCCCAGGTCCCCAAGTCTGAGCCCGAGACAAATAGCTCTATGTGACGGATGCATGTACGTATCCGGTTCTAATTTTCTGATCTAGATCTCGTCTGGTTTATGGGTCGAAATGACTAGAATTAAAGAACTTCAATTTGTCGTGTCCTATGGGATCTGATTTCAAACATCTCCGTGAGTTGCAACTGAGGACTTTCTAGCTGGGCATGAAGAGGAACGAGCATGGAGGAAACTTTATTGAGCTTTCGGGACAAAGATCCTCAAGTAAGCGTCGACTGCCGTCCACGCCAGTCCTTCAACAGAATGTTGACAAGCGGCTGACTTACTTGGTACCGTGCCTGCATGTCTCGAGTGTTCTTTGTAAGATTCTTCACTTTATGGCTACCACTTCCCACGCTGGGCCAACTAACACTGTTATCTTCCGAAACTTTAATTTCTCTCCAAACCCATCGATAAACATGAAGTGTAAAATTCTAGTTTCAATTTTGTACTCGTAAGTCTGCTAGAATTCCTAAACACGCCATTCTGCTTCTGGGTTAGAATCTATATTATTATCATTGTTTTTGGGATGCTGGTCTTTGGATCGTATGTTCTATTGACTACTTCAACGTATGTTATTTGCATATTTGTTCTTATTTATATTTGATTATGTTATATTTTTGAATACAAGAAATTTTGTCATTAGAAGAACTACGTCATTCTCATCGAACAAGAAACAAACCGTAGGACAAAGGAAAGTCGCGCAGAAAGGCAAAGGAGAATGAAGTCAATAAATCGTAATCAGAATTGAAGGACTCAATGGAAGCAAACCATATGCAAACTGCCATGTACCGAAGATGCTTACAGTGACCTTATTGAGAGAAGAGTAGCCGTTCCCGCCTTGAGCAGATTTGGTTCAATCTGAGGTTGTCAATGTAAACCTACCGATCTCCTGTAGGACAGTATATGTCTCGATGACCAATCTTGTTCAACAAAGCTTTGGGCATCGCTATGACCAGGCGGTACACAGTGTGAAATCCACAGGTGTTAGGGAGCCCAAATTTCATGACATTGGAGATAAATTCACCAAATATTTTGTTCGTCATTTTCGATCTACTGTGTCTCATATATTCAGCAGATCGATGAAGGTTGTAACTCGTGAAAATCACCAAGGTTCATAACCATGACAAGTTTGTCAGGCAGTTCGATTGGCAGCATTCGCAGGTCGAGTGCTTCTCGCTTGATCAAGAGTATCAAAGATTATACACTACTGGGAATATAAAAGATTTGTCGACGTCTTTTTCTGGCAGCATAAAAGATTTGTGCGAAATGTCGGACAACTGTTAAGGGCAATTGAGAAACTGAAGTTGTAGGGGCTTGGTCTTCCTACAATCAATATGCTGAAAGCTTGGATTTAAACGAGCTGCAGGGTTCGAAGTCCAGGAACACAAGTTCCATGGAAAGTGTAAGTAACGTAATAGGTACTCTTTTGTCAGAAGTGGGATTTGAACCCACGCCTCTCACGAGACCCGAACTTGAGCCGGGCGCCTTAGACCACTCGGCCATCCTGACACATGTCAAAAGTTGATTTAGGAATTATTACCATACTCACACTAAACTGGTTAGTAAAGTTCAAGATGCACAGTAGATTCAGAATCAGGAAGCAACAACAAGATTCTTAAATAGATTGAAGCCAAGTTTATATTCTAAACCCTCCACTACCTCGTCTACGATGTTGAAACTTTGAACCAAGCCTAACAAATTGGAGACGCAGTTTGAACAAATCCTGCAAAAGATGTGAGTAATTTCAAGAACATACTGTATTTAGTTTGATTCCTTCAGTTTGATTGCTTCACGAGCTTTTTTCAACCTAGTACCATCGATATGAGAAACGATTGACGTTGACTTGATAACTCAAATAGGTTCTACTATCTACTTGTCGAATCTCTTGTGAATGCTCTCATGAGTAAAACAAGCATACTTGTTTTCCTGTTTACTTCTGTAACTTGCTTTGGAGCACATAGAATAGATGGCAAGATTTGTATATTCATCTAGGGGATATTTTCTTTCATTTTATTTTAAATCTCCTGGCAGCATGTTCATAATTAGTCGTTTCTGATGTTTTCGCTGACCAATATTTATCGCTTTGCATTGGTGTCATCATCATTGACACCAAAGAACGAATAAGAATTTGGATCCAAGAGAGGCCCAAATGGGGCAGGGAACTCAGGCGAAAAAGCACGCAAGTGGAGTACTTCCAATGCCAGGGCAGATCTACAACCTCTACTGAATACAAATCGCTTCAAAATCTTAACCGATGTTGTGATTGAAATTTAAAATATAGTTGAAGTTCTCTTAGATTTGTTTGAGACGGTCAAGGAGTTAGTTTTATAAATTATCTTTGTACTACGATATATTTGCTCGAAGTCAACGGCACATATGACATGTCGTTCAAACTTCTTGAAAATAAGGTCATGGATGCTTTAGGAGCTTTCCATAAATAACGAATCTTTATTGAAGAAGTTTGATCGCCAACTACCCAAAAGCTAATACGAACTATAGCTACTCAAGAGCCTAATGCGAAGCAACACTACTCTGACTAAGATCTAGAATCTGAAAGGTTCAAGTGTGCAATATGGTAGAGAATGAAGTCGTACTAAATTGATCAGAAAAATGAATATGTGGGTGATGTGAACCATAGTACACCCTCCGAACCAGAAAAAAGCCCGCATAGATAGTGAACAAAAGGCAAGTCAAAGTTTTGTGACATGCTGACAAGGTGGCATATGTCTATAACTTTGAATTGATAAGTTGGGATTCTTGACCGAAAAATCCTTAGTAGAGAAAAATACGCAAACTTACAATATGACACTGACACCTTGAATCCTCAAATGAGCCATCTGTAAATATATAAGTCGTCCATTTGATATGTGGCCGTGGTTTACCGAAACACTGCTCATTTCGTATAGGTAGGTAACTGAACACGTCCATATAACCTATGTACAAGCCTGAATTCAAAATCGGATGTTACTCACGCTCTGACTATAACATCCCATACGTTCTTGAATATAGGAAATGTACAAAAATAGATATAATATATCTCATTTGACTAAAGAGGATATTTCAAATCAGAGCTCTTACTTACTTGCAAAAGTTATAACCATATTATGTACATATGAAAGCAAGCATGCTCCAACTTCTGCTAGTCTCCATGTTAGTAAATACTCTTGAACATGGAAGAAAGAATAATATCAGCTATTTGTCCGAGTCGTCGCGGTCACCATCGGAACAATGATGGATAATCTTGTGCTAAGAGGCTTTCCAGTGATATCGCACTATTGTTATAGAGTGTAGCCAAGTCCTCCGATATCAATCATTGCTTGGGATTGCTCATGCCCGTCACTGATCACATGCATTTTCAAGTGAACTTCCCAAAGCGTCAAGCTTACAAATCAAAGTCCACCTTGTACACTCTTCCATCAAAAGTTGTACAAAATGTCTTATAACTCTAAACTAGGAAAATCGATTCGATGTTGAAAATCGAATCGAGATATAATTGAGAAAATTATGTGTATGGATAGATATGGACAGCTAAAATCTTAGAAATCAAGCTTTTGTCTAATCAGAAGAGCAATCAATCACACCATCATTCATCGTTTCACTAAACATGATGCCCTTCAATGGAGGGCGAGGAGAGGCGGGCCCTTCAATGGAGGGCCCGCATCTTGCTGTGGTGTACTTTGGGAGCACTATGTGACTTAGATCCTTTAATTTATCGAATTATCATCGATATAGGAGATCTCTTCGATCAAGAGTTTAGTTCGATCAAGAACAGGGAGCTAGCTCCCTGTTCTAGAAAATTGGACTTCTGATCCCTTACATGAATATCGATTCCACTCAGTAAGTCGAACGTCGAAGTTTTTCCAGCGCATGTTGGACACACAGTACACTGGACTGATCCACCTCTCCTCGGTGCATGTAAAAGATGAAGTCTGCCGCTGCCACTGCCAACTGGCGAATCTGAGATCGTTTCCCATTCTTTTTTGTATATTCCAACCCAAACACGAGGCCAGGAAGGTACAGAAAGCGTTCGGAATTATCCGAGCTCATAGAGAGCACTCCGATGGCAAGAATCCCAAGATATTGAATATCAGCCGGACATGTCACCTGTAAGAGATCAGTTAACGTAGACATGACTCCTGAGATGGAGGCAATGGGGACTTTGTTTTCGTCAGCCACAGCGAGCAAAATGAAGCATTTCAATGCATGGCATTGGATGCATTGCGGACGCGACTGATGAAGAAGAGAAAGCAGAGATTCAATAGTTCCTGGAACCGATGCCATCGTGATTTTGTTCTCATCGTTGATGGCCAACAGGACGAAAAGATTGAGTGCATTTCTCTGACTGATTTCCGACAGTGCGAAGGAAAACAGAGACATGACAATCTCAAGCAATCCCGGATATGAAGCCATTTCTGCCAAATACTCCTTCCCGCTTGTGTTGGCTAAAGAAATAATGGACTCCACTTCACAGTTTTGATCCACTTCCGTCTCGGCCAGGACCAAAGCTAGAGCATGTTTTTTGAATTCCTGGTCCAGGGCCATGTCTCTCGAGCTTGTCTAGAGCTAGTGTGAGAACGAGCTAGCTTCTAGACCACGAGAGGAGACAGCAGCATGCATGCACGAGATCAGCAACTGTCACTCAGAGGCAAGGAAGCCCATCACTTTATACCTTGCGCAGCGTTCCTGGTTGCATTTTACAGTGCCATGCAGCCATACAAGCGTTCTGAGGAGTCTGTCCCATCTGATAATAACAACGTAATATAATCTAAATACCACAACAACGTAAGCCTTTGTCTAATCAAATTGTTCTCTTGTGTTTGCATGTTCTCATGTGATGAAATCTTGTGGAGAGAGTTACATCCAACTTCGATTTGGATCAAGGTGAGAAACTTGCAAAGTTTCGTTCTTGTACAAACCAAAATCTTTATCTAGAGTTCTGGTCTACAAGTTGGAGTGGACAAGGTCATCTTGTGAATGAAGAGTAATCATACATGTTAATTTTGACTTCATATATTTTTAATATTTAAAAATGTTCTTATTTGTTAATTATATATTTAAATATATATAGAGTTAAACTTAACAATAGTGTATTTCTTATGAGTGACATATTCTCATTAGTGACGTAGAATCCTAGAACCATTAGTTTCTAACGTGTAAATCTGTTCAATAATAACGGGATGTCACTATTACCAATAGTGACATGATTCTATACAATTTCAAAATAAAAATTTCTATCATTATCACAATACATAGTTATGAGATTACAAAATTTGGCATAAATATATTTAAAGGTATATCTCAACAATTCACACTTTCAGGATTTAACTAAGGGTTTAGGTTTTAACCCTAAACCCATAATTTGCTACATATATTAACATTAATTGTTTCACTCATATGTGTATGTATTAATCTAAATTTAAATGTAATTATAATGTCCATGTTGACCATACAGATGTGGAAATAAAGGCCATTTTGAAACCAAACAACAAATTTATTGAATATCTTAGGGTTGATGCAATGCACAATAAGAAATCTATGAACTTTTAATTTTTTTATTTGACACCTCCCAATAGTGACACTAACCCCAACACCTTGTATGTTACTATTAGGAGGTTAAAAAAAACTATGCACCTCCCAACAATGACATTTAATGTTAACACCAATGTATGTTACTATTAGGAGGTTATATTCACTTTACTCTTGTGAATGACAATTTGCAATAGTGACGTAAAACCCACGTACCAATATATGTCACTATTGGGAGGTTTAACTCTATATATGAAAATAAAATTCTATTTATATTATGATATAACAAAACTATACAAATAGTTCTAAATTGATTGTAAATAAAAAGTAATGAAAAAATCGTTACTTTTTCTATAAATTGATATAATAAGAAAAAAATATAATTATGTTTTGAATTGAATTTTTATAAAATCTATGAATAATTATAATGCAAAAATATGTATATAAATAAAAAAACAATTATATGATTCTTCCATAAATATTGACGTTACATCAGATTCAAATTTATTAATTTAAACAAATATATGACTATATTTGAATAAATAACTATAAAATTTTCTTACTTTAAGTTAAAATTCAGAAAATATTTAATCGCAAAATTTATAATTATATACAATGAATCAAATAAAAATGAAAAATATCTTTTTCTACCAATTTACAAAATTTACCGGGAAGTTGGTAGAAGATTTCAAGTTTTTGTGTGAAATTCAGACGCTAGAATTTGGATACTACAGTATTTACAATACTCGAACATGTTGAAAGTTTCAAATGATATAACAGTCTCCCAGGCTGACGCAGTAGGTTACGTTGGACATTTCACAATTTTGTTTGACGTTCAGACGTGACAACTTCGAACATATAAGTCCTCAGTCTTACGTTACCTATCGTTCAGTTAGATGTGTTCAGACTGCGATTACCGATTGCTGGAGTTTCCTGCTGCAATCTGTGACATACGTGATTCCTTAGCGATCAATCGAATGGTACTTCTTGCCGTGCATTGAGTCGCTTTCGTCGCTGCCGGAGCCGAGACTCGCAGCCTGCAGGTTGCGACGAGACTCGCGAATTGGCGGCGCCCATCGTGAGTGCGTTCGTTCGCGAGCACAGCGCTCTCGCAATTGCCCTCTTTTGCTCTGTCTTCCGTTCGCCTCAAATTTCGCTTTTCTGGGACGAATTCGACGGAGATCTTGCAACCCCGTCCGTCAATTCTCTGCCGGGATTCGATTCCTCGCTGATGGTGTCGGGGACTGGAATGCGAATACGCCCGATGGTTACAAGTCTCTGGGCGGTCTCTACAGCTCACAGAGCATTATAGTATAATGCTCTGCTCATATAATAAAAATGAAAATGGATAATATTGATTTCTGCTGGATATAAAATATGATGTATTATCTAATGATTTATTTTATATTTAGCAGAACTGAATGTCATAGATTTGTAATATTTATCTGTCAAAGGGAGAATAATTGCACGGGATTGAAGTTAATGATAAGCTACTGCATGCATCTGCTGCGGGTGGTGCATCATGTAGTGATGTTGCTGGTATTGCTGCAATATCAACGGAGGCTTTTGGCACGTCGTCGATGTAAACTCACCACATCCTGTGGTTGGAGAAGTACTCAGTTTTGGGTCGCTTGACGATTAAGGCTTCTTCTAAACTTCTCTCGGAATGTTTCTTTTAATAAGTTTTTGGATAATTACTGTGTCTCCAGATCTAGTATTAAGATTACTCGGTCCTGTGTAAAAAATGGTTAATCCTACAGCAATCTGCAGAGCAAAATAAAGCGGTTCCTTGTTTTTCAACCAATTGGAATAATGATTTATTATCGGTAAAAACAAGGTCAAATACCTTATGTTGGTATAAGGCGTTCGTTGAAATCTCCATAATGTTATCCATCTTTCCGTTTTTACCAAGAAACTTTACCAAGAAGGAGCCAGAAACCAACAGTTCCACTTATCAGGATATCTCACAGTACTTCACAGTAAGTCTTTGGCTTATCAACTAAAGTTTAGAGACACTATCTTCGGTACTTCGGACTGTTCTCAGGCTGAGAGCTTTAATGCGCTCGTGCGTGTAACTCGTTTGTACCCGGATAGCATCAGGTTCGATTCGACCGAAAGGAACCGCTCCTCATCTCGAATAGCGATGGCAAGCTAGCAAGATGATCTTGGGCGTTCTATGTAGCTAATAATCACTTCCTTCTTCTATACTAATTTTCTTAGCCATTCCAGTCGTTACAATTTTAAACCTATAGGAGTTATTTGTCCACGTCGTATTTTTTACAAACATTAGATTGAACTTCAGCTGACCAGAACAACCGGAATTAGCAACATTTACCTTCCTAGCCAGACTGTGGCAACTAAGACATCGTATCAGACCGAAGAACTTTGGTATCGAAAGAAATGAGTGGTAGCGTTTGCTACATATTCAATATCAGCGTTCAAGGAGCCAACTTCAACTACAATCTAACTTCGTAACTGGCGGTAAGTGCAAGGTAATCACCTTGCAGCTAAAAATGTATTCTGTGGTGTGGTTGCACGATAACAAACTCAAAAGGATCCACTTTTCGATGAAAGATGCACTCAAATTCATAAAATTTAGCCTTCTCAGTTGCACCCACAGAAAGTCTACAGGATGATCTTATGTTCCTCCCTATTACCGTTCCGTCTTGTATACTACCAAGTAACTAAAGCAAAGTACTGACCAGCAAAACGCTCAATGTCTGATACTTCTCCACTGATTGAAAATAGAATACGCGTTTCTGGCTGCGCAGTATACAAGGCTTGCATGGTTCATTCAAGCGCCTCATCTCTTCCCCTAAAACCACTTTGTGTAGCTCGCCAAAACGTCTCTAACTTTCAATGTTTTCGACGGTCGCCTGGGTAAGAATATGCACGAAGCAGCTGGGCTCTGTTTTAGGTTGACGAGTCAGCAGTCCAATGGAAATTTGACCGGCTGCTTCAGGTGCTTCTCCGTCAGAGCGTCCACTAAGCCGATTTCTGGGTGGAGGAACTGGAGTAGTAAGTAGTACGAATGAGTTTCAACTACATTCGGGAAATTATTCAAATCAAATACGTCCAATTGCATTTACTGAAGTTTATCAATGGTGAGATGAATCAATCGTTAAAAAGAGTGTTGGATGATAAGTTTTCTATTGTAACGATATTAAATCAAATTCTTTCGTTTTAAATTTTTTTTGATTCCCCTAACACTGTTGGAATTTTGGTTACTACAAAGTTGAAACGAATGTCCCATGACTCACTTTAACTCTGAGTACAAAGACTAATTAACACACACTGTGGCACTCGTCGAGTAGAAGAAGATGCACTCTGGTGGATCAACTGCATGGATAGTGAGGCCAAATATTGGCAATTAGTGAATTCCTCTTGCCACAGCCAAAAGCTTTGTATGCTGCTTTGTACTCACTATACTGGAGTGGATAGTCTAAAGTTCGGAGAGTGGTTTGCTTTTAGATGGAGATAGCAGTGAGAGCAGAGCGAGGATAGCAGTGAGTGCTGTGGCTGCTAATCGGAGAGGACTAATTGTCAGGATGGTTTTTGAGATTCGAGCGAGGAAGAGGAGTAAAGCTTTGGATTCGTGAAACGAGAGCGGCTAGATTAGTCGCAGTTCCACGACTTTTGCACCACAAGTCTTGTGTAATCTTGGCCGAGGTCTCGAAAGAATCCATGCTGTTGCTAGTGCTTAGTGCTAGGTGGAGAGGCTTGCATATCATACAAGACTCATGACAAAGCACTGCGTGTAATCTTCGCCGAGGTCTCGGAAGAATCCCTACTGTTCCTGATGCTAACTGCAAGATGGAGACGCTTGCATATCATAGAGACTAATGACAAAGCACTGCAAGATTTGGACTGTTTGTCTTGTCGATGTGAGTGAGATTACAGTGTGGAATTTGATTTCTTGAGGGACAGATGTTAAAGTGTTTGAAAGCTATTTGCTGGATTTTTTTCTTGCTTCAAAAAGATCAAAAATTGCGGACGATGAAGGAAAAAAAAAACACCAAGCAAGCAACAACTCAAATGACCAGAATGGTTTGTAGGTTGAAGTTACGAGAGATTAACTTAGCAACGCTGGATCTCCTGATCTGTGTTGTAATTACAATATTAGTATATATTTTACAATCGATACGATAGAGCTAAGTAATATGTGAAAAAAATACAGTGAATTATAAGATAATAGAATATGTTCTGTAAGAGTTTTGTCTAGAATGTTAAAATTCTAAATGCATAACATTCATATTCGATATTTTTATCCAATATAGAAAAACATTATCTTAGCATATTTGATTTCATTTTTCAATAATACTAATTGTAGAATTTTTTCAAGGAATACATCCCTCCATGCATAACGTTTGTGTTCTATTTCACACAGAATATTATCTGATAGATTTTTTATAATATACATTATTATACTTTTCCATTGACGTAAGGTCAGGGTTTTTCTGTGGTCAGTGTTTTTAATACCCGCCAAGTTGATTTTTCAAACGATCAATATAAAAAGCTGAGTCTGTAACCATCTCATTTTGAGAAAATATTTACTCATATTCTACAAGTTATCATGAAAAAAATATTTCGGTACACATGTTTAGCAATCTGTTCGGCACTGATTCCTCATGCGTTGACCTGTGCGGGAGACAAAGGAGTAATGAGTTACAAACTGGGTGAAAAAATAGAAATAAAAATAATAGTAATGGATCAGTTGGAATTGATTCCAGATATCAAGATTTCTGCATATGAACTGAGTCGAAGGTGATGAGAGGCCTACTGCACGTTGAAACAAAGCAAGCATGATGTCCTGTTTGGCAAATGTAGTGATACCTTATAGATGAGAGGCTTAATCTGCCGCCGTCTAATGCTTCTTAGAAGAAAAAACAACAACCCGTGTTCAGTGATCCAGCATTCTAAAGACCATACACCCGCCTCGGCAGCGATCAACATTATTCACCTGAAGTAAATAAAGGTACTTCAATCATTTTCATAAGCCAGCTGACAGAAATTATTTTCGAATTATCTTGTGTGAACTGTGAGTTGAAAGTTAAGCATGGGAAAATATTCTTCATTGAGGGATTTGCAAGAAAATGTAATCGTTGTGATAGACGCTAGATTAGGTCAAATGTTGATCAAAATGGAATATGACTGCAAATTTTCGGGCCGAGCATACAGATGACACCTGATGTCTTGTCTGCAAACACTGGATTATTAGCTAGGGAGACAAAACTGAAGATTGCCTACGAAGTTGCGGAAACTGCAAGTCGAGCGTCATGCTTCGCGCTGGGGATTGTGTTTATTCCAGATGATTAAAAAGCTGCCCGTGAGACTCCAGACCATGTGACTCCTCTCAACTGACTGATACCTTATCGCGACCTCCGTATGCTTCATGAGAAGTGTCACGAGTGAACTCTAGAAGTATTAGACTCAAAGACAGAACGAAGTAGTTATGAATCTCTTTCTCAGTTCCACTATTAATGATGAATGTAGGTAGAATGAGTTTATCACTAAAGTCCTATTCGACTTCAGTGCTTTGAACATCAAAATACAAGTTCATGTGCAGATAGGGGAGCGTGAATCTAAAAAGCTCTTTAAACTCCAGCCTCAAAGTAGTGTGGAGTTAACAGAATGTACAATATTATCAATACTGTCTAATTTGATTTACAAAGATATTTACTACGTCAATAGACCTACTCTTTCTGACCACTGTCCCTTACAAGTACTGGTACTCGTTTTGGTAGACGGAATAAACTAGATAGCTCAACAATATGGTTGTGATAGCTGAGCAGCAGTATATGTTGAGCAGCAGCTCTTCATAATGAGCTATCGGCTGTACTCAAAGTACTTCTGCTCTGCAGGAAAATCGTACTCCACTTGGAGCTACCACATTGACCAATACCCACGGCAAGATGCCATCAATAACCTCCGACACGGTGTTTAGAGAAGACAGACGTGCATACATTTCCCTACCTTCTCAAGTCCAAGTCCAAGTCTCATGTCCAACCTCAACCAATGCAAGTAGATCACGGATTCTCCTAACCGAGTTTAAAAAACATCGAGGGCAGTGACGGTGTATCCGATTCATGACTCTAATCGTCCCAACAACACTAACTCCATGACTTGTATCCCAACGTGAGATTTTCCTGTCTTCGGATAAGGTTTGGGTATCGGCATTCTAAAGTGCATATTACACAAGAAAGCAAGTTACTGTCTTCGTACACTCTTTCCACATTGCTGCTGCTGCCTTCAAGCACTTCCACAATCACTGATTGCATTCACAGCACAAGACCTCACGAAAGAGGATTCCGAACTACAACTTACATGTTTGTTTTACTCTCACATCTTAATTTGCTCATGAACATTGCTTAACAGATTTGAAAGCATTTGAAGAGCTAGCTTAAGAGCGATCGACGTCAGACCAAGCCAGCAAGCAGCCGCAAACAGGCTACAACAGCGAACAACAAAATAATCTGAATCTGACTGAAGCTAAAGCACCCCAGTAATATCAAACGGGTTCCTCGATACAACTGTCTGGAGACTGTTATCTTTGCAATCCCTTCCAGACAGAAACATTTGTACAATTGAAGTCAAACAGAAATCCATATGCTCATCTGGGTACTTTAATCAGGTGGCACCTTCTTTCTTACAAACTTAAAAAAATATGTCGCCTCTGCTACTTAAAGCCGACAAGTTGTGACAACCTGGCCACATCTCAGCTCCTTTCCATGGCAGATGTATACCGGTGCACTACAGCATGGGCTTTTCTCGCCTTGTGGGAAGTGAGTAGTGGTTTTTACTGATTAAATGTACTTGTTGACTACTAATTGCTCGTTCACTGTACAGTGCAGGTAGAAACTGCAAATATTCAACTCCTGTCACCACATGGATCCAGGAGTTCTTCGTGATGTCCGACCGCTCAATCCTTGATCATTCTCCCCATTAATGGTCCGACTCCAGACTTCCTCTATTAAAATCGTTACTAAACTACGTGTAACTTTGATTAGATCAACGAATAAAGTCTATCTGTACATGAATAATGTTGTCCGCAAAATTTGCAACTAATTTCTAACCCTTCACCTGTACTAATGGGTGGTAGTGTGATGATCACCGCCTTGATTAACAGCATCTTGGGGTGAACTTCAAGGTGAGTCCGGATCTAATGGACCTTCAAGCTTAGAAGGATAAATGGGAAAAAAACTGTCGAGATCTAAAGCCGCTAGAATCTCTTTCGTTTTGGCAAGATACATAGAGTGGCCGCTGATTATATCTGAAACGTCGATCTGTCATATACAAAACACCTTGTCAACTTGCATGCTTCAAACCATCATACAAGATAAAACATAAAAGAGGATGGAAAATACGTACGTTTTCAACTCCGGGAATCTCCACCTTTTGAATTCCGGCCAGTCCAGTGGTCATGAAACTGCACAGCCAAGCATCAAGCACAATGTTGATTCAATCTCCCTCGAGACTAACATATAATTACCGAGCGAGCACAACAAGTTATATAACCAGTGTACAACAATATTCCCGCTTTCCTTCCACTCGGAGTCTGCACAAACGGCACTACCTGATGACGATTGATGTCACTATAGAGCACGAGTGTTGCACACCTCCTGCTCAGTGATTCCAAGAGGGCTATATACGCGAAACTTTTCTAGTATAATGACAAACTTGCAGATGCATTAGTGATGTCAAATTTCAAAATTCTTCAAAAATGTCAAAACATAGCTAGCAAGTAATTTACCTTGAGCGATAGACAACGCCAAGTATCCAGTCGTTAGATGAGTAAGCGTTTATGAACCTTCCTGCCACCACCTGAAAATATAATTCAAAGCAACGTAGAAGAACTGAGTATAATTTTGCACATAATTCGTGAGAAAGAGTTGAGATATTGATTCAAGTATGCAGGGTTGGTCTATAAGACTTCACAAGGCTTAACGTTCAATTACAGCCTCTGGATGCAGACGTGAGATATCAGATCTTGCTTGCGATGGTGTCTGAAACTAGCCAATACCATCAAGAAGGCAATCAATCACTGCTAATACTCACCTTACGAGCATTTTCCCATCGTTGTCGGTCAAGAGTAAGAGGAGCACCTAGCAGCACCACACGCTCCACAATACTAGCTGCACAAATAAAAATTCAAATATGTATGCTCAAGCAAAGGTTGACACCAATGGTGTTCAACAAGCCTCTACCGTAACGATGCAACTTTGTCCACAAGGTGGCGAGAGAAGATAACAAACAGAAATCACAGTCTTATTTCGACTTTGAAACCTTCAAACGCAGCTTAAAATTGGCTGACAAGCCTTCTTAATAACTATGAAGAAAATATTTATCATATATCTAAGACAAACAGAATGTCTTACCATCGTTTCCTTTCTTTGCAAGGTACTCCAGACAAGAGAATATAACTCGAGCGCCCAAGGAAAACCCAATCAGAGTGACAGGTCTATGACAAGGACAATAAGAGGATCACATTAGAATGGAAAAGAATAAACTGCTTCACGAACTAAGAGCCAAGCTCACATTAGATTACGTGCTGTCAATCCGAAGGGAAAAACGTACCTGTTCCCCTGACTTCCACCGAGTAGACATTTGGCAAGGATTTTTCCAGCTTTGTCGGCTCTGCACATTAGACATATTACAGTCATTAATTTCACAGAGCAACTTGTATTCCTATCTTCATTAATGCTCCGGTCTCTAACAAAACTTTGAGAAATTCTTTGTGTTTTCAAAAAACCGCCATAATCCAATTTGGTATGAAGCTCTCTACTTTTCCTGACCTGTCAACGGCAATCGTCCACCTGCTATCGATCCAATCCGTCGCGGAAAGCAGGGCAACAGGCCAGGCAAGGGCTGCAACCAAGCCTGCAAGGACGGTCATCATCGCTCCTGCCTTTACAAGTTCTCTGGCAGCACCTGCATCAAAAAAATTAACATATCAGCGTAGGGATAGATTGTATGCGCATTACTATAAATTCAGATTTGGTGAGCGATGCACTCTGCACTTCTAGTTTTCCATCAAGAGAAACCATATAACCAATACAAGTAGGACTCTCGTACTTGGTAGACAAACCTGAGTTCAAAACTTACTTGATGCGAGCCAGTCTTCTATGGCAGTACTGAGTGCTATTAGTTCCTTTGATTCCCAACGAAGAGCGTATCTAAAAAAAATAGACATATTATTAAAAATCAGATATTACTTTCACAAAGAATTTTCCTGACGTATAACCGACTTGGAAAACCAAAAGTCAAAACTGTCGAACCCTATCCTTCAAAACATGGGCTCGTAATGAAAGCGATGAGCAGCATTTGCAAAGAAAATTCTTACCTTTCCAATTCCCCATCGGACCCCTCCCAAGGTAGAGTATAATCTTCAGCTTCCATTGCGATACCCGAGATCACAATTCCCACCGCTAAACGCTGTAAAAACCCGTGGCTTGAACGTAAGGAACGAAAACTTTCTAAACTAACTTTGTAAGCCTAGGAGGTCTCCTACGATTTTTAAGAGAAAACTGAACCTATAACCGCATTGATTGACTAGTAAACCGTTTGAAACATCTAACCCGAGATAGTTCATTGGCTCGTGAGCGAAAGAGGATGGATGGTGGTGGAAATAAAGTATTAAAAAGTCCTTACCAAGCATGATGCGACTCAAGACCCAGGTAAATCCTGGAGAAAAACTAATTACAGAAACTTTCAATGTGGCACTTTGTGGGTAATATGTTTTCTGACTTTTGGATCAGCAACGTTTCCAATGTTCCCAGTTCCCAACCCTGTGATTTGATTCAACAACGGATGTAAAATGTACAGTACTACGAACAACTACGAACATAAAACAACGAACGTACCCCTTGTTGATGATTGTCACCTATAGGCAAAAACATGAACTCATCCACGCCACCAGTCCTCCTTGCCATTTTGGTTCCCGCAAGACCCGCACCAGCAGCTGCAAAATAATGAGTAGAATCACAGCTCATCAGAATCTTCAAACAAGAAGTGCTTCAAGTTTAGCCTGTTTTCAGACTGACATGAATGAATAAGGCTCCCAGTCTTAGTAGAACGCAAGACAAGAACAAAATGTCGGTACATTTGCATCCAAAAGCTTGAGCAACAACTACTTCCAATGATTCACAGGAGAACAACACTACTGCATTATAAGTAGCTAGCTAGGATCCTCTACCTCCAAAAGAAGCAGCGACTGCGACAGATCCTGCAGCTGAACCAACGGCAGTTGCGAGTCCACCAATTCCAACGGCAGGTACCACTGCTGCGAATGCTGGAGCAAGAGCAGTCAAACCCGCTGCTATAGCCGGAGCTGCCAATCCTGTGAATAAAGTATATTTTCAGATAGGAAAACGGGGTCCCAGGATAATACTAAAGCATGTAACATTGACACAAATTCCAGGCTTCCAAGATTCCCGAGATCCACTTATAACTGAACCACTTCTTGGACAACACGGTTGACTGATATTAACGTATGATCTAGATACCAGTTTGTGAGTAAACTTAATGATCAATTTAAGATAAACTACTCTGAAAACCAGTTGGTGGATATACCCCCAGTTAGAGCCAGTAACGCTCCCCCGGTAACAGCAGCTGCACCAATGATGCCTCCCCGTTTCCATTTTTGCCACTTAGTTGTTTTATGCTCATCATCAGTATGCGATGCTGCCCTTTCTTCTTCCCTCACTTTCTCAGCTTCCATGGCCATGTATGCAACCATGAGCTCCATTGCTGCCTGACAAGAACCCAGGGCAGCAGGGACATAACAAAATCATGACCCGCACTTAATTCTTAGACAGCTTGTTCAAGCGTTTATATGTCCTCCAAACATAAAAGGAAACCTTGCGAATAAGACACGAGAACGAGGCAGATTTCAGCAACATTCCAACGCGCAGGCAAAGGAGTTACAGTCCACACACCACTTTCTTCCAGTCAACATCCAACCACAGAGCCAGCAGACGAAGAGCAACTCTTTGACGAGCATCGTATCCCGCATTAAGAACTGATTTTCCCGCCTTTTCTTCAGGCGTGTCAGCGACACAAGCAGTTAGAAGCTCATACAAAACGGCGACTTTTCGCTGTGCGACCAGAATTCGTCGCTCAGACGCTTCCTTGTCTTCAGGTTCCGAGCTCGAAGCGTCATAAGCACTAGCTCTGTCTGTTTTTTTCTTGGTATCTTTGTGAGATAGGTCAGAACTTGACGCTGCTCTGTCCAGGAGAGGCTTCTTCATGGAAGCCCATCTCTGAGCTGATTTTTGAGCCGAGGCGGATTTCGGTTTTGACGACCGCTTATCATTCTGCTTATATGCCTCTTCAGATGATGTAGCATCCTCAACAGCTCGGGCATGGGCTGGTTCAGGACGGGACGCAGCATACTCCTCCAAACTGATGGTCATTGCATCCACTGCCTTTGCCAGTGCTGCTAAAGTTTTCTCAGGTTTACCGGTGGACGATGAAGAATTGGTGGATGATGGAGAATTGCCGGATGATGCCGACGACTTTGACGCAGTCTCCAAATTCTCCTCTTGTAAAATTCTGATGTACTGGGGATTCAAATTGGAAACACAAGAGAATCTCCATAAGCTTATGTAACACCAGCACATAGCTTTCTCGTGTACAAGGAGACTGTGAGCATTCGTATAAAAGGAATTAGTGAGTAAGTTAGTATGCTTTTACTTGTAGCAGCTTTAAAAAATTCAAATCCCTGATGCTTCACATCGAAGGAGTAAGTATTTGAAAGTTGAAGACACGCACAGGTCCAATATGGTGCTTGGCATCTGCTGCTTCAGCCGTTTTCTCGATTCCTGGCCACGCATGTGGATCGATTTTCAAATACCTGCCGCAATTCACCTGTGACGGGTTCATAAAACAGATTTCCTTACAAATATCACAAGAAAAAGTATTCTAAGAAATATCAGACATCTGCAGATTCTTTAATGATCTCAACTTTTAGCACCAGAGAAATAAATGAGCATCACATTGGCAAGGTTTGTTACTAGGGTATTCATAAATATACTATGGTCATTCCATGAGATGCAAAAATCTGGCATGAAAGTCAGAAGAATAGTTGATTCTTGTAGACCATAGAAGGGTGCCCTGATTAGTAGCCCTGGTGAGATCTCTTTTCCATCAATTCACACGTAAATTCAAGGTACTGCACAAGGTAAAGGTAACGAGCCCCAGGAGCACGATGATTCAAGTTATGCTTTTCCGTGCTACAGCACGGAAAAAGCACAATAAGAAAAATCTGCATGGCTTCGACTGCTACCAAATCTACTGACGCTGCCGGGAATATGATGGAGATTCAAACATACCCGAAAATATGGTGGAGCAATCCAAACTCTTGGCTGCTCCACGGAAGGACCCCCTGGTCCTCCAAGGTATTAGACATGCTCGGGCCATCGTCAGAACCTAATATATCAGGTACCAGCTGCAACCGATGAATCTGGGCCTGATTGAGGGCAATAGCTAATAAAGCTCCCGCGGCATACCGATGTACAGAACCCAGCTCCTCCATGCGCACCACCTTCACCAAGTTCAATCGCCTAAAACCGATCAAGAGCACACCACCTTATGCGATTTCTACTTCGCCCTCTCAGCACAACGACTCCCACTGATGTCCAGAATGTGTCGAGCTGGCTCAAATTGAAGGCGCCCTCTGTACACTCTGCACCCATTCACCACTCAGAAAACAATCCAATTTCCTCCACATTCCTCTGCAGCCTCCACAATCGGACAGTGGACCTTATCAACAAATGCACCAGTTCCGATCTGCATGCCTACCGATCCACAACCTCAACGAACAACCCAAACCTTCTGCAATCATTTCCTCGACAGGTAGTGAAAGATCGCAGACAAGAGCCAAAGTTGACGACTACATCCGCGTGTGCACCAACCTCGAAATTGAAAGCTCTGTCAATAAAGTACAAGAACATGAGCATCAGCGCCCGGTCTCCATCAAAATTCAATAAGCCACCAGCGGTCTTATCGATGGTCGACGCTCAGTAGAAGAACAGCCGAGGAGCTGCAGGACAAGCCAATTTTTTTTCCAAAAAGCCCCTTTCCGGAACTGCAAGAGCGTTCGATCCACGGAGAGAGTCAAGAGACTGAGACAAATCTGCGTGGGCTCCACCGGCGGCAGACGATCCACAATCGGAGTCCAAGTCAAGGAGCGACCAACCGGCGAAAGAAATCTTGTGGCGTTTCTTTGCTCCGAGGGTTAGACTAAGCTTTGATGTGCTCGGCATGTCGCTTGATTCTGATGTGACTGACAATCCAGGGGGCGTTCGACGGATTGAGCTGCAAGTCAGGGATTGGAACGATCCTGCGGAGTCAGCAGCCGCTCTGGTCTCCCCCTCTCACAAGATTCCAGGTGCCGCCTCGCTTGCTTCGCCAGATTCTAGAATCCTCTGTACTGTGTACTGCTCCATCGCGTGGCTCGTTGGCTCATGTTCGAGCGCAGGCGCATGGTGGCAGCAATCGAGAACGTTGCAGAGGATTATGCAACCACCTTCCAAATTTCCTCTTCGATTCATGTGTCCCGCTTTCCTTCGCCAAGTTCTTATTATTAGCAGAATTTATCTCCTCACTTTGACATTCTGTTGCTTTCAGATCCATTCGATTTTGGCTTTTCTTCAGGTTCATTCTCATACAATAACTTATTCCTAAAATATCAGAACTGTACATATGGAAGAGCACAAATGCAACTACCAGTTACGCAATGATGGTTTCTAAAAGGCCGAATGGGGCGAAAATGTGAGTGACCAGTGTGACCAATATCCAGATGTCCCAATTGGGCATTTGGTCAAGGAGTTGGTGTGACAGTATTATTTATTTATTTATATTGAAATGAGTTTCTCACTTCTTGCATCCGATAATCGATATAGGGTAGGGGACCTCATCCGAGTAGTGAGCTCCTCTTGAAACTATACCTATAATCTTCGTCGGATGAGCTCGATTAATCTCGGGCCGGAATAGTAAATTTATCAATGTTAGAAAGCCTTCGTCGTCTTTGGCCCTTAGACTGTCCAGTCTTTCCACCCTCCTTCAGCCTTGTCGATGGAAATTGGACAACTCACAGGCCTCAGCAGCATGAACAATCGCATCTACTGTGCTCTGGTGTGCAAATACATTACCGGTGTGCCACTCGGGGTCACAATTCCTTCCCCTAAGACAAAATAATCAACCATAATCCTCAAATATGGTTAAGTGCCAGTCGTGGTGTATACTAGCCGTTCTGAGAATTTGCTCCGTATACTATAGGAGATATTGATGTTTCTCTTCACAAATTACTGCTGAGATTCTAAGTGAATACCTTGTTAAAGCCCAATTTCCTCGCGTATGGCTTTCCTCTTAGTTGTTGATCCATATTCGGTCTCCTTTGCGTAGGAGCAACAATCAAACGTCGTTGATCCGTCTCCTTATTGGCCCTCAATGTGACCTATATTGATGTAATCATTTGCGTCATTGTCCAAAGTTTTTTCAACTTTTGGATTATTCTGCTCAATTATTCGGGCCATCATTTGCTCAAAAAGCGGGTTTTCATGCCCTCGCAAATCATATTGATGTTTCAAATTGGCAATCACGTCAATGACTTCACTACCTCTAACTGTGAGGTCGATGTGCATTTTGTCTAGAGTTCTTTGCCATCTTAATTTGAAGGAGTTATCACTGAAGTGCTAGTATACTCCTCAGTCGAACAATATAAAGTTTGAGCTTGCAACAGGTACCACTTCAAAGCCAAGTAGACAAGGCTACTCGCATGCCTTATTTGCACTTGCCTTAGCTCAATGAACAAGTGACCTTGTCGATCTACTTGTTTCCTTGTGCGACTCTTCAAAAGATGAGACATATATATTTTTTCTATTTGTTACCAACTGAATCTGAAGCAGTGATCCAACTTCCTTCGGGATCCTAAACCTGAATTACTGCATTAGCTTTCATCTTTTTCCTCTTTGCTCACATGTTCGACTGAAGGTCTACGATGTATTATAATGTACGAACACTTTCAACAACTTATACACTCTTTCGTAGTGCATCTGACCATTTTTCGTACTATTAATGTTAGTGTATCATTATTGATATGGCAATGATGAAAGCATCAACATCATGATGGTTTGTGTAAGGGGTATCAAACTTACACTAGTTACCTTTTTTACATTGATGATTTTCAAATAGTTGCACAAATATTTATATGTGTCATGCCTATTTAGAAAGATACAAATTATTCTTGCGGAAAACTCGATTCAACTACATGTAAAAACGAGCGATTTCACATCTTCTTATTTTTAGTTACTCTGAAACTCTTATGGAAAATGATGTGATATTGCACCTAAAATCCGAACCATTTAGGTAATTAAATATGCATAATGGTTCGGATTTTAGGTGCAATAAGAAAAAATGTTCATTGTGGTGATACTGGGATCGCGCTACGTCTTTTATCTTTTGGTTTCATGTATGAATGGCTTGATCAGGTCTTGCCATCCTTGTTACTGTATACAATTTACTTCAAATGCGTAATCATTTAGTTGAAGATTGGTGCATTCCTATAATTATCTTCTTACTCTTTGACCTCAGTCTTCAATCTTTATATATCATATTTGTAGAACGAACAGCTCGAGCTTGGATCAAACAGTTCACATATTGAGCCTGATGACTATATTCCACGGAAAACTATTGATAGCTTTGTGTTCGTTTAGACTTTATCAACGCCTCGTACAATTGCATTTTTCACTCCTTGGTTCCCCAAGATTTCCCGTTGTGTATCCCCTTTGGAAACAAGTCACATATTTTTGTGGCCAAAGTTTACATCCTAGCTGGCATCTCCACATCCATATCAAACTGAGCTTCAGATCTACCAATGTCATCGGATATTGCTTCTCTAGTAATGATTGGGAGCGATACGATTCTTTGTATTCCCTCTGTATATCGAACTCTCTCTCTACTTCTTCATCCGTCTATTTGCAACGTTTGTTTGTTGTTGGGAAGCTTGTTACATCCATGGATTGGATACTTAATTGCTAACCGATCTTTGAGTATAAGTTCTGTCTTATCGTAATATGTTTTCAAAGAACAAAAACATTACACATGCTTCAAACACATCTTTGAAATCCATTAGTTCCATGACTTTGTCAACTATTCATAATATTTCAATCAACTTGTAAGTCCAACACTATTAAAATCATCAGAGCTCTTATTGACATTTTAAGATATTTTTGAAAAAGTATATTAGAAATGCACTTCGGTAAGAAAGTAAATAAACGCTATATCAAATTCGTGTTAGATAATGTAATTCCATAAATTTGATTACTTACACAGACTTTGACTCTTCACTCCGCAATCAAAATTCGTTCAATTGAACCGAACTCCAACGGAGAACATCTTTTCTTAATCAAATTAGAGAGATGTATCCTGTCGACGAGTGAAGAGCTTGTTTGTTTGTCTTGGCCTGACTTCCATAATAGGCTTGAAAAGGCTAAATTCCGGAAGGCTTGAGGAAGGCTTTCAAGGCCCTTCGTTTACGGAGAGTACCTTGTTCTTCGTGTCCGTGTCCGGAAGACACTGCGATCCTTTCTTCGTAAAGCCCAGAAAGATCTTAACTTAGATCTTGAAGGGTTAGGCCCTTGAGGAAATTAGCTGATTCTTTACAACACTCTAAACATGCACGAGATCTACATTTCACCTTTAAAAACGCGCTAATCTAATCACTTGGTCTAATTTTCTAACGATGTAATCCTATCTTTCTTACTTTATCATTTAATCTATGCTTCTCCTCTTATCAGATTTCGATATCTCTCCTAAATATTAAAAAAGTTGAAATAGTGATCATTGGTACAAACTTCTAAACCAAGGTAAGTAAACAGTGAAAATTTACACTTTTTTGAAATCAATTTACCTCTAACTCAATTTCAAGAATAAAACTAAATTCAAACATACATCTTATATATAGGAGAAAACATTAGCAAGTTTCAAAAATAAAAAAGAAGAAGTATAGCCCAAAATCAATAATTAGACTAACACTATAACTATAACTTGATAGAATTATTCATTCCTCAAATTACAAACATTCAATTCAATTTCTGATCTGAATCAGCTTTCAAGAATTGTCAAGATGTAGAAGAAAATTGATTGTCTAAAATATTGCTCATTCTTAAACTTAAAGACTTCGGTCACCTTAGCCCCAACCAAAGCCTTTCTCCCCCAAATGAACGCACTTACAGATTGTCTTATCCCATACTGATATCATATTTGTGAAGGATAATTTCAGTTCGTTTAAGTGCAATGCGTTATTTCGCCAAAAATAAAATCACATCGATTCACCTTTCAACTTTATGCAGAATTCAACCGAAAATACTAATCCTACGAGTCCTTTGAGTTCCGATGCGCCTACAGAAATCAAGCAAAACAGTCCACGTTGCATTTGCGCTCAAGCTCGACAGGTCCCATTACAAAATGAAAAGTTGGACAGGAATGGAACACCCGAAGAGCAGACCTGGGTCCAAAGCAATAAGGGCGAACAATGGCGTCGGTGAAAGACGATGAGATTGGGAAGGGAAGTGGAGGAATGAGGGAAGGCATGCGTGCACAGACTTGGCGACGCTGGAGAAATGGGGAAGGGAATTAGGGGGAGGAAATGCGAAAAAAATTTGGACCATTTCTCGATTTGTGCGTGTCATCCTTGCGCAGGGGCCATGCTAATCTTCTCTGTATCGTTCCAATTTTATCGGATGTCCCCGAAGGGACGAAGGGTGTGTTGCAGCTGCAATATATATACGCGTAAAACCTGAGACTACAATACTTATGCCATTAATGCGCGTATACAAAACACGTGGCGCTCTCGGGGACCGCCTCCAGAGGAACCCGACGCTGGAAGTGAGGTCTGGTCTCAGCCCGCTTCAGTTTAGAAAAGGAAAGCCAGGATGCCGGTACTCTTCTTGCTCACACTCCAAACCGTTAATCTGCTTCCTCATCCCGTAACGTGGGACCCTGAGAAACCAACCAAACCGGTCGTGTTCTCGTGCCTCAAGCCTTTATGTGCATGCCAAAGTACAACAGAGTCTATTAACATATCCTTTATTTTTGTAGTGGTTGGAATGTATTCAGAAAGGGCCATCCGAATCAGAATCATTACGAAATTTTGAGTGTTATACATATATTGTCATTGGCTGCAATCAGCTGCTTTGATTCACATTGAGCTAATCTGTACTCAAGGAATATGCTTGAGATGGAGGTAGTTAATCTAACCATCCATCATTGATACCGGTCATAAACCCAAAATTAATAACTAGATGATGGGCAAAAATCTGAATTTTTCATTGAAAGGATGATAACATATCTTGTTGCGTGCTTTACTTCTATGATCCCATCTAGGAGGAGAATCAGAATGACTAACTTCAATTGTCGGAAATGAAAGCCGAATAGTAGTAGCTCATGATTAGATAATACTGTACTAGACCTGAATTCCAAGACCTGGATTCAAAGAGAACTGATCATTAGCTTCTTTCTCCAGACATTAGTCTATGAGAGAAAGCTTATAAACTACTGCAAAGCAAGATGGATTGCATGGATATTGAAACATCCGGATGAGAATTTGTAGGGAAAGTTCGTCTTGAATGGTCATCAGAGTTTCTCTTTGAACATTACGCAGATCCTTTCCGCAACAGAAACTCAACATTTCCACATTAAGAGTCGCTGGATCCTTACAAGCGTCCTCAACTTCTGTCCAACCATCCACAGTAATCACTTCGTACATGTAGTATTCAGGATTGAGTGTAGCCAGTACTTTCAGCAACTGCAGATAATTCTGCTCCTCATGGATTTGCACCAAGGAACTATCTATATCCATCAGGGAGCCGTTTGGGTATGATGATCCTGGAGTAGGAGGAGCCTCCACGATATCATGTAACCATGACTTTCAGGTACCACGAGAGAGTAGAAGATCCATGAAAGGGAATCACGAGGGAGGTAATCTAAGCTGTGACTCATCAAGATAATGACATATTTCTCCATAGGTTGAAAAGATTCCATAGTAGCAATGTCCAGGAACATCCCACCGAATTTGAACTCTCCCTAGACACTGGAATTCATCTGGTTGTACTGACCATTTGGTTTCACCACATTATAGTGGATGGATTTATGCAGTCCTGTGGAATGATACAACATGTTGTGGACAAACCATGCGTCAAATTCTGTAGTTCGCCCCAAAATGCTCAAAACTTTGAGTGGACTTACATCATCTCTGGTATTAGTAGCGGCATAGAGCAGACAGTCATGAACCTTGGATGACAGATAGCTAAGATGCTCTCTGGTCTGTTTGGGACATGCGTTCAGAAAAGCATTTAAACATGTCCAGTAGAATGAGGGGCATGTGAACAAGGCTGGCAATTCAGCAAAAGGTTGACTGCTGTTCTTATCCTCCTCCTCCGTATCCATAAGTAGATCACCAAGAGGTTTGAGCTCCACTAGCATAGTAGTACCACTTTCCTCCGCTGGAATGATCAGGTCATGATCAGCAACAGCACTGTGTTTGCTGAACATTAAGTTCATGCAATTCTCGGCGCTCATGACTCCAAAGGATGACAGGAATTGCTTGTGAGCAAGAGATTCTCTTCCAAACTACACCCTCCTTGGCGATGTTCAGCTGTTAAGAACCGGCCGTCGTCTCTAGTGCCCGGAGAGAGAGAGAGAGGGGGCTGGACTTGAAGCGGATCTTCTGATTGACCTGGTATATAAACGAATGTGAGATGGAATGATTAGCACGGATCGGCTCTGTATTATGAATTAGCACAATCTCAGAACGTTGTGTAGTGTTGAAGACTTTCAACGAAGGGTCTGAACTCAAACGATGTGACTGATGATTAAACTGATCTGACGTGCCAGGAGAATTGTTGTTGCCAACTCAACGACTCTGCCGAGTTTGTTCCAGTGTTTCAATGGATTATGTGACAGACATGCATGCGAACGTTTTCTAGTACTAGTATCATTGTGTACAAGTAACACTGCTTCTCTACGCTCAGAACCGCAATTCAGTGATTTGCCTTTTGTCGAATGATAAACTTCTTTGATGTGATGTATCAAATTCGTGAGGGGTCATTCTCTCTGCATGTGATTCGTACTGCCGACCAAGCAATCATGTTTAAAAGGCAGTCCTCAAAGTCTGTCACACGCGAATCGTTGGGGACTGAAAACACATCTTTGTCAGTAGCAGATCAGGACATTCCCATCTGGACCCATCTGGACCCTTCTAATCCAGACTTAATCTTCACTGTGATGGAATTGTGTTTGTGTTGATCCTTTATCACAGTTTTGGAATCGAAACGTACGTAGTAATAAGATCACTGCATTTCACATGTGGTGAGCCTGAATGGGATACCTAGATAATTTTACCTCGTCACTTCGCAAATTCCCTCAATCTGAAATTCTGAATGTGTCCCATTACCTGAATACCCTTGAAAGAACAATGTCACTATCATGCTGAACTGAATGATATATCGATCATGTGCTAAATCACTCTGAGTAAACGCTGAAATCACTAAAAGGTTTACATCATTTTAAGCAAATGCTTAAATGTTAAAAGATTCAGTGAAACGGATGGACCAAATATTATTTGGTGTAGTTGAATAATTGTATTGTGTATTTTTTATAGCCTTTCACATATAAAATTAAATATATTCTTAGAACCATAAGTTAAAGTAATTAAACAACAATCATGATATGTGAATGTTCTTCTAATTACTAATGGTCATTGTTGTTGTTTTAATTAATATAGTATTTGAAAGCATTGTTGGTTTTTCAATAAACATTTTTTAAGTTTATTAAATTTACAAATTAAAAAATGGAGTTGATTATATAACAGAATTTTTGAAAATTTTATTCAGGAATAAAGTTTCATTGAGTGAAAGCTATACTCTATAAAAATATATGAATATTTAGTTCAATATCATCTTTGATAAAAAAATTAGTTTTTATAGCAAATGTTGAGAGTTACTCTATTCAAGATCTCAATTAGTCAGATATTTTAAATAAGATATTATTATCTTGTATCCCATTATATGAAAATATTATGTTTCAATTTATCAAACTGATGGTAAGTTTTGGAATAATAAGTAAAATTACCTATAATTCAGAAGTCTTGTAAATTTTTTTCAAAACCCTAGTATGAAGAATAGTTATGAATATTTTTGCTGGTGGATTTGTTCAACCAGTCTTGATCTTTAAATAAATTTCAGTGTAAGAAAATTAAAGAATATCATATAAATTTCTTTATGTGATAGATAGTTTTTTTCAAGATCATGGATTGAACTTGAGTTGAAATATTTATATTAATCTTAAGATAATATTACTTATAATTTGAAATATTTTATCCTTCACATTGTACAAAATTGGTGTATTATAGTGTATTGTTGAAAATTGTAAAAAATATTAATTAAACATAATGCATTTAATATTTGTATTCAATTTTTTAATAAGGCTATACAAATAAATCAAAAGAATGAACATTTGTGACAAAAAAAAGTATGACCTAATTTGAAAATTTATATGTAATTCTATATATATTTTTTTATATATAAAGGGTTCTTTTTGAATGCATAAAATATCTCATCTTATCAAGTATGTTTTCTAAAGTTTTTTCTATAGTATCTAATTACGAAATTCATATATCATACATATATCACACATTAGTTTTCAAATCATTGTATAAATCCTACGGATTTTTAAAACTTTATACTACATGAAAAAGGTATTATTATGATTTGTGATCTGTAGTTTAATTCTACTTGGCAAGTGAACACTACATGATATTTAATTGCAATAATAAGGACAAATAAAGAGTTTGGCAAGCATCTCTCAAGCATTGTTTGAAACGTAAGGCCTTGTATTAGATTTGTATCAAACAAGAATTTTCTCACCATTAAAAGACTAGACTTTATAATGATAATGAAATATGTAGATCATAGAAATAGAATCTTAAAGTTTACCTAAGAGAATGAATCATGATATATATCTCTATGTTACGAAATTTTTTCGAGAAAGCATCATGAATTTAGTTGTTCCAACAAATCATCATAGGTAAACTTGAAAAATAAATATATAAATTAATAATAAATGATCACAATAACTGATATATGTGAACTCAAAGATGATTGTAACTGACAAATTGTACATAATTATGATGATTTGAATTTCAAAAATTATTTTGACCTTGCAGTATTTTCAAGAGTATTTGGATATGTATTTGAAGTAGTTTAGGATCAACTTGGCTACAATTCCAGTTCGTGAATGGTTGCATATAAAGAGAATTTTGAAGGTCATCATCACTAATTACATACTTCGCTTGCCAACTTCGAATGCGTAGGGGACTACTCAATCTATTGGTGAATACATTGCCCAAGTTCATGTGCTCATAAGATAAGTGTTCTAAGCATCCATCAACATAGACCTTTACACTTAATCAGATCTTTAATTAGCTCATGATGTTCATATTTATCTATACCCAACACTTCTCGCATAGAAAAATTAATCTTTTCACATAAATTTATGTCCTTCAGAATCTCTTATATATTGAATCTCTTCAATTTATTAGCTTACACTTGCAAGTAAGAGCCCAGCCGTTGAAAAAGGAATTGTTTCATTCCTCAACGCTTTCTTCTCAACACTTGCGTTGTGAAGATTGGAGGTTGATGCTATTTGCAAATTGGCTGAATCTATTTCAAAAGCTCATGTATATCCCTCCGTTTCATACTTCCAACAGCCCTAGCACTCTCCTACACATCATTAATATCTTCCACTCAACTGTCTTTCCTGCCCACTCTTGCCAAGTCATTGGGAATTCTCGCTCAAAATAAATTTTGATGCTTGCTTAATCTACATGATCATCCCACTCAGTGATCTTTAAAATCTTCTCACCTTATATTGCCATCACTTACCTCGAATCAGTACTTCAGTACTCACTCTTCGTTCCATACAAATCACGTGACTCTACCTTGATGCTATATGTATTCGCTTTAATCCTTTGAGCAGCCCCTCCAGCTTGTGGTATCAATATCTCTCTCTTACCGCCTTTATCGACGCTGGTATCAAAAAATACATTTGCATGACTATTTTGGGTCTCTCTTCTTCCTAGAAATTCTACCACATTCCTTCACGACCAATGCTGTCACACTAGGTGCATCATCTACTGGATGTCATATTTACAAGATGGATTCTGAATCACAGTTTCCAAATTTACATGATGCACCATGATCCAACGAAACATATTTGATAGAAATGTCACTGTGTCACAAAAACTCGCCAACATCTCCAGGTTCCATAGGTTACTCCAGATCAGGCTGTGCCTGCACAATCTTGAATCTGGTCAGAAACCTGCTGGTACCGGTCGGAATAGACCCACGTCTGAATATTGACCGGTCCCACGTCTCAGAAGGGACCGTCATTGTCAGCTACGGACTCTGGGCCTGCATTCGAGATCCGCCGTGGGAGGGGTCAAGCATGCTCTTCAGAGACCCGTCGCCCTCGATCTTTCTCTGAAGTGATCCTCAAGCGATCCCAGCAGTTTCGTCCTTCTCTTTTCCAGTCATGAAAGAGCACGTGAGAGCTTTCGTTCGTTGAGTTGGAGCCAAGATTCTTCTGACGTGCAGTTTGTTCACCCTGTTGTACTGTCTCTGAAACTGCTCAGATTACGTACTTGGTTTCCGTCATGGCTCGATCGCTTATGATGCAATCGCTCAGATTTAAACCTCGTTTACGGTCAAAATTTCCGAATCGGCCAACAATCGCAACTCAATCGGCCAAACAATCGCAACGAGAAGGACTCAATCTTACGCGGGTTTCCTCATCCACAGAGACGAGGAAAGAAGGCCGATCGAATTGCTCGAACAGACAACTGTTTTGTTTGCTCCTCGCGGGAAAGAGTTATGTTTCGGCTGGTCTGTGATACAGTCGTGGCCTCTGGTATGCGTATTGAAAACGGATGATGGATTTCCCTCATTAGGATCTTTCGGACTCTCCATCTTCTCGGGCCTTAGGGTGGAGTGCGTAAAATGAATGCTACACCGTACAATGTCAGGGTCTTATAATTTCACCCTTGAACCGAGGTAAATCCTCTGGAGTGTCGTTGTAGAACCTGTCGTCAGGATTTCGTTTTATTTTTCCTTCCGTGCCGAGGTAATTCATGAGAATGAATGAGTACCGGTAGAGTTTCGTCCTTTAGTTTCGTGGACAGTCCGGGAGATCCTGGAATCAGCTCAATTATGATAAAGTGGGCCCAATTTTGAGTCCTTCCACGCTGGAACGGGGAACGCATGATTCACAGGCTCCTAACACAAGACGCATCATCTCATTTGGACTCTGAGTGATTCGGTCGGTGATGACAACTATCGGCCACCTAAAGCGAGCAGGAGTGAAAGATACATTCGATTGGCAGATGCTGCACGCGTGACCCAAAGCGGAATTACACATGAAAACTCTCCATCGATCACGCCGACGTAAAACCTGTGTATGTGGATCTCTCGCCTCATCACTCAACTGAAGTTCACTGAACTTCGGTTCAGCGATGAAAGTAGAAGAGCCACAGACAGAGGAAGATTCAAGATCGTCGCCATGGAATGCCGGTCTGAGGTCGAGGAGGCTGGCCGTCATGTCACAAAGGCAAATCGTATTCTTCAACCTCGAAAGAGGTAGGAATGGAGATCCGTCTGGAAGATGAGCAGATCTCCTTGCGGTCCTGACAACGCTTCAGACAAGATACAAACGTATGACTCGACCGCTACCAGAGCACGAAATGGCAACGTCGAGCAAACATGTGCCCGTCTCAAGGCAATGTGCGAAGATATTCAATCCTCCCCGCAAGAAGTAGCACATTTATATTGCTGAACGTGGCAGCATGAACTCGTAGCTCCTATGTAGATCTCCGTTCTCTGTCGCTACCAACAGACTCAAGCAGACTGAGTTTCGTACTGAATCTCATTCCCTTCCTTGTTTATGCCACTTCGCGTACGTAATCTTCTATCCTTCTTTTACGAGGTCTGAGATTCTGAACATATGCAGCGAACGGTGGTTGTGGGTGACGAACTGTGCAGCTCCAGAGAGCATGGACCGACAGACTAGGTTTTCGGCGCAATCGGAACAGGAAACGTCCACAGAGTGTTTGAAGGCCGGGCTTTTGTTGTCTCTCTCGCCCTCCTCAGTTCATGGAAATAAAGGCAGAGCAACTCCGTCAGAAGCACTGTGCATTGAGCGTGGGAACGGGGTGAACAGAAGGAATTCCCAGAAGAGAGAGGGAGGGCATCTGGCAAGACGCGGACTGAAGAGAAGACGAGGGGAGTTTAAGGAAATCACGTGTGCACGAACGAAGGTGCTCAACAGGGAGAGGGAGAATTGCCATTTGGGGAACAACTGATGGCAGCATACAAGAAGGTGGGGCCAATGGAGAGAATCGTTCTCCTCGGATTGTGGGGCCAGAACCACAGTAGAGTGAGGTTGACTTACAAACGGACAGGGGCCAAGAAGAATTCGCTTGCGAAATTGTGCGTCATGATCACAGGTCAGCCGAGGCCCCAGCCTGGAATAAGGCTTCAAACGTTGTTTGTTTTGCGGGGCCTTGAGCCTGGATGATGAGGATTCCCAGACAGGTGGTTGGGTTTAGATATACAGGTGGTCGAACAGTTTTTTCAGAGGAAGTTGACACTGTGTGATATTAGAAAATGCTGGAATTGAGGAGGCAGGAAGTACACAGGTGACTGATGAGGAAGCTGCAGTTGCCCCAGAACTCTTCAACTAAATGAAAGGATTCAGAGGGGGAGGTGGATTGCAATGGTTGCCTGAAGCTGCAGAGCGTGGTTGTCCATCGACCCGGGGCATTCCAAAGGACTACTTACTTGCTTGAGGAGGAGGTCAGTGGGATCTGCGGATCGATAATTTGGCTCTCCAGATCCAAATTATCATCCCTGCCCTCTCGTCTTCTTTGCTATCCTGCAATATAGTCTCGTTTCTTTGTCATCCTCGTTCTAGCTGTAAGGTTTAGTGTGGGCTCATGCATCGACGCTTAGTACATTAATACGAGAGGTGGAACACAAGCTGAAGGATCACAGGGCTTCACGAAACGCCGAGCATTTTTTTCATCTCAAGTGATATTGTGCTTGAGAAGGGGCTGAAGAATGGCGATGCGACCCCAAATCATCTTGCTAGGAGATTCCATCACTGAGCAATCCTTCGGTCCGTTTGGTTGGGGAGCAGCTTTGGCAGATCAATATAAGGGAAAGGTAGGTCCCTAGTCGCCAAACTTCGCGTGGTCTCACCTACAGAGCACACGTTTTTCCCGCTTGATCTTGAGTTCCATCTTGCGTCTCATATGATCTGCCAGGGCATGGTAGAAAGCTAGGTTGCGGAGGTTTAACTGCTACTTGACGGGATCAGACCGGAATTGAACCGTCTCAAGGCTTGGTGGGCCTGGAAGGTAAACGAGTCTAGATGATGCAGTTGGATAGAGCCCCGGACAATACGTCTCTTCTAGTGTAAGGAATGTTGTTGATGAATCTGATCTGAATTCATCTGCTGTAAAACCTATGACAGAGTGAGAAGGTTGGATTTGTTGCAGTACGATGTGGTGGCACGCGGATTCACTGGCTACAATACACGGTGGACCTTATTCCTTCTGGGCAAGATCTTCCCCATTGTAATTCTTCGGCCCAAACTCCACCTCTTGTTCGAGTTCTTCAATCGTTTGCTACAACATCATCTTCTAATCTACCAGAGAGACGCATTCTCCTTCGTAGATCCAAGTCCTTCAGGACTTGGTTGCTGGTCTGTTAAAACTAGGACTACTGACTCTGTGCTTGATAAGCTTGTAGCTGTAATTCTCGAGATGCTTACAAGTAGAGAGATTTGATACTTGTTCCAAAGTTTAAGGAAAAGCACAATGCTGGTCGTATTAAGAGTTCTTGATCTGAAGTGAAAGGAAATTCATGCAACGTTTTGATCATGAGGAGTCATTTTTACCCCCTTGAGGAAGGGCCGAGTTGAATCCAAAATAATGATGCTCTACTTTGCCGTACATCTGTCAGAGAACGCCAAACCCTCCATCAGTGGTAACAGTCTTCTTGGGAGCAAATGATGCTGCAATTCCCGGTGGTGCAAACGGCTGGTTGCATGTACCCCTTCCAGAGTACAGAGACAACCTCCATCAAATAATAGCTCACCTGAAGGTTTATACACTTATGCCATGCTATCATCAGTTTATACAAATTCAAATGGTTTGCACTGTAGCATATTCTTTGGACTTTGCCTTTGAATCCGTTCATTATCTTTTCATGTATTGGACCTTTCAGTTCATCTGGATGCCGCTTTTGAGACAAGCTAACATCTATTCTATGTGTCTCTGCAGGCTCAATCAGATTCTACTCTTATCATCCTCATCACTCCTCCTCCAGTTTCTGAAAAGGGTCTCCTCGCTTGTTCACCGTAAAGTATTCAAAACTTACCTAGATATATTTCTAAGCTGAACGAGTACATCTAGTTCTCGACTGCATACATGCTAAAACAATTCAGAAACTGGCAATCGTTTATGTCTGTTCAGCTGCAGCTGACTTCAGACCACTGTGATTCGCTGACATTCAATTTTCCTGATTTGCAGTCACTTACTTGATGACACATCAGGCCAGCCAACCCATGTGAATCAATTCACGGGAATGTACGCTCAAGAATGTGTGAGTGTGGCAAGAGAGGCAGATGTCCAGTGCCTCAACCTGTGGTCGATTTTCCAAGAAACACCCCGATGGGAGGCACTTCTTAGGTGAGTTTCGTAGATTCATAATATACATGGTGCTGAACAAGAAGTAACTTGTGAATCCAGAACATATGAGCATGTCCTAAGACTGAATTTTAAACTCCTGGTTCGTCTTTTGTTTCTACAAATCAAATTATGTCTCAGTTGAGTAGATTTTGATGTCATGGCCTACTTTATTTTGACCACTCAGTCTTCCCCATTGTACAACATCTGAGCTTGATCAAGAGTCATTCTTACTCCTGACGAATCGCTTTCTACCATACTACTTGGTAATTTCCTGACATAGCCTGAAGACCATAGACACCGTGCTCCGGCTCAGCCGTGCTAACGTGACGTTTCAAAGTTTGAAAACCTTGAAGCTGGCTCATAGACGGATACGTAGTATCACAGGGTTCTGGTATTCGAAAACGGTGAAAAGAGACCAAAACTGTGAAACTTCTGATTGTGTTCTTGTGGCAGTGATGGCATCCATCTCAGTGTCGAGGGGAATCAGGTGGTCTTCGAGGAGCTCGTGAAGCTGCTGGATGAATCAGACTTTGTACCAAGTACACTCAAAATAGATACTCTCAAGTTAGACGAAGTGCCATATGACTCTCCTGAGGAGATGGAAGATGGCTATGAAAGTCCAGATTCCAGTTTCCAAACTTGGTCTGCTCCCAAAGTCAAAGAGTATGCATCTTTCTAACTCTTCTTTTCGAACAAAATACCATTCACGCAAATCGTCTCGTATTAGTCAGACTTTCTATGTAGCATCCTGCATAGTGGCTCTTCTGCCTTTTGTCGTTCAACTCTCAGTTGAGAATTTTCAGTGTGTGAGAAGCTCTGTAGAGATTTCATTACCAATTTCCTCTACCTTCTTTCTCGACTGTTCTAAAATCTGGTGCTTGGAATTTATACAGACTTCTGGTGGGCCACGTTCTCGTCGCAAGAAGATGGGTTCCTTCTAGTCCAGGAACATACTCATAATCTTGCAAGTGTGCATAAGCCGAACTTGTGACAAACAAAAAATTTTGCCGTGTAAATGTGAGTCAAGTTTTAGTAGGTTCCAGGTCACCATTCGTCAAACGGCTCAAGGCGCTTAGAGCCTTGGCCTTTGACGACAAGGGACAGAACCTCACCTAACGGGCACAGAAGAATGTATCAAGATGAAAATGATGCTTGGAGTGGTTTGTTAAATTAGTTGATCAAGCTACAAGTTCACCGCCTCTATATCTATCGCCCCGTTGTCCATACCCACTGCCATCTCAAGGTGAACTTCTTTACCCATGTCGCCAGGCATCGAAACAATCTGGGCATGAACGAGCTGCCCAAAGCTTATGCTCATCTCCTAGTGTGTTTACGCTTATCACTCAGAAGAGCATAAGAGTAGATTAGTGAAGGGCCCCTTGTCACCCCGGATCACTATACATCGAAAAAATTGACTTAGGAATTGACTTGTAAACTAGCAGAAAGATATTTTACCTTTAGCCGTATGATGTCTTAGGAAGACATAACATTCCCATGAATGGGTTCACTGCCCTGACCATACAACGATCAATAGAATTGCTTTGCACATTTTCTGGCCAGCAAGCAAAAGTCAGCGGCCATGAACCTTGATTCTGATGTTATTGATGAGGTAGAGCCATATAATATTCACAGCGAGGGCTCTCCTGGAATACCATTGCAACCAGCCTTGTGAGTTGGTCTGTCTATACTATGCCTTTCTGAATGAGCTTGTCTCTGGAATTGATTGATTGTTTCGAGCACTGAAAGCATGAGCCTGGAATATCCAGTTTGAGATCGGTTGCCCGTCGTTTCTGAGCTCAAGCAGTACTGCTCAGAACCATGAATAAGGCTTTGGACAGAATAAAAAGCGTGTCAAGCGCGTTCTCTGCAACGTTGCCAACACACTGCACGATGGACCACAGATTTTCCATTGTACCCCACGTGGTTGAATCACACTTTATTGTAAGAGTAAATAATACTTCACGGGTTTCCACAACTCCATTGTGTATCATCTCCCCCTTTACTGAAATGGAGGACACGGCAGACTGAAGATCACGGTTATGCATCATGCATCAGCCTCGGATGATCATGTTCTAGTTGCGTTTATCCCGTTTAGGGTTGTAGAAGCTGCACGGGCTCAAACCTTGCGCAAGACTTGCAGTTCTGTCTGTCAGACTCGGATCTCATTCACATGCACCTTACGCCATTTTGAAACTCTTTAGATTGGAATAGATTTGAGATAACCAAGGCGTCGAATATACGCAACTCTCGTAACCCTAGCTTTGTGCATGACATGTATATGCTCACCGTGTACTTCAAATGTTCTGTTCCCTTCTAAATTTTGCATCAAATAGAAAGATGTAATTTTCTTACTCAAACAACGTAGAAACATGTATCTTGAAATTTGTGCACTTTTGTCATAAAAACTTTGTGATGATGAAATCTCAAGTCTAAGCTCTATAAGCATTTACCCATTTGGTCAATGTTCAGTCGTGTTTAGGCTCTACACTCCACATTCTAGATTCAAATGTCGAAGACTAAAACATAAATGGTTAATCCGTCAATACGTAGCCAAACATCTACCATGCAAGAAAAGTCTGTCGGGAATATGGTACTTCCCAACAGAAGTTCTATGGTTTGAATAATGCTTGAGGTTGAGCTTTGTTTGTAGCCACTCCTATATAGACTAGTCGAGGCTGCCACATCCGTTCTAATTAACGGATGATTTGAAGCATTTACTTCTCCTCGGAAAACACCTGCAAGTCTTCATAGATTACACACAGATCCACCGAACAAGGTCAGCTATCTTCTGGTTGCAAAATCTGAATGACGCCATGGCTTCTTAAACCATGCCAAACCAAAAGCGAAAATTACTACTTTACTTTTCCACTTTTCTGACTTAGAATACTGATGTGAGTCGAGCCAAAACAGTAGCTAGTGACTGAGAGCACCCACCTCATGCTCTTCAATGGTGTCCTCTTGGGAGTACGTGACATCGACGCATGCACAGACATCGTCGGTATCTCGACGATGCAGCAATCAGAGTTAGTCATAACGACCACCACGATGAAGGTGTAGATTCCTCGACCCCATTGTTATCACTTGCAACGATGCACAACTGCAGCCACGGCAAGGCTATGTACTGAAGGGTGAGGAGAGAATGATATGCAAGTTACTTAAACCTTTCATGGATTAAACCAAAGCGTGACATATTGTAATATCAATGACAAGACTTCAATGAGATTTCATGTGCTCATGCGGATTTATAGAGAGTTTATATGATTCATGTTTATGTTACATGAAGTATTAGCCCAGCTTTGACCTCACCTTTTTTCTTGTGGAGATAACATGTATTTGTAATAGTCGAAATAGATGAAATTTATGGGTTCAAATAAAGATCCATTGCTGCTAATCACTGACATTGCCTACAATCCTTTTTTCACAGATCTTTCTTCATCCACACGCATACATGGTCCTTGGTCGTCGATGTGTTCTTCGATTCAATTGTTTTCCGCATTCATCACAGCGTTCCATGATCGATCAGATATGTCCCGACATCTACAGCCTGAAACGCATGTGATGGTCCGACATGCGCCCAACCCCTTACTGCAGCGACATACGATGTGCGCTGAGTGTTTGGTTGCAGAATCCGTAGTTCTTAGTACAGAGCTGGATAGTAAGTCACATGAACATTGAAAGCTTCATCAGCAATAAGGTATTAACTGACACGAAAGCTGCTTCACTTGCAGATACAAAAGCCTATGAAGCCAACGCTCAGATGTAGCGTCTAAGTCAGAGCCGAACGGTTCCATAGATTCAAGCCTAGGGTTAAAGGCTTGATGCCACTGCAGCATTTGGTCCCATCTTTAAGGTTCATCTTTATGCAATTTGCACGGCGTCATTCTGAGCTTGATTTATAAAAATCTGATGGTTGAGGCATCACATACTAAAAGATATGAAAATTTCAAATATTTATTACCCTCAAACAAACAATGAGAGCAACTGTATAGACATTGTAAACATGCCAGTCCCACATCAAAGAAAAAATTGCGTTAAAAGTCTATCTCATCACACGAATGGGGTATTTGCTCATCAGGATGATTGCAAGCCTGTTTGCTCTCTATTTCATCATCCATCGTCTTGGGCCCTGAGGATCTTTCGGTGGGTGTGAATCAGATTACTGCATTCATCAATTTCGACATCCTGTAGTGGTGCAAAACCGTGAGCAGTTGTCTATTACAATAGTTGTGAAGCAAGAGTTCCAAAAAACCAAATTTAATTGTTGGGAGCGAAGCAGACGAAGACATGTTTCTTCTAGTGGTTTACAGTGAATTGGTAATGATGGGTACTTTCAATATCTATGCTCGCATAGATATTTCGGTTACCAATAAAGGTTGACAATCTGACTGATTTTCCTGATAACTTGTACTCAGAAAAAGTTTTCAAGATATTCGATTCTGACATCTATTCTATTGGTTCAACTTATCTCAAGAACCGAGACTTTTCAGATTCTGATCGAACACTAGAATTCGCTAGAATTCTAGTGTTCTTACGCTAGAATTCTAAAAGCGTCAAACTCTACGCGCTAGATGGATTTCCCTGAAAACAGGGAATAACAGGCCCCTAGACACCTCAAGAAACCTCATGTATTTGTGTCTAACGTGATAGTTCCTGTAGCTGGCAATTCAATGATTAGTGATTCTTCAGCTGTTGAGACATAGAGTTTGTATCAATTCCGCTAGTAAAGCACGTATCTTAAGGGATGCTCAATGGACGTCACATAATGTCAATCATGAAATGTCTGTATTCTATCCTTCGCAAGTCGAACATAACGATAATTAGAAGTGAAGCTCTCTGGTCAGACCTTTCCTTCTGACAATATCAGATACCAGACGAGTATTTGCCGCGTCAAAAGCAAGCACGATCATATGTTTTTTCACGTGCTAGCTTGTTTCATAGCAGGAGCTTTCACCATATTGCCAACATTTGAATCAGCCAAATGTTCCATACGATTAAATATTACACTATTGAAATTCCGAACAACGATGAAGATATGAATCCCCGCGGGGGTATTTCACTCAGCAGGACAGAAATTGCTAATGTCCTAATACATGCCAATAGAAGCTTCAGGAGTTCTATATGAATGAACCACTAAGATCTGTTCGAAATGGAGAGACGAGTGAGTCCGAATCAAGGCTTGGAAAAATATTTCACACAGTACACGAACAGAACCAAACCCAAGGCTATCAAAATGGATTGCCACACTCTTCTGAAGACACACCCATTCCCATTCCCCTCACTGTAGGAAGGTGGAGGAATGTTGACGACGTGGTCAGATCTGCAGATCAGTGGAGCGGATAGAGACTGTGACGGTGAAGAAGGAATCGGTGAATAAGGAAGAACTTTTACTCGTCCTTCCACTACAGGACGAGTAAAAGATGGACGCGGGGGCAAAGTCGAAGACGAATGGGCTGTCCTTGCGATCAGTTGTTCGATCAGTGACTGATCAGTTGCTGCGGATGAATGTGGGATTCCTTGACGAGGCTGATCTCGTGCTCGATTCTTAAATGTCTTCCGACATCTGCCTCGTACTCTGGGCCAGAATGAATTCTTCTCCAGCACGGCCTTCAGCTCCAAATTGTTGATAGATTCTGCAAATCGAGGATGCCAATGGTAAGGAACAATTTTTACAGTCACAGTCGAGATCCTGGCCTTCTTGAAAATCCAGAGCCGTCTGTTGTCCAGCGACCACAGGCGTCCTTCATGTTTCACAACGTTGAGGGCGGGGAAATCTGTAACTTTGATCACCCCTTGCAAGATCGATTCCACAGTGTCATCAATCCGTTGACCTTCTCGAGGCTTTCTGAAATGACAACTGATGGAATCTTGCGTGAACAAAAGCTCCTGAACATTGACCTCCGCAGTAGCCATCACCTCGAGATATTCAAGTCCCTAATCTGAGACACAGACAACACAAGAACGATGGTATGCAAATCCCATTGCAGGTGATAGATAGCACTCAGCACTGACGTCCACTGAAAACGAGATCCATCGTGAATCGGCTCGATCGTTCGGAAGGAACGAGGAGTATAGTATCAGAACTCTCGTAGCTTGGCATGTTTGAACAGAAGGCGAGCTTCAATAACATGAAGGAGTCCTCGTCTGGGGTACTCAGGTCAACCGCGGTCTCAGATATCTTCTTCTTGCGTCACATCCCTCCCTTGTTGCACCTTTACGACTTTCGTGGCATGCACCTCAGACAAACGTGACTTCCCGAGATTACGAGGCACAAGCCAGGAGAATGCTTTAGGATTCTTCCCCTTTTCCCTTGTCAGGAATATTTGGGTTGTAATGTGTTTTTCAGTCTTTTCACCGTTTGGTCCCACTGGGTTGATTTATACACCATTACCCAACATACCTGTGACGTTAACTTGATGTACTGCAAAACAAAAATCTGTTTTTTAAGATGTATGGACAACGCAAACGGCAGCCGACCCTGTTTAGCCTCAACACACAATAGAAAAGAGATACTTTTCTTAGTCAGTGCAATGTACTCGGGAGAATTTTATGTTCCCAGTAGGACATTTGGTGGGAGGTTGATAGCGAGCAGGTATGAGTTTACGATTTAAAGTGTACCCAAAGTAGCCCTTATATTCCTCGGCCTCTGTGGTTTTTCTGGAAGACTTGTGCAAGCCTTTTAAGGATAGAATTTTATGCCGAAGTATAAAACTTTATGAAGATATCGCTTGGAATGGAATAATGTTCACTATGCCCCGGGATGGCCACCATCCTTCATATTTCATAGCAAAATATTGAAAAAATCAGGTTCCACTAGTGTTCCCTCCTTATACTCGATCTTTTGTTGTTACGCTCTATGATACAATATGACGAAGTATCACTCTAGACGTGGTATGGATAATTGGTTATTCATAGATCCCTTGATTGATACATGTCTAGATTTGCAAGATTGATATTTTAAAAAATACTTTAAAACATATATTCAAATTAGTATTAAGTCCGTTTGTGAATGGAAATCATATTTTAATCAGATGTCTCGTATTTGAATCTATATTTACAAGCACAATTATTTGTGAAAGTCTTGCATGAAAGGTGGGGCTTCTCAAATTTGTGATTTACTTAATTTGAAATCTCTATGTATTGATAAGGTTGAAATCCAAAAACAATTAGAGTTCGAAGTATTCAGATATTGCTCAAATATTTCCACATTTTGTCTTTCTTGCTAACTCTATCAATGATGATAATGATACGGTTGGACATAAAATAATATATAATCTCAACATAATGATACGGTTGGAGTTTATGCATGCAGTGTAAAACCAACCTACCTGACATTCTGAACCTCCAGCAAACCCACCTGTACAGCGATATGTCACCAAGTGAAAATAGAAACTGCAGTGAGAGGTGCCGGAGCCATCACAAGGTACTGCCACAGGCATAATTTAAAACCTATTATCACCACAGGCACTGAAGTAAATATCATATTCTTATTTGTCCCTGATCCCCGTACGTCAATCGAGGAAGTCGTGTTGTACACTTTGGAGATCTTGCGGATGATTAAGCTTCTGACGAGATGAGATGTTCTTGCTGAGATTCATTACCATTTCTCAAAAAGTTTCGGATCCTGGAGTTTCACTTACTATCCACACGTCGCATCGTCCGCCAAAGCGTCCGAGACCATCATTCTGATCTGTAACCTTGGGCATCAGAGGAATACGAATCTTTTCCGCAAGGCTCTTCTTGGACCCATCAGATGTTGTTCATGTAAGGAGTCGGAGAGTACTAAAACCATGGTATAAAACGCTCAAGGGCCGTCGCCAGTTCGAAATTTGAATGATTAGTCTTGCTAATTGATGTTGTTGAAGACAACGACGTCAAAATCTCTCCCTGACTGCAAGAAAGTTGCCACTGAGAAGGCCTTTGGATCGATCCAGAGGAGCCTGTGTCGAGAACGTCTCAAACCGTGCACGAAACCAACACTAAGCGGATGGCAGAGCTCTGATGATAGGCAGGGTCGAAGGATTGGGCCGAAGGTGAGATGGTGAGCTTACCTTTGTCGATGGGTGAGGTTTCAGCAAATCTGAGCCTGATGTGGACCTCGAGGATCTGTTATCTCGCTGTGGTACTTCTCGATTTCGGACTCATCTCACTCAGCGCAACTTCAACACTCTTAATACTACGAAGCCCGGCATGTATAAAATCTCCCTGGATGCTACTTCCGCGACTTCCTCACACAATTCGTTCGCGTCCGATCCCACTTCCTCGTATTTCTGCTCCCAGTCTTCAGCTAAGTCTCATGGATCTCGCGTCCTAACCACATGTGGGAGATGCAATCTTTGCGCCATGTGACGATAGAGGAGGCTTACTTTCTGACGATGCGCAATGTAGACGTTTCTCAGATACAGCAGAGAATCGTACCGAAGCAGATGGGAAGCTTCAAAAGTCGGTTTTCGAATGACAACTTCATGCAGTTTTCCATTCTGGCCATGGAGAATGTCTGCATAGATCTCACTGGAGCTCTTGAGCTATTCGAGACCAGCACAGAAGAAATTATGCCCAACATCTCGGGACTTTCGGCGAATCCTGAACTGTATTATCTGTGGAATGAAATTTACAACTGCACTGGGAACATCAGCACCATTCACGGCGTGATGGCTCTAAAGCTGCAGGAGAAAGCAGTGCGCTAAAAAAAAAAACCTTCAGAATTTCACGACAGTGAGGTGCAATTGGAAGAAATCGATGGTTGTAGAAAGCGTGAAGTACTCGTTCACCTGAAAAATTGACTGCCAATTGCTCCGACCGGAAGTGACCATCGAGAGGAGAGAACAAACTCCAGCGTCTCAGACAATCGCCTCCGAATATGTACTACCGTCGGCCCCGGCGACTGCACATTCGAGAACGACACGAACGACGGCGGATACAGCGGAAAGAAACACTGACCTTCAACGGCTCCCGTAATATATCGATACGTTCGCGGATTCTGATGCCTGGGAACTCAGCATGGCGAGCGGCACCAGGCTCCAGCTCAGTCACGCTCCTCAGCGTCAACGAGCGTCGTCCGACGCTCAGGCGCCCGGCAAACGGAGCGAAAGTGACGCGCTGGACGTACACAGCGGCGACCACGCAGTCAAGGACTTCCCTCCAAGACTGATCGGAGAATCGGCCGAAAGATATACTGGTTGTACACCGGATCGAATGCCTGAACCCCAGTCAAAAGGCTAACTTTGCATTTCGACCGTGAAAGTACAGTAGAGCACTTTAGTCAATCCAAGTTACCGACTCTTTGGATATTGTCCATCTAGATCGCGCTCTGAGTTACCGTCACGAGGTGGGCCCCGGACATCGACAAGACAAGGGGCTCTTTTCTGCAGATTACCACGTAGCAACAGCCCTTCAACCACGTTACCAGTTTGTCCCTTCTCCTCCCTCCCAACCCCGAGCGAGAGTTAAGATTCTACGGCGCAAGCTTGAACAACGTCGAAGTTTTGTGAGTGGTATGAATATGAAGAATGACTGATTAGATCGGTGCATGCATTGAGAAAAAGCATTATTCTCTTCCTCGCTTGATATCTTAATTTTTTAATGCCACGATAGTCAGCCAGCCAAGGAAACCACCTCTCCAGCGGCGCAGGGTTGGTCCTCCCCTCCCTGCAACCTCTAAAGCTGATGGCGCTGCCTTGCTACCACCTGATCCTGCTCTTTCGGCTTCGGTGGCTAGAACCACCCAGGGTACCTTCGCATGATGTGACCGAAATTGTCCTTCTGTCACAGCCCTCACCGAAGGGATGTCGGTATCGCGAGCCCTTCCGTTTAGCTGTTCCGTGGCAAAACTGCGAGTATGCGGTAATGGCGGAATCTCTCTGACACACAAGCAAACCTGCCATCAGCTACAATACTGACTAAGAGATCTCATTTCTCTGATTTCGTATTAGACCCTACTCTGGTAATTCGTTGAGAGCTCCTTCAAGAAAACACTCGATTGCCGTATTTGCAATAAGTCATATAACGTAGACACTTGAATTGAAGACCAAAAGTAGAATTGTTGCTCATGTTTCCCATTGTTGCTCTTCCTTTCATTTGGGATTAGGTGGGAAAGTGTACATGAATCGTTTATTGGTCAACTTGTATCTTATTACCATTAGTCCTGACATCAGAATTTCCTGGAGGAAGCAATGGTAATCACTGGATGCCTACATCACAACACAAACCGCATACATCCATGTCAGAACAAGGTCCCTCAGTAATGGTCCTCACGCCGCCTGTTTCTATTAGACAGGATACATATTGCAGTCAAGAAGGTTTCATCGGGCTGTAGACTTCAAATGGTAGCCTGGTACTTGTACGGCTCTCTTTACTTCCTGTACAGAGGCCTGATCTTAAGATTCTCTGCAGGGCAGCCGGCCAGCAAACTTCAATTAAAATACAAAAACAGACATCGTCGATAAAACAATTTTAGAGAAACCATCTGAACCACGTGGGTAGCTTAAGTCTATACCTGGACAGAAGCAATGCTTATCACCAGTTACTCCGTCTAATCAGCAGGAAGTTTTCTTGATGATTTTTTTTTAACATCTTTCCGGAAGACCTTCTGCAAAATGGGCTTTTACACAAACACCGAAATGCTTCGATGGGATGTTCGTTGTCATCAGAATCTATCTTGTAATCCTACGCAGTAGCAAAACATAAGTAAAACTCCCTAAGCAAGTCTAGGAAGAGTGAACTCAAGACACCCAGCTCAGAAGACCTTTCAAACGAGCGGGAACAGAAGAGTCCGAACAATTTTAGATATATCTTAGCACTCTTCGTTTCTCTTAAAAGGTATTTGTAGTTAGATAAACCCTACGTTCTATAATAAATCAAATGCAAGGGATAGAGAAGAAGTTTGAACAATGTTGTACGAAGGAAAATAATAACATGATTCAAGTCCTCAACATCGATACAACAAAGTGAAGTGCATCAATGCAGCACTGAGCAGAGGAACAGAATTTTCACAAAAGTCTGAAGATATACATATACTGTACAGAAAGTGCAGAAAGTACATGAGAAAAAGTAGATGGTAGGCAAAAGAGTATGTAATTAACACTGACAAGAAAACAAACTTGGAAATTTGAACGAAAAGCAAAATTATCAAATGAATTCTATCATATAAAAGTTGAAAAATACTGAAAATCATAAAATTCTTGAATTTTTAAAGAAACAAATAGTTCTTTAAATCAAGAGATGCGAGACATTAACAGCATGTTAGGTCCTTTCAAAGAACTGACGATAACAAATTCGACTACTTCGGTCCAGATAACCATACCAAGGATGCATCGCGGAACAAATGTTTACAGTACGCTTGCATTTGATACTGTACCACTCTGATAACTTCAGAAACTGAGCAGGTTTGAAAGTCCATAACTATCGAAGCTTTTATGAGAGAGAGATTACCCAAGTTAACTCATTTGCTCGGACTGCATGGCGGGTGAAGAAAGCTACATGAACTAACATTTCAAGGCAGATGAATATGAATGATGTTATTCTTATTCATATTAACATAGTTATATCATAGTTAGAACTATGATATAATTCAGAGGGCCCGCACTTTCAGTTTTTCATTCGTATGGAATTTCACTTCCCGATTCACTATGAGGTCGCAGTATCAAATAGCGACATTTAGAGTAGACGCTAAGGTACTGGTATGTATTATTTCAAGTCTCGCACATCGAGCCTTTATAGCTCAGTGGTAGAGCGTCAGTCTTGTAAACTGAAGGTCTGGTGTTCGATCCACCGTGGAGGCACGAGTAAGTTCAATAGGCGATTATCTCAAATCCTTTTATGATCTAGATCAGTGTGATACAAAGACGAGTTTGTGGTTTCATTCACCTTCCCCTTGTGCTCGATCTCGATGTCGGTGACGCGCAATGGATTTTGCGATGGAAAAGCCGCAGTCACCCACAAACGAAACCACTTGGAGAAGGAAAGAATGTGTGTTCCTTGAATATAGTTCAGTGAAGGCAAGTTCCCAGGTTTACATTGACATATCTTGTCCCCTTGTAGAAAAGGTTTTTGCTTTTGGTCTTAATTGAAAAGGCCTGCGGCCTGACTGAGGACTTTTCTCTGTAGTGACACGCGGTCAGAGATTCAATTCTCCTCCCACTGCTTGAAAACTCAGCCCTCTCTCCATCCCCGAACACCATCCCTTATCATAAAAAGTACCTATTCAGTGCTCTTCGTTTTCCAATTGAGATCTTAGTGACAATTGCATGGAACAATATGGAAAGTTTAAAGTTCATAAAATGAGTTTATCGTATTCAAAAATTTACGCAGAGCTTCTTAGCAACTCATCAATCATAAAAAAAGAAGAGGGGCGAAGCTATTTGCTTCACCCCTCGGGTTTTCAGTGATTTTACTCAACTCTGATTTAAGGGTGGGGTCTTTCTTTTACGTTCTATCCTAACCTTGCTATGACTGTAAGGAACTAGCTGAAATTATGTATATCAGTTAAAAATTAGGAATTTTTAATAAGGCTACAGGGCCTTTATAGTTAGTTTGTGAAATGGGCTTCAATGGATCATGGATCTGCATAATACAGGAAATACCAACGAATATTGAACAATCCAATATCTAAATTGTTTAATATCCGTTTACCTTGGTGCCAGAGACATTTTCAATGTCCCTCATAGATAAATTTGAGTAACGCTTGATACACCATATCTAGTAGGTTATACCTTTTGGAATATATAAAGACACATATGAAGAAGATGTGCAAAGATTTGATAACTTGTGATACGCACGTGAGTGGGTACAATCACATATATGGTCGTTAGTTCGATATTCAATACAAGGAATATTTTTTTTATTTTCCAGATATGTCACTTCGATGGTGTGACTGATTAGTATCCAGATTTTATGTTAGTTGAAATTTCTTTATATTGGATTCATCATGTTTATCTAATATGCTCCGTTGTGCACTCTATTACAAGACTGAAGATTAAACATAATTTTCACTCAGCACGCTTTGTATTGTTACATGTGCACTATCTCTGATGATGACAAGAATCATCTTCAGCCAATTTGAACGGCAATTTTTTATCATCCTTAGATACAATGCTCATGTTTTAGAATATTAATAATATGATATATATAAATTTAATAAACTTAAAATGATTTCGATATATTTTCTATAAACTTCTACTCATATATATTGTTACATATAAGTATATTGATATTTATGAAAGTAGATAAAATGAAATTATATATTTTTCAAACCTCAAGCCATTAATCATATCATTAGATGAACCATTTGGCTTCATGAGTTTATATATATGAAACTAGAAGTGCATAAAATTTTGTAAATTTAGTTGGTGATGTACAAAGTTATAGTTACAAGTTGTTTTATCAAATTATCAAACCAACAAAAATTCATTCGAAAATTTTGATAATAGATGTTGGATTAAAAATACATATCAGATTATAATGAAATTTCTCTAAGAACAAAAAGCTTAACATCATGTTTTTCTTCATTAGCTGTGTTTGTCAACAAAGTCAAAATCATAACATATAATCAATTTGTTGGATAAAACTCTGCCCTTACTCACTCAGAAATCACAATGCAAGAGTCGACACAAAATTATGTGGATCTCCTTCACGGAATCTACATCAACGTAACATAATGCTCAAAATATCCATTATTTGTATTAAAGCTATGACTAGCTCTCATATAAAATAATAGAGTATCACTAGTCTAAAAAAAATAGAATAATAGTGACCTTAGTCCATATGAACTGAGTAAAATATTCATAAATTTTTTATGTATAATATATTAAAAAATTTACATTGTATTTAAAAGTATTTTAAATATTTTTTATTTCTATTAATAATTAAAAGAAATTATTTTAGTGCTCGTATATTATGATTAATATGTTCTTGATGAAAATAAAAATTTCTAAAATTTTGAAACTTACAAGAATAATTATTATAATAAAACATGAAGATCAATTTCAATGAATACATAAACAAATATTTTCATCCTACATATATTCAAGTTTATTTATCAATATTGAAATAAAACTTGATTGATATTAAATCCAAACTGTGTATCATAACCGTTTATCAACATCATGTGAATCTTATGCTTGTTTATTTTGAACAGGATTAACTACTTGCAGGAATCTCTACATCCTTACGTCATATTATTGCTAGGCATAGAATTGGATCTCATAGACTTGGAATTGAGGAATGAAATTGGTTTAATATTGATAGGAATGAACGTATTTGTAGGCTATGTGATGGAAGAGAAGTTGAGGATGAAGAGCATGTATTTCTTACTTGTACTAGATATACAAAGATTAGAGTGACTCATAATATAGAAGTAGAGAATTTTTATTCTTTGTTACAATTAGTTCCTTTTGATTTAGGTTGTTATATTAGGAACATTATTAGTTATCATTCTAGTGCTCTTGGCACTAGCTAGGGATTGGCCTTTGGGGTCTTTTCCCTTGTTTGTGGCTGTCGCTTGTATTGTGTTTTTCAGCCTTTTGACCTTTTGGGTCCCCCGGGCTTGATCTATTATCATTTATAAAGATTAAATTTTTTTTAAATATTATATAACCTCCTCTGATCATATGTATATATATATATATATATTGTAATAATCTCTTTATAATTATTTTCAATAAATTTCATTGATAAATTTGATTTTATCTATAATTTCCTTGATTTTGAAATTTTTTTTAACCTTAAATTTATTATTAGTTTAATATTTAAAATCAATATAAGATAAAAAATGAACGTTTAGAAAAAAATTTCTTCAAAAGTATTTGTTTTATTAATTCCAACTTTTGATTTTGATCACAAAACGATATGTTGAATAATTTAATCATAATAAAATTTGATGACTCTATGATGTAAATGAAATATGATTATTAGATCTTAAATGTTGATTAGATCATTGAATTTGATTTGGGTTGAGATATTATCATATGTATATTGTGATTAAAAAATACATATAGATATATGCACAACATATTTTACTGGTAGATGTAGACATTTGATTTACAAGAAATGAAAATCCAGATACAGCAAAAATGATATGTACTTGAAAAGAGATTAAATCTTAAGTTTTATGTGAATCCAGGCTTGTTGTTCATTGTATATCCAAGTTACTTAAGGCAAAATTGAAGTATGTATGGAAAGCATTCAAACTTTCTGGTCTTCAGATATTGCATAGATGGAGCTAGGGATGCAAAAGTCGCAACATCCAACCAAACTATTAACTTTCCATACATAATAAGTGTTTGAACTAATCTGCTCTGGAAAGTTTTTAATTGATCAATGAAACAAATGCATCCTGAAACAAATGAGTCGATGATTGCCCATGTTCATTGTACATGGTTCTCGATATTCTGATCGTGACGTAAAAAAGTGGAATCAAGGCGGACTGGACTGTATACTACTCCAAACTTGAGATATATGTCAATATGACACTTGATTTGCTTCTATGGGATATAGACCCACAAATGGCAAAATCGAATGAATAGTCTCATTGTGAATTGTTGAACTACGATGTTTTCACCAGAAAGCATAACTTGACCGTTAGTAGCTACATTCGCGAACGAAGTTGCACTCGAGAATGCGATCGAACAATCGACTTGCAAGTAATGCTGAAATCACCAACGGTTAGGGAAATTGACGTTTTTTGTTTCCAATGCGCAGATTTACTTTCAAAACTGATATCCTCGAAGCTTCCAACGGTGCAAGGGTGATGCAGTCGGATGGGAGGTTACGTCGGAGATTTCAAATTTGTGTGTGAAGTTAAGAAGCTACAACTTGGAACAGATAAGTCCTCAGTCTTACCTATCGATCAGTTCAGTGTCTTCAGTTCAGTGTGAGCTTCGGATGATAACAGATTGCTGGGGTTTACTACTTCAGTATATCGATCAGTTCAGGATCTTCAGTTTAGTGTAAGCTTCGGATGACAACAGATTGCTGGGGTTTACTACTTCAGTATATCGATCAGTTCAGGGTCTTCAGTTCACTGTGAGCTTCGGATGATAACAGATAGCTAGAGCTTACAACTTCAGTAGATCTGATTGTGACAGATGTGATTCCTTAGCGATCAATCGCATATTACTTTCTTGCCGTATATTGTCTGCTGTTCAGCTACTGATTGAGTCGCTCTTAGAGTTCGAGAGAGGTGTGAACTAGCTTTCACTTTCACTAATCTGTTGTTACTCGCTAACTTTCTAATCGGAGTAAATTTATTTGAATATCCACTACTAACATGTATCATCTCAACTCATTGACTCTTTCGCGCTAAATAAGGTGACGAGTGTTCGTATAGATGTTTTCTCGTGAACTTATTTGCCAAATGACAAATTTGAATGACTTCCGTTCTAGACTTATGTACTACTTCAACAACAAAGTTTGATGTTTAGGTTGATCCAAAGATTTCAAAAGGTAATCTTTCAATCTGTGCATTTCACTGCGTTTCCTTTGTCTTGCCACGGTGAGATTAATCTCACCGTGGCAAGGTTTTAGGATCAGCATTGCAAATGTCAAACACATATAATGTGGTTAAGTAAGAACTTTGTTTCTTATGTAAGACCACGGTTGAGAACTTTGTTTCTTATGTAAGACCACGGTTGAGAACTTTGTTTCTTATGTAAGACCACGGTTGAGTTTGAAACTTGGAAAACCCGTAAGAAATTGTTGATGAGATTTGTGAAATTACATGTAAGTGTTGCCATGGTTGTGTTTGAAACTTAAAAATTGACAAAAACGTTCATTCAATTTGTGAAAATACATGTAAGAATTGACACGGTTGTGATTGAAAATTATTATGGTGTCTAAGAAAGCAGTAACCCCTTCGTTGAAGAAAACCCACATGGTCTCTCGTTACATGTGAATTGGTATTTCCTGTAGATAAGAATATCAAATTTAGATACATGGAGTGTTGATAAACAATCCATTATCACCAGATCTCACTATTTGAAGGCTACTATTCTCAACATAAGCTAAGAGAGATGGTTCTAAATTAAAAATGATCCCCATTAGAAAAGACTAGAGTCAATCTTTCCTGATTTTTACCCTTGTTGCTCTCCTAGGCAAGCCAATATCAAAGAAGCCTTTTTTGTAGAAAATAGCATTTTTCTACAAAAAATTGGTATAATATTATCATGTGAATACCAATTTTCTGGATATATTTTACAACGCATCGCATAGGTTCATTCTTCTGCATGATAGTCAATATCTTGTAAATGGGTCTTTGTACTTAGAACCCTTTAAAGTAGCAATATTAGTTTGAAGCAAGTATTCTTATTGCTTCCATTATCTATTTGTTGGTGTTTAGCGAGATTGTATACGAATAAGTTTATGGGATCTTCTGCAGTCTTCTCAACGCTTGAAGGAAACATTGAAACTAAGAGTTTAACCTATTCAAACAGACCTGTATCAGACTATTTTGACACCACTTATGTATAATGGTCAAGGTTTGTACGTTTGACGAAACATCTTAAAAATTTTGACCTTTAATTTAAACGATGCAGCTAAGTTGGTGAGGATATTTCCGACTTGCTATATCGTTCAATATCCTTGGTTTTATTTGGTTTTAGGAATTTGATTTTTGATCGTGGTCCTGCATTTAAAAAAAAGTTTGTCACAATGATTGGATTTTATGTCTTTTCTGAACCAGAGATGTATGTACGAGTCCAATTTATCTTCATTCCGATATTTGTCTCTATTTGGGTTCATCGTGGTACATTTTCCGGTATTTTACTGAATTTCCTTTTTAATTTCTTTTGTCTTTTCACACAAGTTAATCGCTTGCACATAAAGTCTCTTGATCAACAAACTTTCTTTCAAGGAAGTTTAAGCAAGATAACTTCTAGTTGATGATAGACAAGGTATGATTCAAACCACCAAGTTTTACATATCACGCCATTTGGTGCTCATTTTTAAGTTAAGTCATGTTTCTTATGTGTAGTGTTTTTACTTCGCATACACTTATATGGATAAAAACATATGTTCACATGCATAACCACAAACATTTTCTGCTTACTGAGAACTATATACTGTTTAAATTGAAGATAGATCCATAGCAAATTCTGATTCTTTCACGTTAATTAAATTGGTAAGTGTGTTTCTTCTCTTATCTCACATGATTCCAGAGGATAGGCTTCTTGTCATATCTTACTGCAAGTATGCATGACACCACTCTACACGAATAACGATGACCATGAAGCCTCTGATATCTTGTTTAGATACTTAATCAAACTTTCCATACCCCTAACTTCTTGATGGGATCTTTTTGCCGAGATTCCCACCTTATTGTTGATAAATACGTAACATTGTAATATTCCTAGTTCTAGATCCTAGATCAAAAACTTTACTTCTCTTCAGAAAATCAATGCTCTTATTGATCATAGAGAAGATGTTGGTTTGCCCGTTGTGACCCTCTGCAAAAACCGTTGAAAATTCCTGGCTATTTCAAGATCGCCGAAGCAATCGAAGTTGTCTACTATGACAAATATTTCAACTAACGGATAGACGCGAGAAGAGTGATATCATGCTGTTCAACATCTCACTTCTTGGATCACTTCTGTTCACATCTTGCACGCTTATTTGACTAAGGGATGCACGAGAGACTAATAAAAATTATGCTCTTACCCAAATCCTCTTGTTTACTTCGAAGGAATCAGCATAAGGTACATTTTTACAGTTATCTATCTGTTTCCAGATGAAACCAGATTTATGTCGTCCATATGAAAAATATTTCTGTCTTACGGATGGAATAGTAAGGGTGAATATGACAATTTTTTTCCAGATCCTGAAGTGAAATAATCTTGTCCCTAGGTTTAAGATCACCTTGGTAGCTTAGACTTAGTGTGTTTGATATATCTTGGAATCTAACTGTATCGTAGTTTCGTAAGAGGTAAGAGTTCTCACCACAATGCCATTAGGAAGTAAGATTGACCGACGAACAGGAATTGCTTGATGCAATATCTAGATTGCCCAAAGCTTCCCTAATCTCTGTGGCAAGTTCGTGAATGATGAAATTCAACCAGATCTGCTGATGATTTTGTTCTTCTCGTTTTGAAAATTAATAAATTTTTAAATGATCATGAGAATCAGAAACCTATCATTGCATCAAATCTTTTCAATATTAATACTTCATCCATTAATGAGACAAGCGTAAATTATGTCTCATGGAAGCCTATTTTTTTTTGGGGAATTAAATAGCATGACAGGAGACAATGAAATATCTAACCACCTGTATGTGTTGACTCCCAGATCCATCCATAGACCGTCTAAGATCTGTGCATCAGATCCGAGCACAGGTTAGTGTAAAAAAGAAAATAACATATCAATAGTTGTAGGGTCTGGCCGAGTCATCGCAACATTTTCAATCATAAACTGCTCAATAGAGCAGGTCATATAATCCTCTCTTAATTTTTGTAGCATCCGAGTTGGCCATGTATGTCATTTACATTAATTTTTGTGCTTCTATGTGACCAGTTTAGTGAAACAAACAACCTTAAAGGACACTTCAGATTTGTTTCAGGTTCGAATTTGGAGAAAATGGAGGGTTCATCCTTGACACTACCAAAGTTGCCACTCAGGAGATGCCTCCAAGACATAAGCAATTCTAGCGAGCCCAACCTGCCTTCTGCGGCAGTCGTGGATTTTCCCCTTGACAAAAAAGGGTAAGCACATTTTGTTTTGCTCGCAATTAGACTGCGTTTTATAGTTGTCTCCATGTATTTTCAAACGACGCATGGTCTCTGAAGCCGAATATTCTTGTCATTTCTATGAATGTAACAGGAAGAAGCAGAGAGTTTATCAACTGCGACCACGGAAGCCAAGCACGGTGTGGACGACGGAAGACGTGAGTAAACCATTGGTTAATAACTAATACTGGTTTAGCCTCTATTTAGACAAATCAGTCTTAGGAAAGTTTGAAGAATCGACAGGCCCAGTGTGGATTCTGTCACCATTTTGAAGCCATTTTCACGACCTTCATAGGAAGCACTCGAGTTCCTCCGAGTATGAAGGATATTTTGGTTCATATTGTTGATAAACTGTGCTTAGATTGGCGGGTACAACTTATGATTTTTTCATTCATTATCAGGCTTAGTCACAGGATATACTTTCTCGCTCCGATATTTGACTTGCCCTGCACCATACGTAGTATTCTTATGTAGGGTCTCAAGGTATATGACCACTCGTATTCAATGTAACAATTGATGAACATCCACAGGTGTTCTGAAGTGAATATCTGCAGTGACTGAGTTTTACAATTATTCTGAACCCAAGGTGACTGTTTACTTCATTGTTACAGGACGAGACATTACAAGCAGCTGTCGAGAAGTTCAAGGGCGGAAATTGGAAAAAAATTGGTGAGTACATTGTGTACGAGATTTTTTAGGTAATGAGTTTATTTTGGTACCTTTCAACAGCTGTGACCACAACTCTTCGTTGTAAAATATGTATTGGACTGTGGCATGTGCAGCTGCGAGTTTACCGAACCGGTCAGATGATCAGTGCCTTCACCGCTGGCAGAAGGTTCTTCGTCCAACCCTCGTTAAAGGATACTGGAACAAAGAGGTATGTGACTCTTGTATAACCACGTATTACATTACAAGAATGAGGTAACCCAGATCCCACGTTCGACAAATGTGATGACTGATTTAAGTAGCTAATTTCGCAGGAGGACGATGAATTGCTCGAATTGGTCCATAAATTCGGCACCAAGAGCTGGGCTGCCATCGCTCGGTCATTGCCTGGCAGAACTGGCAAGCAGTGTCGAGAGAGCTGCGTTTCAAAGATGGTGCTGATTTATATGTTCCCTTACTTAATATTCTCTGCGAAATATACTATTGATGGTAACTTTGAGGTGCACGTGTGAGTGTATATGAATTGTAATGGTTCGTTTTCTTTATCCTGATAATTTATTTATCTTCTTTCAAGTAACCTTGTCGTCAAAACAACTGAGAAAGTTTTTTCAAAATAACTTATTCTTATTAGTGTTTATATCTCTTCACTATTCATGTGCCGGATGAACATAGGATTAATGCGAAATATATCACGATTAAAGCATGGATATTTATGTGATTCCAAAGTTTTAACATGTGCATTTGTGCTTTGTTTCAACTGTGAGAAATATATTCAGAAAGATTTACTCTAACCTGCTAATTTATTGCTATACAGATGGTGCAATCATCTTCATCCCCAGACCAAGAAAGAACCCTGGAGTGAAGACGAAGACCTGATGTTGTTTTTGGGTCACCAAAAGTTCGGCAACAGATGGGCGGAGATCACAAAGCTTCTTCCTGGGAGGTAAAGTCATTGTATTTGATGAAACCTGTATTACAAAGGCTCTCTGGCAATTTCCTCATCTAATTGTAGACAATTATCAGGTCCAGCAATGGTATCAAGAACAGGTGGAACAAGACAATGACAAAAAGGGCTGACGCAATGGAGGATTACAGTGAGAAGTGGATCAATAGGAACACATTTGGAGATATGTTGTCCCTTACCGACGATGTGAATCCAAAAGAACTTGAAGCTTCTCAAGATCTTCTAGCTTTGAATGGACAAGCAAATATCGACCTTCAGGCCTCGAATGCTGCGGAGGATCTTCTAGCATTGAATGGACAGGCAAATATCGACCTTCAGGACTCGAATGCGGCGGAGGATCTTCTAGCATTGAATGGACAGGCAAATATCGACCTTCAGGACTCGAATGCTGCGGAGGATCTTCTAGCATTGAATGGACAGGCAAACATCGATCTTCAGGACTCGAATGCTGCGGAGCATCTTCTAGCATTGAATGGACAGGTAAATATCTACCTTCAGGACTCGAATGCTGCGGAGGACCTTCTGGCATTGAACAGCGACTTCGGACTCGCTGTTGGGAGCCGATGAGTTTGACATGAGTGTCGAGACTTTGACTTCTCTCTTTAATGGCAACTTTTTTACACGTAATTCTCAAAGGGCCATGTAATTGTCATAGTCGCTCGTGGGTTGTATGGGTTTGAAGAGGGTCGGTTAGAGAAGCCGTGATTCTGACTTGCTTTACATCGAGACTTTATAAGTTTTATTATGGTGTAAGAGTGTACCAAGCTTGCAATTAGTTTATTACAATTACACTCATACTTTTTCTCCTGTTTATTGTATATTTTAGAAACTCAAATGCACATAATGTTCCAATACTGTAGACTGTCATGACAGTTTATGTTTTCCTCAAGAACAACAAAACTGATTTCTCCCTTTACTTCGATGCGGAGATGCACTTATATTTTGTGATTTCAGTGGATTGCTTCGACCGTTACTATTTTGCTAAAAAAGCGCGAGCTTTCGATTTTTCTTAATGTCTGAGACTTTGACTCCCTGACTGTTTTTTACTCAACAACCAACGCTAGTTCTCAAGTTTGTGTTGCAATTGTCATGAAGTGTAATATTATCTGTCAGCTCGCAGATTACTTCCCTTGTGAGGCCCCGATCTGACGTAAGAATGCAACCACTTTAGTGTGTTGGACTCCGTAAATCCTAGTGTATGATAATGACTTACGTGGAAAGAGAAATGTGAATACTTTAATATCCTAATGATGTCAGGAAAACTTGCAATTGCCAGTCTGAACAGAACTTAGTCTTTACAAAGTTCCTATTTTTCCCTCCTATTGTACAGAAGTTGCGGTACGGTAATAACAGTTGCCGAATTGGAGTTACGAGCTATTTAATGGAGGTGTGTCAATTTGTGCGGGTCTTCTTTGTATTATATCGGTATATTTCAATTCAAATACATCCGATTGCATTTACTGAAGTTATCATTGGTGAGATTAATCGATCGCTAAAAGTAGTGTTCAATGATAAGTTTTGCATTGTAAGGAAATAAAATAACATTCTTTCATTTCCAAAATTATACGATTTCCCTAACTCTGTTGGAATTTTGTTACTACCAAGTTGAAACGAATGTACCATGAGTCACGTTAGGTCTAAGCTCAAAGACTAATTAATTGTGTTTAAATCTACATTCATTAAGAAATAAATGCATAAATAACTACTTTAGCTACTCTTGCTGCTTGGCTCATAAGAAGAAATCCACGACTATTTTATTTTTGGATGTTATCAATGTAAAGTGGACAAATTGGACTTTTAATTCTCAAGATATTTTGCATTTTTTTATGTGGGATTTAGAATAAATTCCCGTTTATTTGCTTTGGGCAATGTGAAGAGGAAAACGACGTTTATATCCTGCGTCAAAATTTACTTTGTATATTGCAGCTGGTTCACTTTTTAATATAAAAGAGTACTAATTATGGCATTTAATGATTCTATTGAGTTTACATTCGATTTTCAACTTTTGGTTATGAAAAAATATCATTTGGAATTGGAAATAATCATATACTAATTTTTTTTTATTAGATCATGCAATTAAATTACCGATCATACTTTTCCATACTTGGTTACCAGATACACACGGGGAAGCACATTATAGTACATGTATGCTTTTAGCTGGAATATTTCTTAAAGAGGTAGACTATGGATTAGTCAGAATTAATATGGACTTAATATGGAATTGTTTCTTCATGCACATTCATTTTTTCTCCATGGTTAGTATTTATTGGTGCAAATAAAATTGTTTATGCAGCTTTAACTTCTTTATATGTTTTCTTCAGGATCACATATGAAATTTATTTTTATCGAAATTGGATCGATCACAAATTTAGGCCTTAATGGTGCTATTTTACAAATTAATCAACATGGTTTAATTGTTGCTTAAATTTATTTCTTAGCAGGTTTAACTTATGATCAAACAAGCACTTCTTTTTTAGATGAAATGAGTGGAATAGGTAATTCTATGCTCAAAATATTCACATTATTAACTAGTTGTTCAATGGCGTCTTTAGCTTTGCCAGGTCTGAGTGGTTTTATGGCCGAATTAATTACTTCAGTAGTGATTGACAGTATTGATCCTAATTACTTTTCAGTATTATTCAAGAAATTGGTATTATTTAGACACGTTTTTATTTATTATCTTTGTTACGTCAAATGTTTTATGGGTTGTTATTTTCAAATACTTAAGGAACATATTTTATGGATGCTGGATCACGATTCATTTTTTCCAATTATTAGTATTGGAATCCATTATAACTCTTTTTATCTATCTGGAATACTAAAGTTAAACTTTTTCTATCTTATAATTCGTGTATGCAAATAAAAGTATATATTAACCAAGCAATAGAAGCCCAAGTTTCTGTTGAATCTCAATCCCAATGGGAACTCCATGCTTCATTTGCCCATACTGCACCACATAAAATACCAATAGTTAAGAGAGAAAATCCTAAACTGATACCCTCTGTAACTCCAATTATCTAACTGCCATTTACGAAAATTGATAAAAGAAAATACATTTTCCGTTTATATGATCAGATTTTGATTTCCATCGGATGCCAAAGATTTAGAAACGGGAAATAATTGAAAGATAAATTAAAATAAGATGTGAGTGTTGGAAAAAAATTATTTTGCTAATGTAATAACTAAAATAGTTCATGCTTATAAAGATTCGCATAAAATAGTAGCAAACATTTACATCATCATGGTTGCATGCATAGTTAAGCTATGCGATTGTACAGCTGGAACAGAAAAACCATTTGTTGCATTTCTTTTGAAATACCAAAAGTTGATGATTCATGAGTTAAGATTGCGCTTGGTGCAGCTATTATACCCAATCATGTGTTTCTTACTTCTGTTCTCTAAAATTGAATGAATTAATGTAAAACTGCAAGAAAGAGACATAGAAGATTCATATAAATCATTGAAAGGAAAAGGTTGCAAAGAACTCCAACCATTGAATAAATTTTTTTATAGAAAACAAGCAATTTGCATACTCATATCTCTCACAATAGTTATTGGTTTGATATTATGTAAAGAACTCTGTATGTGCTAAAATATTTTCTAAGGCTTTTAACTTCCTGATAAAGAAATTAAATTTTTTTCAGAATAGAAACAATTTGAACTAAGAAAATAATACATTATACTCATTATAAGAAAAAATATTACAAGATATGTATTTACAATCAGAAAATATATGCTGCTACTCGGATTCAAACCGAGAAGACTAAGCACTTCTTCCTTAGAGCAGCCTGTCTACCAATTTCATCAAAGCGACTGAAATTATATATATTGTATTTTTTAGATAATATTAACTCTTTGAAAATCATTTGGTAGTGAATTATCTCAGGATTATGAAAGTTGTCGATTCAAATCCCGTTACTCTAAAAACAAAAATTAGAAAAAAATTTCTATTTAAGATGGAAAATTGTACTTTATACAAAAACTATGAAATAAATTTATCCATTCTTAATGTTTCAAAAAATATTTCTGAATAATTTAATTAAAAATAAATAAATTTATTAAAAATTTTCGATAAATGAAATTAGTGAAACAAAACTTGCAATAGTAGTAGCACTTCTATGATCATAGTGTTCAAGTTTTTGAAAGAATTGTACAGAAATTTCTAAACCTTTCATTGTTATATTAGATGCTATTAAAACTATTGAGCTAAAATCACGTAAAGCTCTAGAAAAATGTACATTAAATCCAATTAAAAAAAGTGGAAACAATATATCCTATAAAGTTGTCTATGGTGATGCTCCTAAACACCATGTAGCTTCCTCGAAATCTTCTTCCAAGTTTAAAAAAAACGGGGTGAATGGTGCGTACTACAAAGATACAAAATCATTGCTGAAAGCACTCCTATAGGATTTAAAACTATTTTTATATTTAACCATGAACAAATAGGTTTTATCCATCTATATATTTAAATATATTCGTTAAAGTCTTTTTGTATCTTACCAAAACCCAAGCAAGAATTAGGCCGAAGATTAAGTTAATTATAGTAGCCAATAAAGCAGTTAAAAAGGTAAAGCCATGAGCAAATAACACGATTGGATCAAGAGCTGTTTGTAACAAAATATTCCAAGGTTTCTGCTAACTTTTATATAACAAAAAAAATCGTCGAATTAAAGACTAGTTTAAATTCAAATAAAAATCGAATTTTTTTCTTAATAGAAGGTAAAAAAAATGGAGGAAAAAAGTATTAAAAAACGTAACTAAACTTATTAAATTTGTTATTCTATTCATTAAAAAAATGAAAAAATAATTTTTCTAATAATTCATCTAAATTAAACGTTGATATGGATTTAGATGAATCAAGATGAATTTAATAAATCATCAATTTTTGGGTAATAAGAACATTTTCAACGACTGATTAAGTTAGATTTTGCTAAAGAATCTCATAGCGCTTTATAGCTTTCCAAATAGCTTTACTAATTCGAGATGTTCAAAAAAATTTCTAGAAAATTATTAAATTTTTTCAAAACAGTAATTATATGTATTTTTCGTTCAAAAGATTAAAATCAACAATAAATCGATTTTCTGTTTCCTGTCCTCATTTAAGGGTTTATTTGTTCTTGGAAATTTCCAAAAACAAATAAATCCGTATCACTTCATAAATTGTAAAATTTTGTTCAAAACAATAATATAAGAATCTACATATAACTATCGCTCCTTTTTACCGAGAATATTCCATATTCATGGTAGACTTTTGACGAATTCCTTATACTCAATAATTGATAATTTTTGTGTTTTGTTCTAATTTATTTTATGTTAACGAGACAAAACTACAAATATCATAAAATCAGCCAGTTTGTACTCGGAGTATATATTTTTGAATTATATACAAAAATTTTAAATATTATTAATCTTTATTAAATAAAGAAATTATTTGTGGAAATAATCATTTAAAATTGTTGGCTTGTTCCACTTTTAGCTTCTATTTTATTAGAAATCGAATAATTTTATTTCCCATATTCTATCAAAAAAATTAATCGTGTATCTTCTCTCATAAGTATTATGTTTTTAAACATAGCTAGGTTCCTCTTATTTCGTTTTTATGGGGCAAGAAATTACAGGGAGTCCATTTCATAGATATTTCTTATCTTGGGATTTTTATATAGATTTTTTTAGAAATAGATTATTTGTTTGATCCACTTACTTCAATTATGTTAGTTTCAGTAACTACTGTCGCATTTATGGTTATTATTTATAGTGATAGTTATATGTTTTATGATAGAAAATATTAAAATAAATTTTTTATTCAAGTTTTTTTATATCATCAATGCTAGGATTCGTACTTAGTCCTAATTTAGTACAAGTCAGTGTTACTTGGATTTTGTTCTTAGTTTTAGGTTTACTACACCAAGCGCAGCTAATGTGTGTCAAAAAGCTTTTGTTACAAATCTCATAGGTGATTTTGGATTATTATTAGGTAATTTGAGATTTTATTAAATAACAGGCAGTTTTGATTTTTAACAAGTTTAGAAAAAAATTTGAATCACTAAGCTGTAATCAAATTAATTTAGTTTTTGCTATTTTGTGTGTTCTGTTTTTGTTTTTAGATCCAGTAGCTAAATCTCCACAATTTCCATTACATATATGGTGACCAGATTCTATGGAAGGATCTACATCAATTTCAGCCCTTATTCATGCTGCAACTATGATTGCAGCTGGTATTTTTCTATTTTCTCGAATGTTATCTCCTTTCAAATGTTACCATTTGTTATGAGTATCATTTCTTGGACAGGTGCTATTACATCTTTATTAGAAGCCTCTATTGCTTTAGCTCAAAACGATTTAAAAAAAGGTTTAGCTTATTCAACAATGTCACAATAAATTTATGTGATGTTGGCATTAGGCATCGGATCCTATAAAGTTGGATTATTTCATCTTATTACCTATGCTTTTTTAAAAGCTTTACTATTTCTTGGTTCTGGCTCAGTGATTCATTCAGTGGAACCTATTGTGGGTTATCATCCAAATAAAAGTCAAAATTTGATTATTATGAGTGGTTTAAGACAATATAGGCCAATAACAGCAATAACTATTTTGTTTGGGACACTTTCTTTATGTGGAATTCCACCTTTTACTTTGAATAATTCAAATTGTTTATATTTAATATTTCCTCCTTAAGTTTAGAGTAACGACTTCGGCAAGGCCTGGGAACGGATTCACAGTCAATACCTTTGAGTTTCATTCTTGCGAACGTACTCCCCAGGCGGGATACTTGACGCGTTAGCTACAGCACTGCACGGGTTGATACGCACAGCGCTTCGTATCCATCGTTTAAGCCTAGGACTAATGTACTGGGGTATCTAATCCCATTTGCTACCCTGGCTTTCGTCTCTCAGTGTCAGTGCTTTCGCTATTGGAGTTCTTTCCGATCTCTACGCATTTCACCGCTCCATCGGAAATTCCCTCTGCCTACCGTACTCCAGCTTGGTAGTTTCCACCTCATGTCCAGGGTTGAGCCATGAAGTTTGACAGATTGCGCCTAATGGTTCCGGATAACGCTTGCATCCTCTGTCTTACCGCGGCTGCTGGCACAGAGTTAGCCGATGCTTATCCCTCAGATACCGTCAATGCGTCTTCTCTGAGAAAAACGTCATTGCATCTTCTTTGAGAAAAAGGAGTTTACGACCCGTGAGCCTTCTACCTCCACGCGGCATTGCTCCCGTCAAGCTTTCGCCCATTGCTGAAAATTCCCCACTGCTGCCTCCCGTAAGAGTCTAGGCCGTGTCTCAGTCGCAGTGTGGCTCATCATCTTCTCAGACCAGCTACTGATTGTCGCCTTGGTAAGCTATTACCTCACCAAATAGCTAATCAGACGCAAGCCCCTCCTTAGACGGATTCCTCCTTTTGCTCCTCTGCCTACGGGGTATTAGCATTGCTAATACACGGTTGCTAAATTAGCAACCGTCTCTAGCTGTTGTGCCTCTACCAAGGGCAGGTTCTTACGCGTTACTCATCCGTGCGCCACTGGAAACACGACTAGGATCCTTCCCGTACGACTTGCATGTGTTAAAAATGCCGCCAGTGTTCATCCTGAGCCCGGATCAAACTCTCCATGAGTTTCATAGTTACAATACTTTTGCTTAAAGCTTCCTATTTCCTAAACAAAGCAGATTTCAAATCGTCTTCCATCCCAAGAGATATAATACTTGTGTTTATTTTTCATTCACTTCATACTGGCTTAAAGCTCATTAATACTATACCCATACCTACCCTATTATGTCAATCCTACAAGCCTCTCTCAATAACAAGA